TCGTTTATATTGCAAGGGATCCCAAAAACATTCTGATGAGGCTCGGAAGTAGGTGGAGTATTCAAGGGAGAATTATATGTATTCTTGTAGTAATGATAGATTAGTTGGGTGCCAGGATAGCTTCAGATGAGGTGTACGTTACGTGCGCAGCATAAACGTGCTCAGTATGCCTCATAGCACCCAACTGAGGCTCCAGACAAAAGTTATCTGGGGAACGGTCTGACATGGGACACGTCAAACTTTTTATGGTCCTGCTTCTGACTTTTGAGATTTAATATGAATCGTGTCCTTTCGGTGGGTTTTCTTTTCGAGTCTCCCTATTTCCCACGGATCTGGCAGCAATGTTGCTTACTACTGGCAAGTTGACTACGAAATATTCTCTACCATCGTTAGACACAATACGTCTAGAATTGGCTTTCTTCTAGGACTACGTAGGTTTGATGGGCAAGGTCCCACGCATGGGACTGTATTTGATGACATCATAGTCAACTGACAGGTTTTTGTCTTAGGCTATGTTCAGGTAGTTGGTGTCGACAGTTGGGGTTTCGTCAGTAATCGAAGAATTTGGTTCACTCACGTCTGGGTTTAATCGAGACTGCTAGGCTACCAGAATGGTTGGCGTAGTAGGACTACTAGGCCCGGCATGGCTGTTTGGTTGTGTCTTCATGCATGCAGGTCCTCAGAGTTTGCCCATTTTGAAGCTATAGGACGGTCCTTCCTACCCTGACATGTGGTTTTGTCTGGTAAGACCGAAATAGATTTCAGATTGCTATTTTGTCTCATACGATTCCTTGGATTGATGAATTTTTTAGCATCATATGAGGTAGTAGACTTGAAAATGTGATTTATTCTTGTGGAGGCGTTTACAGTCGCGGTGTATAGCTGTCAGGCCACATGGCGACATCCAAAGGTGTGGTATCTGAGACATCATGTATTATGGTCCGCTGAGAGGATGCCGGGCTTTTTATTATCTCAGCTGCCAGGCGGTCTGCTACAATTTCAGCTTTTTCGATATAGCTTGCGGATAGGTTGTTGTGTTTTCTTGAGATGTTCTGAACGTTATGGGTCCTCAACTCCTCTCTTGATTCCATTTGCTGCGGACTTAACATCACCCATTTCTTTTCCACTTTCCCTCAGTGTTTTTGCCAGCATAATTTCTTCAGCCGTGAAGAAAGTTCGTCAGGATCTGAGTTACATGATGCAACAGAGTTTCGGTCATACCCTAGAATGGTAGAGAAACCAACTTTTACGTTCTTTTCCCTAAAGCATTTTTTCATGAACGCTCGGCTTTCGACCATCGCATTCTTAAAGTTGGTGAAGAGTTAGGTTTGCTATTGACGATTAAATTATCTAGCCCAAAAGGATGGGAATACGCTGTCTACAGGTTGCAATGTAGCCTCAAATTGGCAGGACAGAATGGATCCTCATATTATTATGCGTGTGCAGTAAAAATGAGCTGAACGCAACAAGAAATCCACATAAGGATACGACCAAGGACTTTAAAAGCAACATAAAAAGCCTTTTAGTTATCTTATTTGCAATTCTGTTAGTTGTGTTCCAAACTTCTTCTCAACGGTGAGCACCAGTTCGAAAAAAGAAAACGTCATGATTCCCCTGGCGGCATGCTGAGGGGTTTAGTGAGGCTATAAGGGAGAAGGACGGATCTGCGATTCACTCGCAGGGGAGACGGCTGGAACGATGGGCAAATCACTTCGAGGAACAGTTTAACTGGCCCCCAGCCACCACTGCGTTGCCCGCTATCCAGTCGGATCGTGAATAGAACATAGAGGTGGACCCCCCAACACTGGAAGCTAGGTAAGCGGTAGATAATCTGAAACGAGGAAGGGCAGCAGGACCAGACGGACTAACGCCAGAGGTATACGATGGTGGTAAAGTGCTCTTAGTCAGGTTAACGGAAGTGTTAGCTAGTATATGGGAATCAAATACTATCCCCTCTGACTGGTCTAAGTCACCGATTATCCCAGTCTTCAAGAAAGGTGAGAAGTCCTCTTGTGATAACCACGGAGGAATCAGCCTGACGAACATAGTGCCTAAGATTCCAGGTTCTATAATTCTTCGACGCGTGAGTGGAGCTCGGGGACAAGAAGCCCGAGAAAACCAAGCAGGCTTTAGACTCGGCCGTGGATGCGTCGACCAGGTATTCACACTGCGCCGGGTTCTGGAACACAAGCACGCTTAACGGTGCCCAATACTAGCTGTATTTCTCGGTCTGAAGGTGGCATTCGACTCCGTCGATCGAAAAGTCTTATGTTTATGTCTCTCACTGAAAGCCGTGCCGAGGAAGCACACCACCTTACTGAAGACTGTCTACTCAAACACTTGTGGGCATGTTAGAACCTGTGGCGAGTTGTCCAGGGAGCTATACTCATCGAGTGGTGTCCGTCAAGGATGCCCACTGTCTCTGTCCTTATTCAATTTTATCATAGATATTGTTATCGAAGGTCTCCCTCTCGTCACCTGTTTACACAAACCTTGACTTAATCGGTGGAGGATTTTCGTTAGACCTAGAATATGCGGATGACATTATCCCGTTAGTTGAAGGCACCCACAAGATCCATAATCCTCTGAACACTTCGAGCAGCGATATGAGAATTTGGAGACGCATTTCTCACCACCCAAATGCAAATTGCTGCTCCAGGATTGGTCTTCAGCGGTGCCATGGCTAACAATAGAGAGTGAAGCTTTTGAGTGTGTTGACCACTTTAATTAACTGGGAAGTAGGATCAGCGCTGATGGCTTAGTAGCCGGCGAAATCTCTGGTCGGATACAAAAGGCTCGATTGGTTTCGCCAACTTATGCCACCTGTGGCGCCGCCATGACATCCGCTTGTCTACTAAGGATCGCGTACACTTCACAGCAGTCCGCTCTGTTCTACTCTATGGCTGTGAAACGTGGCCACTGAAGGTGGAAGACACGAGAAGGCTGGCTTCTGGTGTTTGACCACGGTTACCTTCGTAGTATGGGCGGTAGTCCGTGGTATCATCACGTGGGTGACGCAGAAGTGGTGCTCAGGTGTAGAGTTTCAGAGGACAGAGGTAGGTCAGTTGGCGAGGTTGTGAACCTTCATCGATTGAGATGGTTGGGACACGTAAAACGTATGCCTAGTTGCGTCTGCCTAGTCATACAATGTTGGCTGAAGTAGGTGCAGGCTCGAAAAAGACTTGAGACGGCCAGACTAAAACACTGCACCAATGTATGAAGTCGTTGACCGTTGGTTTGAGTCATGTGGGGCGATGCAGACTAGGTAGTGGTGGTCTGGGGGACAAGAGGAACCAGTGGTTGGAGGTTGTAGGTGGCGTGGCTTAGATTCAAAGTGGGTGGTACAGATGTCTACACACATTATGCTCATCTTAGTGCTACACCAAATCCCACCATTTTCTCATTCTTCCTTCCTCTCCTTTCGGACTTTATATTTCTTTTGACTGCGTTCTCTTATCTTCATCTTGCACCTCACTGCCTTTTTATTTGATGCACTGATATGAGGCTGGGCAACTCGGACCGTTATGCACTAATGCCTGGTCCTAGGTCGATCTGGATGCGTGGAAACCTCAAGTCTAGTCCAACCTCATCTAGAAGCCTGAGGTACTCACCGAAACCTGTATCGATTCATGGTGACGAGAAGATATGAAAGTCAAGAAGCACGCATCATCTCAGGCACAAACAAGGAAGGCCCCCCCAGACCGGAGATCGCCGAAATGTTAGGCATAACCTCTGAGACAACCCGAAATCCCATTACGCAAGAACATATACCCAGAGCCTGAACAGCCCTCAACGTTCATCAACGTATCAGAGCTACACGGACTACAGATAGCTTGTGGTGTTGTTTTTGGCAAGATGTCAAAGCTAAGTGCGGGAAAATCTCCCGGGGTGCGACGACATTCTCCCATCCATGTTGAAAGAGTGTGCTAGTGCCCTAGGTGTCACTGGCGAACGTTCAGGGACCAGCAGCAAAGTTTTGTCGGGATGCATCAAAAACCATATGAGGATAGATCAAAGGGCATAGCCTATACTCTTTTAGTTACTGAGGGTTATGTAGTGATTCACTAGAGTCATGGCTTGCAAATACTAAACATAACCCAAGTCACCCGGAACAGAGGAATACCACCGGGTGGCCATGGCAGTGAGCCTCGGACAAACTGAAAGGTAGCTGTACAACAAGGGTCAGTAATTCGTTTACGTTCACACTCCTCTCCCTTTGAGTCTGCGGGCAATGGAGTGCATCACATGTAGAGGCTGTCTTCCCCCTGCCAGTCGATAGCTTCAAGAAAAGACTGGAAAGTTTCTCAGTGACCCATGGTTTATGCTTATCCAGTTGGAATACGAACTAGACTGAAGAAATCAACTGCTGTTACACCATTCAAACACCATTGCCTCTGCACCAACACTCTTCCCAATCTAGTCACCTAAGTCTCGCCCTTCCCTCTTACTTGCCATGGTTTAGCCTCATTCACCTAAGTTCCGCATATCTTTGCATCCCACTCGTCTTACATGGGTATATATAGATTACTCCATCATTTCCCTTTCCTTTGTCTTTTGCTCACACACATTTGTCTTCCTAGGTTGTCTCTTCGTTATCTCTAACTGTCTAATATAACCAGTCCAAACAACTGTCCGACAACCTGACATATGAAGGACCCAACTGCATACTAACCAACACCCAACCATCTGTTGGGCATAAAAGAGCTAAGACATACGAGTAACTGGGTCTACTGCACTGGAGTTTGTCAAAAGCTTGGAACCGTTCGGCAAGCAATAGAAACGAGGAGGAAGAAATCGACTGCTTTACACAAGCTCGTTAAACAAATACTATATATTGGAACATGCCTACCTGATAATAGTATCACCTACTTCTTCTAAAGCCTGCAAATGCGGACCAGACATGCAAGACAATGAAACCTATTGGAATGTATGAATATAAATTTGTCAATAGTTTTTCCTCTACAGTCCAGTTTTGTTTTAATTTTTCAGTTTCAGTTTAGGACATGAGACAGTACTTTAAAATGTCTTCTTGTTAACGTTGACTTTACTATGAAGTTCAGTAAGATGGTATATTTATTGCAGATATTGTTGGTCGTGTTGAACACCGAATTCTTAAGTTCTCAAAGATATGACGGTATGCAGTAGATCTATATCTAACCTGTGAATTACAGGTTTTTCATATGAAGCGGATTTTTTGGATATGGATCCCGATTCCATCCTGGAGGAAAATGCTGTAATAACGGCTAATGCCACTTGTGGTGTGCACCATAAAGAGTATTTTTGTCGTCTTGTTGAGCATGCTGATGGTCCCATTACGTACAACGGACGGTAAGAGTAATTTATATGAAACTACATGTTTTTGTTATATCTTAACTGCAAAGACTCACTGTTCTTGATGTTCAGATGGCTGTTAGAAGTTTTTTGATTTTATTTATTGCTCACTTTCGATCCCTTGTAAAAATTTGCTGACGGTTTGCAGTCTTTAAGGCCCATACCGATACAAGTATATTTAAGCCACTCATTGACATCACCCCAATTTCTTCAGACGTTATTTCATTCAGAATTGGAGTTTTTTACGATTATGAAGCTTTAAACACCGGAGTTTCAACAGTATGAAAACCTTTATACAGGTTTTGGCAAGGTATCCGATGTCCTTAAAAGGTTTTCCTGATATACAAAGCATTTCACGATTAAAGTAATAGTTTTTACTGTTTACAGATTCAGAATTTTAGGTTGAAGATGAAAGGTTATCAGCCTAAGACGGTTAGTACGTAGCCACTTGTATCAGTGTAAATTCTGAGTAATGCCTAAATTGTCCAGAAACTCCTAACTTTGACCGATTAAAAGTAAGTTCCGGTCTTCAAACCATGTCCTCTTGTGACCACAAGGTCACTGTTGGTAAATAATGACGGTACAAAAACCCCACCAATGTCTAAGGTGTTGCAGTCGGCGTTCTCTATACATATGCTCACACGCTTACCTGCGTTGACAGGCATCAGCCATTTCTCTAACCAAGTAGACAAACTGTTAAGGTTTGTTTGAAGTGTGTGCAAATACTCGTCATCCTCTACTTCTCGCAAGACTTTTAAACAGATCAACGTAGGGCGCCATAGGAATTTAATTTTCCTCATCAGTTTATCTATGTGCAGGAGAAATAACGAGGGGCAAAGGATTGTCTTGTGGCACTCCGCTCTTTATTGACTTCTGAGAAGAGAACTGAGAGACCATCCTTACTCCTCCATGTTTATAAAAAGGACACATGGAAGCTCACTTTCCTTTTAGATCTATCAAAAGGGAATGAAATACTTTTCTAAAGTAAAGAATCGATATGTTATCAGAGGGAAAATTGTTTATGAGATTATTACAGTGTGTGAAAGCTTAGTCACGTGGGTTATTACGGAATTAGTGATGAAATTTTCAACTGCATAGGTTTTCTTTTATGATTTCTTTGAATTTGGTAGTAAAAACAATTTTTGAAGTGATGGTCTGCACTAACATTGGTTAAAATCTGAATACTTGTTTAGCCTATTTTACGACTGTTGCCATCCTTTCCAAGGTTTTCTACACAAATGGATCTTAGCACTACCGATCTGTATCTTTTCTGAAAAATGTTAACTGGGCTTCCCAAAATTTAATCGCGAGACGTTGACTCATTTTTTTACCGTCACTACTACTACCTACTACTACAATTTTAGAATCTTCATGTTGGCGCAAATATCGATCACTATTTCTTTATACTTGCCTAAAAGCCTTCACTCAGGTGATTTCCTGGGGTTAAAAAATTGTATCCGTAAATCTGTGTCAACAAACCGAGATAGGTGGACCCACTAACTAGTCAGAAGCGTATACGAGAGATACGAAGTAACACATAAAAGTACCTAACGTTATACGTGCTTGGCTATTTGTATTTACTTAAACAAGTTTGGTGAAACTAAAACGTCCAGCACCTGACTCCCAGTGCATGTTTTATCTAATAGGGTTACTTCCTAGTAAATGATGTGCATTAAGTCAGTTTATTGTAATCCAATTCTGCTGGCACTTACTTTCTAGGTTGTTGCACCATAATAACTCCAGTGAAGCTATTAGTCTCACTTATTGTGTGAGAGATTATGATACTATCTGATTGCTCTGATCAAAGTAGGTTGAAAACTACTTGAACCCAAGGTTGATTACTTGAAAGATCGGTATCCAAGTCAAGGAGTTGAATTTCCGTTTTCGATAGATTGTAATTTGAAACTAATTAGGCAATTTTAAAACGGTACGAACAATCAATTACGGTACTTTTTAAAACCTAGAAATAATTATTGGTCTTTCAAAAATTAGCGCTAAAAGTTACAAATGATCAGCATTCTCATTAATTTTCTATGATAGTGGTATGTTTATGTTAGTAAAAATATACAAAGAATGCAAAAACTTTTAGCAACTGAGTCAGTTACAGGAACCATACATTACTCCATGCAAATAGCTGAGATGCTTTTCATTTTTGTTTTCTATGTTATAACATCCTAAGCGTAACTTAACAGTTTTCTGATAGCTGAGAATCTGTGAAGTATAATGTTTTTAATTCAAAACACAGTAAGCTACCTAGTATAGATGAAAGAAACATATCAAATAAAGCTTTCGGAAAACTGTAATATGATTTCAGTCTGAATACATTCAAATCCCTTATTCACCGGCAAATAATGGTTGTTAGCACATAAGCGCTAATTTTAAAATAAATTGCTCAAAAAGTTACTGAAACGATGTCATAAATCAGTTCATAGTTCGAAGTATTTCAAGTATCAAAAGATTGTAACCACCATTATACTCAACTCAGCTATCTCTTCCACTGCGACCTGACTACTTGCTATCCAAAGGCGAAATGAGCAGATAAGCCATCAAAGTTAGTTACCATCAGGTTGTGTGCATACAAGGAAAGTATTCTTAGAACTAACTAAATTCTTCGTACATGAAAAAAATAGGAAGCTGACAAAGTTTTACCACTTTTAGTTTCCATAATAATACCATAACATTTCATTGGATTCAGTGAAAAAGTGTGTGCGGGTGGGTGAGGGTAGTTACCCGGATAGGGTCTCAGAGATGCTAAGAATCAGCACTTTGAAAGTGTCAGTGAAATGAGTTAAAACAGGGCACACTCTTTATCTTCCTTGACAATCTAAACGCTTTCATCAGTCATCATCCACTCCCCCAAACTTTCATACATGTCTGAATTACTGTCATTTGATCTCTGTTCACTTACTTTTTCCATTCTGTTGCAAAATGTGTCTATTTGAATTGGTTCACTCATGTGCAGGACTCTTCTTGAGCTTGTCTGTCAATTCAAGCACATTCTAGCTAACAGGTGAAAGTTATCTGTAGTTTTTCTGGTGTAGAGAATGATTAGGAATCTTATTCTTTCGAATTGACAAAAGGTTGTTATTAAGGCAAGGGGACAAAAATCAATGGGTGAAACTGGATTTTATGCAATAAGCTTTCGAATTAAGATCAGAAAAACTCGGCAGTGCACCGCTTATACATGAAAATTAGGAGCAACTGAGACACAAAATTATATTTACAGTATTCAAACACTTAGTCGCATAGTAGAGTGTTTAAGTGTATAGTTTCGGAATGAGAATTGTTTTGTGCAGACGTAAACCATGGAGCGAACTAAATAGGTTAGACTAATGTGTATGGTGATTGACTGAATGATGAAATCAACGTAGAATCTCACACACAGATGCATTGCTTCGAGTTGCCACACTTCACAGTATTACACAAAGAACAGGTGGATAGAACAATAGTGACGTCGAAGTAGACAAAGTTGGGTGAGAGAATGAACAGTTTGAAGACAAAGGTTAGTGCAGATATTCAAGCTTTAGAAAATGTCAAGCAGTGGACAAATCTACATCATTGTGACCGATTTCCAGCCATGTCAACAAGAGTCTGTAACTCTTTGTTTCCTTTCGTCTCGGTGACCCTAACCAGGTAGTCTGCATCTACTTACTTGACTCAGGCCAGCAGTGAGAGACTTCATCGACTGGTGACAGGTCTTGCTCTAGGCACCCTAAACCATCTTCTAACCTAATCTAATTTCCCTCAGCAAGGTGCGTCGAGGTAGGCGGTGGCTCGGCATGTGCAGCGCAGTATATGTCCAAGCCATCTTAGTCAACTATGGTTCACAACCTCATCAATCGACTTGCCTTTCTTGCCTAGTGTCCTTCGCTTGACCTCAATACTGCCCAAACGGTGATTCCACCAGACGTGAGCAATGCTACTAGGATAACTATGATCAGGACCCTGCAACCGTTTTATATCTTCTACTTTCAGATCTAAATCATCTTGCTAATGGTTAATACATTTATATTTTGTCGTGAACGTTGCGTCACTAGGCTTAGTGACATCTTAAACGTTAACTTCTATCATTTAAATATCTAACAGATAAATTAATGTGGTATTATACACTACCAAAGGACCCACGTTCTATTCAAATGCTTTGTCAGTATCATTTAGGTTTCATTTAGTATCAACATGTAATTACTGTTAACTTTTATCACATTATGAAGCAGGGCTAACCAAAATGTATTCTCTTCCTTCATATCCATTTCGTAATTGGCAATCCCAATGGTTCACCATAGATGATGGTGAATTGATCCTTCAGTTTCGGTTTTTTGTTCTCTTCCAAAACGGCTTATGATCTCTGATCTTTCTTTTTAAAAATAGTCACTTTATTGTAAATGCCCCTTGTAATTTTCAGCGGTTCATTACCATAGAAAACACATGTCATGCCTAGGTATTACCCAAAAGACCATTAATAGTAAGGTTTTTTCCAGCCCTTTCACTTTTCTATTTGAACTTTCAGCTTTAGTCGGTCATAAGTTCCATTTTGATAGTATCGATGACAGCCAAAGCTTTCAACAAGTTGGTCACTTTTTATCCTTTATGCGAACCACAAAAGCCGACTTCTTATTCAAGACAGAAAACGGGTAATGCTACGCCTATCCTGAAGTGTGATTCTTGGAGGGTGTCAACGGTAAAATCTAATAAAGGAATTATAGAATCGGTTAAAGTGTCTATTTTCCTATCGTTTGCTTTCAGAGGTCACCTTCATAGAGGTATAAATCTGGGAATAAGAATCTCCCCAGGTGAATTGGAGATATTTCACAAAGAAATATAATTTGAAAATCCATAAAATGTTATCTTGAAATCTTAGGTGAATACAAAATGACTGGTGTGTTTTGATGTTCTGATGTCCGTCCTACTTGTCATATGCATGGTTTTAAAAGGATCAAAGATAGGCAGAGGTATGTATGTATTCCATCCTAAAGGTTAAGTATCTTAAGATTACTATTTTGGTCATTCACCTTTTCATCTCCAACCCACGTGTTGTTTATTGAATGGCTTCCTGCATTCGTTGTGATGCAGTCCAGTAATTTGAGGTACTGAACTTTCTCCAGAAATCCTTCATCGTTTTATCCTTGTGTTTGTTTGTTTTTCGTTTTCATTATTTGAGATAGGGTTTAAGCAAGTAAATGATTAGTCTTATTACCAAAAGATTATGACTTTGAGAAGACCATGAGCCTAAAACTTGTTAGACAGGATAATACCAAACTTTGACACCTTGTATCATATACTCCCATGATGTCATGACTAAAAAGATTTTAACTGGTATAAATTTACAGCTTATTTAGTAGTTCCTTAAAAGTAAGTCACAAAAATAGACGGAAATTTTATTGGTTACTGAAGTTAATTGAGAATAATAAGCGGTTCAGTGATGAATTTTCTAACTGAGTCAAAAAAGAAATCACTTCAGATCTTAGAGGAAAATACAGATAGCAAGATTTTTCTATAATCTCACGATAGGCTGAATTAAGTGTGTAGCATGCCATGAATTTTTAGTCTTGACAACCTTAGATGAAAATATTGAATTATCTACTATTCGACGATGTTCAGGTTCGACCAAATTTCCAATATTATCATAAACCAGAGTGATATAACATTGTAGTGTAATATTTTTTTGTCTAAGATGTTGGTAAGTCCATTTTTAAGAATCTTCGTTTAGGACACTGATAATTAGAAGTGTATCTAAGTGTCAGGAATTAGTAATTGGTAACCCTAGGTAACTAGTTTTAAAGTCAATCCTTGATGGTAGTACATTCATACTTTATAATATTTTCACATACCATCATTCACTTATTTTCCCCTTTCATTTCTCTTAATTTAAATTTTGATATCATTCTTTTTCTGTCCAGTAGCTCTTTAGAAATAGTTTTGAAATGTTATGAATTGAACTGATTCCCAGTTTGTTTGTTTTTTCAGTTTCTTCATTAGTTTGCATGTTTGTAATTTACGAAATACTGTCACTATTTTCTTCGCGTTTTAGTCTGTATCGAACACCGAGGCAGATTATGACTTATAGTCAAGAAGCTAAATCCTATCGAGATCCTAGTGGACAATGGATACAATGTGGTTATTGTGATGACAGAGATCCTAATCTACGACATCCAATCGAATATGTTCTACGTGGTGAACCTAACCTATGGTGGCAGAGTCCATCATTAGCTCAAGGTTTACAATATCATGCAGTTACAATCACAATGGATTTTCGTCAGGTAAGAAATCTACACCTGAATTGTTTTTTATGCTTGTTAACTTCAGTCCTATTTGTAATCTATACATATTGACAACCTTCAGAAAAGCAACGCTATCACTGAGATTCTATTTTATAGAGATCCTTGATACTATTGAATACTTTTTAAAAAGATATTCAACCATCTGTAGAATCTGTTCTATGTTCTAACTTATCATCAGTAGCTAACTAAATCCAAATCTCGCAGTCTTGTTAAGATACAAATGTAAAAAAGTCTATAATGGATCCTAGATTCAAACTTATGCCATCTGCTGTGGTATGAATAACTGCATGGTGTCTTTCAGTCCAACGTGACCTATACGATTTCCTTCCGAATAAGTGGAAAATGTTTTATAACTAACTGAAATGAACGCGCTAAGATAAAATGGTTTTATAAGCCAGTTACCATCGGTGAGGTAAAGAATTTAAAACTGTCTTGTTCAGTTGACTCCGTTAGTCATCATGAAACACACACATTTTAGTAGTTGTGATGTAGAGATATCAAGTTGCAATTATTATGTAACACCTCATTAGAATTTCAACAAAGATTTCTGATAAATATGAAGTAGTATATTTTTACCGGATTTATAGAGTGTGCTCAGTTATTCATTAGAAGATCCTACAAAGCTTGCATGTAAAAATGAATGAAAGCATATCTTCCACTGTTACTGTGCTGTGTAGTACTTAAATGAACACAAATAAGTAGTATGTAATTCACTGCTACTGGAAAAAAAGTAATTTCAGTTGGCATTCAAACATTAAAAATTTGGGCAAAAAAAGTACTTCGAAGCAAGAAACTTCAGAAGGTTGGCGAAAAAGCATCAGAAACGGAGAGAAAATTTATCTCGAAGGTAGAATACATGGATTATATGTACAAATCTCACAGAATGCAATGTTAGAATGTTTTATCGATAGTCATTCTAGATATTGATGGATAGTGGATAGCAGTGGAATTCAGGATGCTCATTTTGTTCTGTTCTGGACTCATCAGCTAGATGTATCTGTCTCACAGATAGTGTTGTTATTCCTACTAAGGCTAGAATCCAGTACCCATCGATTCAAACGCCAGAGCGTTATCCACTAGGCCACCGAATCATGATAGCCACTTCTTATGCAATGGGTGTAATTTAAATGTTATTGCTTGCATTATCCCGTCGTTGATTGGAGCGAATCAATCGACCACTATTAGCATATGATATTAATTAATATAAGAATTTAAAACACATGGAATATGGAGGTAACCTCATAGGAGACCATATGGCAATAGAGACTGAGCAGTTTGGTCCAATCAGCGACAGGATAATACAGGGGACGTCAAATAATCATTTTACTTTCCCAATTAATAACCTCATCAGTCCTCACCAGTGAAATCCTATATTAGCGGCTAAAATTACGAAAAGCACTTGAACCTAGTAGTTCAGTTGTGAGAACATCATGCCAGAAACCGAGTGGTCGCTGGTTCGAATCCGGCCGTGGCCCAAATTTTTATTTCACCTTCAATCATCACCCAGTATAAATACTAGTCTGCTTAACTACGGCTATCTTGGATAGCCAAATGATAATCAATATGATGCTCCCCTTCTCTGATTCAGTTAGTTTTGGATTGGGATGAGAAGCGCTGACTAGGCAGCCAGTGTGAATACGATCAAGCGTCATGATGTCTTATTGTAGTCAAGCAAAATCCTTGGTGATTGGAGTAAAATAAAAATCTGGTTAGCTTGGCTGTTAGAGCATTGGGCTAGAAACCCGCTGGTTGCTCGTTGGAATGTGACTATGGTCCAAATTTTCATTTCATCTTAAATCATCACTCATGAAAAATCACTTTTAATATGATGTTCCATTCAAGGAAAACAACCCCAGTGCCCTATTATTTCGATTCTTGTTTTCAGTGTCCTTTGATGACTACTTTTTTTTCCGATTCAATGTTAACCACTGTCATGTTATCTCATATAAGAAGAAGAAACTCTACCGCTTGAAAATATTATTGAAATGATGAAAAATAAGAAAAAGACTTTAAACAAAGTTTCATGGGTTTTGCTATATAAAGACAAAAAACACATTCTATCTGAATAACGTACTCAGTTTTAATCCATGACAATAGAATCGAGAGAATTAACGACAAAAAACTCATTAGATTCAAAAAAAAACAACAGTTCAGTAAGTATGTAATATCATTAGGTATTGATCAGTAGGGCAAAAACAAGGTTAATCACTTGATCAAAAGTATGTACACAATGCAATGGTATATGTATACATTATTATTATTTTATCATTTGTCCCTTGGTTTCCTAGTGGAACATAGAGACTTAATAGCACGTCGCCATTTCACTCTGTTTTTTGCAATCTTCTGAACTTAGCTCCAAGACTACCCAGAAACTCTCATTTCTTCCTCAATCGATTAGAATCAACTAAATATAGTTCCATGTGTGTAGGATAAATTTTTCTTGCTCTTTTGCTGTCATACCCTTGAATAGTATTCATGTAATTGACCAATATTCAAAGAATTATGGATGAGAATCATTTCTGGCAAGATTTTATTATTAAGCTTCAAAAACGGTGACGATAGATAACACACGGATACAAATTTCAGGTAGCCTCATTTAAATATAGTTGATCAGCGCGAACAACTAATATTATTATAATATTTTTATTTGGCCTATAGGTTCCTAGTGAAACATACGGCTTCAGTAACACATCTCCATTTCACTCACTTCTTTGCAGTCTTTTCAACCTGGCTCCACAACTGGCAAGAAACTTTCACTTCTTCCTAGCATTATCTCCTCTCTGTCACCCTCAGTTGGGACGCCTAACTCGTCGTTTCCCATTTCGCTTCCACTCTGCAGCCTGGTGCGTGATGTCCCCAAAAAGGTCTTTTCAGTGTATGCCCAATCCACCTCCGCTTTCTTCTGCATATTTGTTGTTTGACGGGTTGTTGGTTGGTTCGTAGCCAGCCAGCCAGCCAGCCGGCCAGCCACAGTACCTCCTTACTTATTCTTATTATTCTGACCATCTGATCTCCAGTGTGAGTATCGAGTGAGTGTAGGTGGCAGCCGTTGATGATGAATGTCTGTAGTTTGTTGGAAATGCTTCTCGTAACGAGCCAAAGTCTGTGAACCATCACACAAAAGCACTGACTTGAGTGAGTGGGGTGGAGTGGAGTGGAGTGGAGTAGATCTCCACACTGATTATTTCAGAATAATGAAGGAATGGGAGGCTTACTGTTTATATGATCCTGCTTTTGACGTCCTCATCTGCTCCAACGTCGCCATTGTCGCCACCTGTAGTTGAAACGATGCTGTGTAGGTAGGGAGGTAGATTAAAAAGACTGCTTCCCTTAGATTTCTCCCGTTCATGGTGATTGGAGCTTCTTGTTGTTGCTGTTGTTGTTGTTGTTGTTATTGGTTGGGTATCTTCATCACCTCTGTCTTCTCCACATTCACTTGAAGTCGCGTTTTCCCTGCTTCGCCTCTTCTTCGAACTTGTTAGTTTTCACCCGTAGATGTTCGAGTTTGTGCGAGAAGACATAAGACATAAATAGTCATTGGCGAAATCGAAATCTTCTTCTGTGGTCTTTTAATCGGTGCATCCATAGTATGCTCATTTTCTCGCTGCTCACAGTTTTTTGCATGATGCAGTCGAGTTTAGTCGACCACAATCAGGAATATCATGGGTGATAGTGGGTAGCCTTGTCTTACTCCTATCTTCACTTCAAAGGCGTCACTGAGTTTACAACTAATATTATACTACTGAAATTGGTCATATTAAGAAAACTGAAGTCTTTTCAAGATTATTTCCCTTCACAAACTTTGTCTTTCACCTTTTATACGGTATTGTTTCTCATCATTTATATCATCATCTCAATGTAGGCTTATTCCACTTACTGTTGATAACTAAATATTTTCTGTCAAACGAAAGTCATTTTTATCGATTTAAATTGTGATTTGTTTTTGTGCTTACATACATCTGCCATTCACACTTGAGTAAACCTCCGAATGGAGAAAAATAATCAGACTTACGTTATCAATAAACTGGAGTATTTATGCTAACCTATAGTTTGTTTTAACAAATACTTATACAATTTCATTCATTAAATTATTAATTGAAAAAAAAGAAACAATTTTTACTGAATATAAAATTCATTGGATTCCTTCTCATCTTAGCTCCTCTACATTGACTATGTTCCAGATAGCTCACACTGCAAAGGTTACTTAGTGTCAATAGTGGATATAGGACAAATCGATACGAATCATGTAAATATAGGAATGTCTTACAAATGTTTGCTTTTAGCAGGAAAGCATATTAGGCAAGAAATACTAAGTACTTGATAACTAGGCGACTCAGGTCAACGGAAGTAAATCTTATAAGAATATTTCATTATAACATACACACAAATACATGACTATGTGGAGAAGAGAAAGTGAAGTTTCAAATGTATATGAATCTTTTTGAGCTGATTCTTGAATAGACACCTCAATGTATAGTTAAGCTACATATCACTTAGTCTTGGAAATATGTTTCTGAATAGAAAATAAATTGACGATCAGTAAGTGTAATAGTTATTTTAAAGTAATGGGAAGTATAACATATGACAGGTGAAGATCATTACTGTAAAACTGAAATTTTTATGAAAATAAGCTGAAACTGCATAAGACATTAGTGGATTTTAGAAAAGTATATGAACAAATAGTTCCATCTATGGTGTTTAAGACCCTGTAATTATCGAATTCGCTTCATAAAGCATTTCACCGCCATTTAAATGACCTTCAACTATCATCAGTGTTTTAGTCTGTTTATTAGAAATATCACACGGTGAAACAGTAGCATTCACTGGATAACGTTTCGGACATAATTTATTGTCCATATTCATATCAGGTGACTCCACAGTTTTGAGACAGTCTTTATATATTCCTAGTTTTCTCTCCTCTCCTCCTTCTTCACAGAGAAGGAGAGAAAACTAGGAATATATAAAGACTGTCTCAAAACTGTGGAGTCACCTGATATGAATATGGACAATAAATGGAATTATAATCGACCACAGTGCCCAAGTTTTACGCTTATATTATCATCAATGTTGTTATTCATCGTAGACTGACATCAGTTAGAGGAAAAAAAGGAAACCTGGGAACACTGGACAGCTGTTTCGTCCTAGTATGACACTCCACAGCAGTGCTCATCCATGACCTCGCCAGCGATCGAACCCATGACTTTCAGGTTCCGTGGCTAGCACGTTATCATTGAGCCACTGAGTCAGAATCCAGTGGTCCATATTTCCAACTTCTGTTAGCTCACGATATAGGGCAACCTTTGTTCCTCCAACTGATGTCAGTCTTCGATGAATAACATCTTGAAATATTTCCGAATCCCCATAACTCCCTCAAAATATCATCATTGTCTTTCAACCCCTGTTGGAAGGTATAGGTTATCGTAAGCTATGCATAACTTACGTCTGCGTAAGGTAATGTATTCATTCGAACGGCTTTCATCCATTCTAAGCTAAAGGCTATAGTTGTTTATCATTCAGTCATTCATTTAAGTCAGCTTGAAACCCAGGCTAAGAAGTCAGTTTTTTGCACCAGGTTCTCATAAACGATTAGTGTATTTACCGAGTTTTCGATTTGTCTTGCTCTGACATGATAATTTAGGCTAAGTATGACAGACTTGGTTGACGGTGAACAGTAGATAGGGAATAAAGTATCGCTAAGTAGCGAATGTATTTAGATAACATTTTGAGTTTCCAGATACTTTTACACTATCCGGAAATACCCTATTTTCAGTCAGTGATATTTATTTAGGTAAATCACTTATCTAATAGGGAATAAGACATTTTGGATTGCCTTGATGGGCAAGTACAGCATGGTCTAGCTTAAGCAATAAACACTCAAAGCTGATTGATTATTGATTGAAGAATATAACACCTAATAAGCATAAGGTATTTAACAACTCCTTAATTTGAAAACACTTATTTTTCAACATATTTAAATCACCTAACAGAATTTATAACAAGTTATAACATAAGGACTATATCTGTCTCACAAGGACTGAGTGTCGTGACGTTTGAAGCGATGAGTACTGGGTTCTAGTCTTAGTGGGAACAACAACACTCACTGGCAGGCAAGAACATCCAGCTGACAAGTCCTGGATAGGACGGAACTCACGTCCTGACTTTTTTGCCGCCTTGTTCTTTTTTTTTGGTATGTATGTATAGTAAATTGTACTTGAATTCCCTTAATGTCTGGATGTCGTCTCTTTTTGTGTTGTAACACGAGTTTGCTTGAAATATCTCTGGGACTGATTCACTGTTTATCATGAAGCCATTAAATGTATCTACTTATCTTCATGGGCTAAGTCAAACTGTTTTCAAACAATTGTATTTTAAATTTTGAGGGGGTTGTGGAGATTTGGAAATATTTCAAGTTGTTATTCATCGAAGACTGACATCAGTTGGAGGAACAAAGGAAACCTGGGAGCACTGGACAGCTGTTTCGTCCTAGTATGGGACTCCTCAGCAGTGCGCACCCACGACCCCACCAGCAGGGATCCAACCCGCGACCTTCAGGTTCCGCGACCAGCGCGTTACCATTGAGCCACTGGGTCGGAATCCAATGCTCCATATTTCCAACTTCTGTTAGCTCACGATATAGCGCAAACCGCCACCCAATGTCATCGTTGAGTATTTGTCCTCACGGCCATCAGGCTTTGACTCCACCGGTCACGACTTGTCATTGGAACTTCGAGAATACTTCTCGAAGCTAGTCACCAACGAGCACTAGTTCAATTAAATTTTGAGGGGGTTGTGGAGATTTGGAAATATTTCAAGTTGTTAAGCCTGATGGCCGTTAGGACAAATACTCAACGATGACATTGGGTGGCGGTTTGCGCTATATCGTGAGCTAACAGAAGTTGGAAATATGGAGCATTGGATTCCGACCCAGTGGCTCAATGGTAACGCGCTGGTCACGGAACCTGAAGGTCGCGGGTTCGATTCCTGCTGGTGGGGTCGTGGGTGCGCGCTGCTGAGGAGTCCCATACTAGGACGAAACAGCTGTCCAGTGCTCCGAGGTTTCCTTTGTTCCTCCAACTGATGTCAGTCTTCAATTGTATTTTAATTATCCAGTTTCTCTACATGAAATTTAGTTATCTGCATACAATGCTGTTCTTATCGGTATAGGTGTTGTGTGAAACATAGGGAAAAAAAGATTTGAGAAGAGATAATGCTTGTATTTAAAAGCATTTGTAAACCTTATTAAAAATCAAACAGTTAACCGAACATCATTAGTTAACGATGGGATATCTTCAGATCTACCAGTACATGAGGCGAACGGACCACTGACTATGGCGTATGCAATGAAGTATATCACCAATATAGGCTACTAAGGTTAGTGGTTGAATAATACCAGATATATGTTGATGGCCCCGGATATTTTGTATCTTATGTTGATGAGTGAGGCAACAAAATACCTGCGTATAAACAGAGTTCAAAAGTATGACCTTTGGCTTTCAGCTTAACATTTACTGGGGCGACTCTATAGGCCACCCTAGCAACTGCCAAAATAAACAATCAGGTTGCCATATTTTGTCTGGGAAGCAATTTCTCATAGAATGGAGAAAAGTTGTTGGTTGTTTCACCACAGTTGTTACGGTAGATGCTTTAGTCTCTCCATTCACTGCTGGAGTCCCAAACTGATTTCCAACCACTTTTTGTCACTCAGCCGATAGAGCACTGAGTTGATAAGTTTAAAAGTTTTTCCAAGCCCTTCAGGACTGCATTGTGTTTATTTCCAAATTTACTGATTATCAATGAGCTAAGCTGAAAAAATTAGTAATTTTATCTAGATAAACGGAGTGACTTTAAAAGCCGCCCTAGCAACAACTGAAGTGACCAATCAGGCTTTGCTATTTCGCTTGGAAAAGTACTTTTCCATGAAATAAAAGAATGTAATTGGCTGTCTTTTCAGTTTCTAGGGTGGCCTTTAAAGTCTCCCGATAAATGAAAGTGATTTGATTTAAATTACTTAGTTAAAACGTTATCTACACCTTTTCCTACCATGGCGTCCTGTTGATAGACCCTTGAATCTTATATCAATGATCACTGTTTGCTAATTAAACTCAGAGTGATCTTTCAAACAACGGAAAACACACACTTCTTTAAAGTTGTACGTAGTCTAACAAACTTTGGTTAATCACAGAAAATGGTAGAATTGGTAACTACTTTTACCTATTTACCATGTGGAAAAATTACAAGAACAACATCAATTGGTGAATTACTGGAAAATAGGAAGCAATATACAACTGAATTATCTCAGCTTGAGATCTTTGAGTAGTATACAACAATGAAAAATATACCGGGCTCAGCTCCAAACCGGTATGTCTCACAGTAAGCAGGTTATTTATTATTCAATCACTGAGCTTGGAATCCAAAAATTCAATTTCTTGAAATTCAGTTCAGTAATAATTTAATGTTACTAACTAGAAATATTCATGCAGCAAACTGTGAGCAGCGAGAAGATGGGCATACCCTGGCTGCACCGATGAAAACAGTCTAGGAGATTTGGATTTCGCAGATGATTTATGTCTAATGTCTTGTGGCACAAACTCGAACATCTACAGGCGAAAACTAACAAGTTGACAGAAGAGGAAGGACAGAGAAAACGGGACTTCAAGTGAATGTAGAGAAGACAGAGGTGATGAAGATACCCAACCAACAACGGCATCAGCAACAAGCACCAATGACCATTAACGGGAGACACATAAAGGAATTAGTCTCTTCAACCTACCTAGGCAGCATCATTTCAACTACAGGCGCCACAGGCACAGATGAGGATGTCAAAGTCAGAATCGGAAAAGCAAGACAGGCGTACATTAACCTGAAACCAGTGTAGGAGATCTTCTGCACTTAGCATAAAGCGCGAACAACATCCGGATTTTCAACACCAATGTCAAGTTAGTGCTGCTATACGGTTCAGAAGCTTGGCGCATCATGGAAAGCACTTTATACAAACTACAGACATTCATCAACAACTGCCTACGCTGGCTCGTTACTGAAGCTCAGATGGCCGGAAAGAATAAGCAACAAGGAACTCACTCTAGAAAGGAACCAACCAAGAGCCTATCTCTCAGCAAATATGCAGTGGAAGAAAATGGGGATGGGTCGGGCATACACTGAGAAGGCCGACTGGGGACATCACGCATCAGGCCAGGCCCTGGAATGGAACCCAGATGGGAAACGACGAGTTGGGCCTCCGAGGCAAGAGTGACATAGAGAAGATTATGTGAGGAAGAAATGAGAGCTTGTGGTCAGTCGTGCAGCTAGGTTAAAAGGACTGCAGAGGACAGAGTTAAATGGAGGCGTACTACTGAATCCCTATGTTCCACTAAGAACCCAAGGGAAAAATAATAATAATAAATAAGAAGAAATATCATTATTACATATCCGTTATCATGTTATGACTTTCAGCTAGGACTTCATGCAATCGATGTTGAATTGTTTCACTGACTAACAGATGATTAATTGTACGATTAGGTGATCTGTGTGAAACTAAATAACTTGAAGATATATTTTATCATAAAGTGAATAAGCTGGTAGTAACATTATTAGTGTTTTCAATTATCATAGTCAAAAAAATTTGAAAAAATATCTTCACTTTAATCCAACTGGCAAAAATTTATTTTCATAACAATAGAACTGTTGTTAGTTTTGTATTCATTCAAAATTATATCTGTTTATATTTTCTAAAGATTCATAAAAGCCTAGCATGGTCGTTTAGTGAATATGTTAATAGCCTATCTTTTTTTTATATTCTTCATCATGACTACTAACAGTTGTTTTCAAATATTCCTTTACATTTTATACTCTTGATCCCATTTCTAATGATATTATCTTTTATATTTTTCAAAGGTCTATCAAATTGTCTATGTACTACTACGTATGGGAGATAGTCCAAGACCAGCTAATTGGATTCTAGAGCGTTCAATAGATGGAGATATATATCAACCATGGGTATTCTTTGCTAAAACTGAATATGACTGTAAGAAACTATATGCATCATTTATTGATCAACCGTTGACTATTACAAGTGGTCCAAGACCATGGCATTTGCGTGATGATGAAGTTAGTTTTATTCTTAAAAAGTTTGTTTACTAACTAATTTCAATGAGTAGTTATATTATATAATCACTTTCTTCCTAGTTTTGGCAACATTGTTTTTTTTTAGCAAGAGTTTCGACTTCCACTAACTTCTACAATCATACTATGAATACATTCACAATTCACTTTTAAATGAAGCTTAAAAGTGGACGACATTAAAAATTCCCTTAATAAAGACTCAAATCATTCATTATACATTATTATTATTTATTTTTCTCTAGGGTTCCTGGTGGAACATGCGGCTTCAGTAGCACGTCTCCATTCCACTCTCTTCTCTGCAGTCTTTTGAACCTTGCGCCACAACTGCCCACAACCTCTCATTTCTTCCTCACACGATCTCCTTCATGTCACCCTTGGACACCCAACTCTCCGTTTTCCATCTGGGTTTCACGCGAGTACCTGACGCATGATGTCCGCGAACGATCTTCTCAATGTATGCCCAATCCAATCCGTCTCCACTGTTTGCTTCTGCATATTTGTTGAGTGATATATTCTTGGTTGGTTCGTTGCCAGCCAGCCAGAGTTCCTCATTGCTTATTCTTACTATTCTGGCCATCTGATCTTCAGTATCGAGTGCGTGTAGGCGGGAGCTGTTGATGATGAATGTCTGTAGTTTGTTGGAAATGCTTTTCCTGATGCGCCAAGTTTCTCAACCATATAGCAGCACTGACTTGACTGACATTGGCGTTGAAAATCCGAATCTTGTTCTTTATGCTAAATGCAGTAGATCTCTACACTGATTTTAGATTAGTGAAAGTCTTTCTTGCTTTTCTGATGCTGGTTATGGCGTCCTCGTCTGTGCCGCCATCGCCGCCTGTAGTTGAAAGGATACTGCCTAGGTAGGTTGAAGAGACTAATTCCTTTATGTGTCTCCCGTTAATGGTCATTGGTGCTTGTTGCTGATGCCGTTGTTGGTTGGGTATCTTCATCACCTCTGTCTTCTCTACATTCACTTGAAGTCCCGTTTTCTCTGTCCTTCCTCTTCTGTCAACTTGTTAGTTTTCGCCTGTAGATGTTCGAGTTTGTGCCACAAGACATTAGCTATAAATCATCTGCGAAATCCAAATCTCCTAGACTGTCTTCATCGGTGCAGCCAGGGTATGCCCATCTTCTCGCTCCCGATGATTTGCTGCATGATCCAGTCCATCACAATCAGGAAGATCATTTCACACAGTAAATCTCTTTTCTCAGCTGTTATTCAAACGATATCATTCCATAACGAAAAATAATTCCGTTATGGTGTAACTACTGACCACAATGCTCATTCTAGGTCTCTGATTCATGTTTAACCTTAAAATCCATCAGTGGTAATTAAATCCATAGTTCTGTGGTTTATTTACCGCTATTTTATTATTTAATCCCTTCTGCATTTAAATATCTATCCATATCCTAACTATTATACATTTACCAGGAAACCATATGTAATGATAAGATATTTGAAGCACCATGTAATCCAATGCAGCTTAACAAAGTGGTCATGCTTATCTCTGGTTGAAAAATTCCATATTAGCGTCAAGAGACGAAAAATTAGGAAAAATTTTTCATAGACAGTGTTTAGTTCCTACAAGTTTATTAAACAAACAGATATGTAGATAGTTTAGACAATGTCCCTTTTCTTAGTCTACTGGACAGTTTATTTTATCCTCTCCCATCTAACATATTTTTACCAACAAAGTTTTTTTTTTAATCATTTTAAGTCTCATTTTTATGATGCTTTACTTGAATTAAACTGATCCACTTGGTCTAAAGCAACACTTAAAACTTTTCATTCCTATATATCCGATAATGCACGAGTATTTCGTCACAGAATGTATATTGACTTTTTATTCAAGATGATAGAGGTTGGTGCATTGGATGAGATATAATCTATCTCAGGCTCATACTTGTGAGCACTTGTCGCTTACATATCTCCCAAACTCCTGGTTACAAATCATTTTCGAATGAAAATTCAAACTTGTAACATTCTCTATACTGAAGTGAAAAACCTTATTGGTGAATGTCAACGATGATAAAGCCAAGATTTTTGATGCCCTAATAACGACTAATCCTTGATACCTTACAAAGAAATTGAACTATCTAATTCTCACGTTTCTTTGAATTTCAGAACTAAATAAATGCTAAAGAATATAGGTTGACTAGTGAAATTCAGAATTAAATGAAGCGACAAAAAAAAGGGTTTTGCTGACTCTGAGAAATCAGCTTACTTTAAGCATAAAAGATGTTTCTTTTCCTTCTAAGGTTGCATCATTAAACCTTGTGATAACATGCAGTTTTGCTAGTGCATGATTTTTATGCATATTAGAATTTGACTGAATATCCTAATTTTATGCCTTTGATTTTTTCTTTACCTAGAAAAGTATCTCAAAGTGATGAAATTCACTATAAGTCGAACCAACTTTGAAATAGCCAGTTCTACAAGAACTACTCAAATGAAGAATAATTGATGATTTCATTCTAAATAAATAAATACTCTTAGGTTGGAATAGATACTCATGATATGTTGAAATAACAAAGCTGTTATCCAGGACAGATATCCACCGATAACATTTAACCACGGTTGCAATATATTTCAAACTGAAAGAGGTTGGAGTTCAACTTACTGATTGAATAATAATATTTTCACCATAAAACCTGATGAGTATGAGTACAATCCTAATGTAGAATCATTAGTGCATACTACTGAACACTCCCGAACTGAGACGAAATGGCTACACACCCCTCCCAGGTTTCATGTGGTTTTCTGAATGATGTCAACCCATGATGATTACCAACCTGAAGTCAGACGATAAATTTCCACGAAAATTCAATATCGAACTTTTCTGGCTTTTTTAAGACTTTGACTCCAGTAGAAGTTATACTATTTACCTTTGAGTGAATTTTTCTTTATAGTGGTAAGCATCATAACTCGAAGTCTTCATGTTTATACTGGGTTGTCCTCTAAGCTGATATCCATAATGAAACCTTGTAAAGTAACACTGATTGTGACGTTTGGCATAAAGCTGAAATATTTACTTGCCAAAAACCCAATTCATAAAATAGCTCGATCTGAACAGAAACTCTAACTTTCCAGCCTTGTCTAGTAAATAAAAGTACACAGTATTCAGAAATGTTGAACATCACTGTGGGATTTACAAATAAGTTTTCAATCATCCAATCAATTGCCTTTTCCCTACGTGGTCATCTCACAAAAATGTTTGTACTAAGAATGGTAAACTAAGATTTTTATTTAAACATATTTAACTGAATCATTATGGTTTTCGAAGGCTGATATATATATATATATATATATATATATATATGTTCGAGAACGAATATAATACGCGCGCTTAGCTGACAGCTAACTTGGTACGCAAAAGTCACTGACTGCAAACCTCAGGACGAATAGAGAGAAGACCGAAGCTGGCAGATGGGAGAGTGTATTACTCCGAAAATATAATATAATAACAATGAATCAATCCAAAACACGTGAATAAGTATACACGTGAGAAATGACCTTGTTCGCAATTGGAGAAATTCGCATAGTAAGAGTAAAAGTTAACCAATCAGTGAATCGCATTACAATGGAGGTTGAAGTAGATTATTAGTCAAAACGTTCAAATAATGAGGGAATGACACGTTAAAATGTTCAGATCAATACAAGACTGGGGCATCACAACAATCATACTCATTGTTTTTTATCATTCATTAACTGTTTTACCATGTATTCAACTTTTATCTACTTCAACTTATTAACAAGTTAATTTTAACAACTTTATTTTATTCAGGTTTATTGTACAACATTCTATAGTCAACCTCAAGCATTACAATCAGGTGAAATTATTGTTACACTAACTTTGGATCGTGAAAGTACAATGTCTACTGAAGCTGGAATGGAAAATCCAATATCATCAAAACTTATTGTAAAGATTTGAACTTTTTTTCTCTTTATCGAAAAATTTAGATGAGTATTTTTTAACCATACTGATTGTCTCTTCCACTTCACCTTTAGGTTTCTGTGAATAATTTTTTTAATAATTATTATCATTATTTGTTATTACGGTTTCTAGTGGAACATAGGGATTCAGTAGCATGTCGCTGTTTCACTCACTTCTCTGCAGTCTTTTCAACCTGGCTCCAGTACCGCTCATAAGCTTTCATTTATTCCCTACACTATCTCCTCCATGTCAGCCTCGAAAACCCAACTTGTCGTTTCTCATTTCGCTTCCACTCGACGGCCTGGCCGGACGCATGATGTCCTCAAACGGTCTTCTCAGTGTATGCCCAATCCATCTCCACTTCCTTCCACCGCGCATTTGTTCAGCGATAGGTTGGTTCGTTGGTTCGTTGCCAGCCAGCCACAGCTCCTCCTTACTTATTCTTATTATTCTGACCATCTGATCTCCAGTGTGAGTATCGAGTGAGCGTAGGTGGCAGCTGTTGATCATAAATGTCTGTAGTTTGTTGGAAATGCTTCTCGTAACGAGCCAAAGTCTGTGAACCATCACACAAAAGCACTGACTTGAGTGAGTGGGGTGGAGTGGAGTAGATCTCCACACTGATTATTTCAGAATAATGAAGGAATGGGAGGCTTACTGTTTATATGATCCTGCCTTTGACGTCCTCATCTGCTCCAACGTCGCCATTGTCGCCACCTGTAGTTGAAACGATGCTGTGTAGGTAGAGAGGTAGGTTAAAGAGACTGCTTCCTTTAGATTTCTCCCGTTCATGGTGATTGGAGCTTCTTGTTGTTGTTGTTATTGGTTGGGTATCTTCATCACCTCTATCTTCTCCACATTCACTTGAAGTCGCGTTTTCCCTGCTTCGCCTCTTCTTCGAACTTGTTGGTTCTCACCTGTAGATGTTCGAGTTTGTGCGAGAAGACATAAGACATAAATAGTCATTGGCGAAATCGAAATCTTCTTCTGTGGTCTTTTAATCGGTGCATCCATAGTATGCTCGTCTTCTTGCTGCTCACAGTTTTTTGCATGATGCAGTCGAGTTTAGTCGACCACAATGAGGAATATCATGGGTGATAGTGGGTAGCCTTGTCTTACTCCTATCTTCACTTCAGAGGCATTACTGAGGTTTCCATGGTGAATGTCTTGGCATGTAGGGTCGTCATATAGCTGTTGAATGAGGTTGATAAATGTTTTATTGGTAGTTTAATAAGTGACGCACTCGTTTATTATTGCTACTTGTCGATAAGCTTGTGATTCTCCGTTGTGTTTGCTGAATGGAATTGTTCTATCTTTATTGGGATATGGGCTCTTATACGGATGCCTCGATATTGCTTGAATATTTACTATGTTAATGTGCCTGGTGGTGGTCAGCAGATGAACCTAGAATGCGCCTTTCATCCCATTCGGGCTCGTCAGCTAGATGTACCTGCACCCTAGTGAGTCGTGTTGTTCCCACTGAGACTAGAATCGTACCAGTTGCTTGAAACACCAAGATGTTATCCACTAGGCAACTGAGGTTCGATAGCCACCTCTTATACAATGGGTATTATTTATTACTACTTGTTGATATGCTTGTAATTCTCCGTTGTCTTACTGGATCAAATTGTCCAACCTCGTATTGCATTTGAAGCGATGCGTATTTGTTTCGAGTTTCAGTGGGAACATCACTCACTGGAGTGCAGGTACTTCCAGCTAACGAGTCCCGAATTGGATTCTTGGATTCTTCTGCCAGCCACAACCAAGTGAATTTCTTTGTTATTCATTTTGAGGAATTACAAGTCAATTCATGAGATATCAGCAATTGAAATGCATTCGTTGATAAATAGGTTGTTGCTGAACATAAAGTAATCTAACTTTACCCAGATTAGAATCCTACTTCGGACTTTTATTTGTTTGTTCAACTGTTATATAAATTGCAAACATGCAAATGTTTATTGTATGTAACACTAGTTGTCAATCTTTTTCTACATAGTTCAACCCAAACCAATTTGGATTAGAAAAGGAGAGAAATTGATTGATTGACAATTTGAGATAGCTTTGGTTGACAGAATTTTATTGCTATACAGAAGAACCTAACTGAAACCCATCAAAGAATGGATAGTCAGTTGTCTGTCATCGATAAAACGCTTACATGGAACATTTAGTTGGTGAAGTAATGGTGGGATCTAATTAGCAGTTTGGTTTAGTAGCTTAGTTGGTGGAATGCCTGGTTGGTAATCCGGAGATCGCTTATCCTAACTGTAAGATGACTTAAGTCTTTTATTTGCTTCAGTCATCAGTTCTGAATATGAAAATCAGGCTGCTAACAAATGCTACCGATGGTATTTCAACTAATAATCAATATGTTTTAGTGAACGAACACTAAAGACGAGACCATGACATCCATGACTGATTAGGGTACATTAAAATGTCTAATAGCATTTCAACTGAATAATGAGGAACATGTATCACACGCAAAATATTCTCAGATATGCTTTACTGATGAGTTAGGTAAATATGAGGCTTAGGTAAATGATTTTCAATTTACTCCCTTCAGTCAACTAATACACGGAATTTTTGTGTATTTTTTTACATTCCTGGAACTAATCACAAGAAGGAAATAAGTGTCTTGATAAGAAATTACATTCTACTTGTTGATATACTTAACAACTTACACCGAAAAAAACCAAACAGCTAAGTATCGTATTATACATTTGTATAGTGTGTGTTCAAGAGATTTCAATTCAAAATAAATGTCATCCATTCAATATCCTACTTATTTTTCCAGCATGAAGTAAGTAAGCAAAGAATATTATTTAAAAAGACAAGATATTGTCTGTCTACAAAGTTTAGGTCAAATTTGCCATGGGTAACACTTAGCTTTATCCACCAAGCTTTAGAATACAATGCTAAAATACAGTGTGTTTGAAAAAAGCGATTCAGTTGAGTTTGTCTCATTGGGGTACTTGGCCTTTCTTGAATTTACTGTCTAAAAGTATTAGCAACTTATGAGGAAACCAGGAAGTTTATTACTTGTGGCTGAAGTCACATACTTAACCAATACACAATTTTATGATGAATAGAAATAATAAACTTTCAGTTAATATCTTCAGTTATTTCCTAGGAGGTGTAATAGGAAGAAAACATTCTAGTTTAATTGATACCTCTACTTGACCATTGTAAAAATTAGTGTTATTATGTCAACTGAATGGTTTACAGGGAATTGTCACCTTGATCATAGATTAACAACAGCTTGAAGGCAATGTAAAATGATTCTCTAAGTGATGCTTACCTTTACTGAAGATTGTATAACATTTATTGATGTGTTTTTTTTTTAAAAAAACTTTATTTACTACAGGACTTTTTATCTGCTCGGTTTGTTCGACTACGTTTTCAACAATTGCAAACACTTTCTGGTGATTGGATGGCTATGCCAAATCAGTTAGATAGTTCAGTTTATAACAGGGTATGTGTTACATTTAGATACTTAATTGATATCTAGTTTCATTTATTGTTCAGTGTTTTTCAGTGTCTTAAAATAGTGAGAAGATTACTAATTGAAGGTAAATTTAATCAAGGGATTGTATCAATTGCAGAACAATTGAATATCAGGAGGGCTGTACTTCTAATCTATTTTCATCCTACAACCATATATCACATTGAGCTCTGCAGTGAGTATATCATCAATAAATTATCACGTTAACATCTAATAATTCCTAATGTAGTAAAGTTCTGGTAGCATATTAGTTATTATCATCTTTCTTTCAATGAATGATTGATTCTACTCATGTGAATTGCTACAATATAACTGGTCTACTGTAGTCAACTTAAGTATTCCTTTTAATGTAGACAGGGTCTGTTGACCAGTTGGACAAAAAACTATATTAGATGCGAATTTATAAATATTGAAAAGGAGTCGTCAAATCAGTCCACTTTCACATGTATTATTTTAATCATCATCAAAAGTAAACTAGGATCAAACATTACTGCTTAACGGTCCAAGTTCCCACACCTTATATCAGCACATCAAGTAAACATGGCAATAAAATGGAAGATGAATTAAGAAAGAAAAATTGGTTAAAGGAGATAGAAGTAGAAAGTAGTAAAAGAGAGGAAGAAGGAATGAGAAAATGATGGGGTTAAGTATAGTAGTTAAAATGAGGATGATGTGTGTATGCATTGGTGCCACTGACATCGGTTGCGAGCCATATCGCATTGTCTCCAACCACTGATTTCTCTTATCCCACAGACCTTAACTAGCTAGTCTGCATTGCCCTACATGGCTCAAACGAACAGTCAAAGACTTCATACATTGTTGCCATGTTTTAGTCTGGCTGTCTTGAACCTTTTCTCAGCCTGAACCTACTTTGGACAGTATTATATGATGAGGCAGACGGCTACTAGGCATACGTAACACATGTCCCAGCCACCTCAGTCCAAGTAGGTTCACAACCGCACCAACTGTTTTACCTATCCTTCCTAAAACTTTATTTCTGCGTTATTCACATAATGACACCATGAAACATGACCTATGCTACGAAGACAACGGTGGTCAACCATCTGAAGCTTTCTCATGTCTTCTACCTTTAATAGTCATGTTTCACAGCCATACAGTAGAACAGAGCGGACTGCAGCATAGTACACTCGACCCTTAATAGACAATCGGATTCTGCAGTGGCTCCCTGGCAAGAACCAGCCAAGCCTTTTGTATCCGTGCAGAGATTTCCTCGGCCACTGACCAACACACTAGGGCTAACCCGACTTCCTAGGTAAGTGAAGTGTTCAACGCGCTCAACCACTTCACTCTCTATTGTTAGTCGGGGTACCATTGAAGACAAGTCCTGAACCAATGATTTGCATTTAAGTGGTGAGAAAGGCGACTCAAACATTTTCAACTTGCCACTCAAGGTATCCAGATTGGCTGTTCTACTAAACCAGATGATGAGAAGTTTTGATGATTTAAATGAACGATTACGAAAATCGATTGTTGAAAAAGGAAAATCACCGAAGTCATCTCAAAAAATAACATTTTCAACTTTCATTAAATTATCTTCGAAATTCATTAGTTACATAACCTACACCATTCACTACTCAGTGATATCCATCATACTAAGTCACGCAGAACAACTGTTTTATCTGGACAAAAGTTCTAATCGTACTGACCTGAGCTTAATTCATAGATAGGGTACACATTGAAGATGATCTGGAAAGAATTAAAAATTTAGCTAGAAAATAGTTCATTTATTTCATAAGGTACCAAACTAACACCTGAGATGGAGTCATCAAAATATTTTCACATAGCCAAACACCAAGTGCTGACTGACTGCATATCAGAGGATAAAGCAGGTAGTCAGTCAAGATAAGATAATAATTTACTGACTACGATGGTATTTTAATTCCATTACTTGTAACCAGTGTTGCAGAGCAAGGCTATGCCACTACTTGCATATGAGCTTCTGTTCCGATGCTTTGATATTACTGGTAATTATCATTAGATTCATCTGACGAGTCCTAAATACGATGATATGTTCATCCTGGATTCCAGTACTAACCACAATTCATCATAAGTATAACAAATCAATCTTAATAAACCTCATCAACAATCAAAATCAATCATCTGTAAAACATTTCAAAGTATCATCACCTTATATTCAGTAGTTGATAGTCGAACAATTCCAACAACAACTGAGAGATAATTTCTCTCTTTATGACACTGAAAACATTTTCATTTAAATATCTAAAACACAACACCAGAAAGTTAATCATATATTACTGAACTGATTGATCTGAGGATAAATTATTGATTCCATAGTGTTTTCCATCATGAATTTATGTCAGCCGGAGAATAATAAAAAATCCAAAATCACTGAATGACCGTTTCATTCTAACTCCTAACTCCTTAACAGTACATAACCACAAATTCGTTAGTGATTTTCAATGATTTTATCATTTACATCACTCTGTGGTAAGAAATAGCTTCAGTTTGCTACTGAATAACAAACAAGTTTTAACAAAATGTTATAAAATATATACTCTTTGTTGAGCTTCTGTTATGCTAACCTTCTAGATAGAGAGATAAACCAATGTTTAATGATGTGTAGAGTTGTAAACGTTCAAGTTGCCATGCTGTGGAGTCGATAACATTTCTTGCTGAAGAGGATATTACAAGTTGTTATTCATCGAAGACTGACATCAGTTGGAGGAACAAAGGAAACCTGGGAGCACTGGACAGCCGTTTCGTCGTAGTATGGGACTCCTCAGCAGTGCGCACCCACGACCCTACCAGCAGGGATCGGACCCGCGACCTTCAGGTTCCGTGGCCAGCGCGTTACCATTGAGTCACTGGGTCAGAATCCAATGCTCCATATTTCCAACTTCTGTTAGCTCACGATATAGCGCAAACCACCACCCAATGTCATCGTTGAGTATTTGTCCTCACGGCCATCAGGCATTGGATTCTGACCCAGTGGCTCAATGGTAACGCGCTGGCCACGGAACCTGAAGGTCGCGGGTTCGATCCCTGCTGGTAGGGTCGTGGGTGCGCACTGCTGAGGAGTCCCATACTACGACGAAACGGCTGTCCAGTGCTCCCAGGTTTCCTTTATCCCTCCAACTGATGTCAGTCTTCGATGAATAACAACTTGAAATATTTCCAAATCTCCACAACTCCCTCAAAATTGAAGAGGATATTAGCCTGATATATGGAATACATCCCACATTTCAACTACTATGTTTCACAGAAATAGATTAAGCGACGAATTACTACCCTTTAAACTCATTCTTTGACTGGCATTTAAATATTTCGTCAGTTCTATAGGTATCATTGGTTAGAGAATCCTAAATAGGCCTTTTGAATCCTATTCTCAGATCTCTTCAGTAAAGAGTTCTGTAAAGAAGAGCCTACCTTTCAACAAGTAAATCTATCAGTCTATTTAATTAATTCAACTCTCTTATCTTAAAATAAAACTTGGTCCTGTCTTTTAGAACCATCTCAAATTCAATAACATAACCTGGAAGAAAAAATCTTTTCATATATTACTTCAATGGACTATTCTTCATTACAATTTTTCCCGTCTAAGTTTGCATATATATATACAAGCAGATTAGACTATGCATATGTTCAGTGTAAAAGTAACTATATAAAGTGTTTTTCTCATTAGTCTAAACTTAAAACAACTTAACACTGAATAAATACATAGACAATTAATAGGTGTATTTTTGTTTTTAAATTTCCTACATTTTTAATCATTCAATAAAATATGTTCAGTCAATGTACAATGTCACTATTGTATACTGTGTGTTTCAGATAATAATATCAAGGGATTTATTTAAAATAAGACAATTGGATCACAAAACTTTTATTGCCATTCTAGGTAATACACGCTCTATATATAATCGTTCTTATCGATTACAATCATCATCATATTCTACATTTATACAATAGAGAATATCTTGACTGAAATTTGGCTAAAAGCCAATCTATGCAAAATAAATATTCATTTACATTCAATTCACCACATATATGATTTTTATTATTTCATGAGTTAGTAGAGAGAGACTTGATTGTAATATGTATTAAATTGATGAATATTGAACCCCCCCCCCCCCGCCTTTCCATCACTCTCACCCTTAAGTAGAAGGCATTAACACACAATTATGCAAACTAATAATCATCAACATAATAACTTAAAGTGTCATATTTCAAGGATCTTATAATAAATTGTTTATATGAATTTGAAAAAAAAAATCTGTATATATGTGCTAATCGTATTATGCATACTTGCATATATATATATGTTTGCATTCATACGAATTTCAGTTTCAGACATTATTGAAATATATTTAAATTGTTTTAAATAAACGTAATTCATTCTTCCCACCGGTAAAAATAAATGGCGGGAATTATAATGAGCCACGTTTAAAATAAATGTGTACTAAACAGACCGGATGTACAATGGTTTATAAGCTTATCAGGTCAAATATTTGAAAATATAACTGAAAATTTATCAACATATATTATTTTTAACGTCATAACAATTATTTGATAATATTTATATAAACAATCTTATTCGATATTATACTGAAATAAGGTGGTTTTATAAGGTGAAAAGTTCATTATTTTATTGAAATCTTTCCAAACTTTATTCTAAGTACTTATACACAAAATGAGAAGCATGCAAGTTATATAATGTGATCAAGATTACTCATTAACTAATAATCTACAATCTACTTCGAATCAACCAATAATTTTTATTCTGATCAGCTTTTCTGCAAATTATATGAAAGGATATTCATCATTAACCCTTGATAACATTCATCAGCAAGTATATCTACAATTTATACATTAGAGATATTACCGTCAATTATACAAAAAGCAGCATATATCTCATGTATGACAATTAAATTTTATTGGTAAAAGGATTTAACCACAGATACTATGAATTTACATTGGATGAGACAAATGCTTATGCATATATACTAGATGGGTTCGCACTGCTGAGAAGTCCCATTCTTGGACGAAACAACTGTCAAGCCGCCCTAGCTTCCCAATGTTCCTCTAGCTGATGTCAATCCATGATGAATTCCAACCTAAGGCCAGACTGTATTCAACGCTATTTCCTTAGAATTTCGGTTGCTTTTTTCGAAAGATGAGATATTTGTAAAGTGGTAAAATCTAGTTTTTATACAAGCCGTCGGTTTATTTAGTCAAATTCTGTAGCTATCCCAACTGTAGAATGAAAAGAACGTTTTATAACTGATGCCTCAAGTAATCAATAGTCAATGTGAAATAGTCAACTTGTAGACTACCAGTAATTATCTAGACAGACCATTTAACGAAGTCGATGGAAGATTGTCCGTAGAGTAATCTTATCACCAATAACACTTCACTATTGTTGTTATGTTCACCAATGCATATCGCATTAAATACAGACAAGAACATATTGAGAACCACCTCATAGTCTGGTAACTGATTAATATCAGTGGTTTAAATTGGACAAAACTGAGTAACCGGTAACCTTTTGAAAATTTCGACACTCATCAATGAATTCAACAATTAACCTTGAAGAAAACACCTCCTCTTCAGAAAGTTTATATCAAACGGTTTCAAATTCAAACATGGCTACTATATAGCCAACTACTGACCGCATATTGAACAAGGATCAAGTGACGGAACCAACCACTGAAATGTAAATCAATATCAAATGGTTCATAAACTAGTGACTTCTGAAGTTCACAAAACACTGTTGTTACAATATGCTTAACGAGACAAAATATCCAATGCAGTGGTACATTATATGGCGTTACATTGTTTTATGCAGTTTATAGGATACACCGATCTCAAGTTACTTAGTTGTAGCACTCTTCAGCAAAGGGTATTTATATCCTGAAGTGAACGTGAGACATGCCTAAATATTTTGGGTAACATCATTTTTATCAAGACTGCATACACATCTTGCTAAAACTGTCTACCAAAAATAAATCTAGGTCTTGAGATTTCCATCGATCACCTTCAACTATCCAAAATCGAATGCCGTAGATTTTTATATGGAGTACATCAGACAGTCAATTCAGTGAGGGACATAAATAGCTGATTGGTAGAGGGCATAATGCCCTCAAACCACTTTTATTCACCAACCTATGTGTACATAGTCTAAACCAAAGTGTAAATTAAGCCAAAGCACACTGATCAAATCCTCAACTACAGTAGTAACAGCGTACAGAATCAGTTGCATGCAGACCCTATTCAAAAGAGCGAGAACACACTGCAATATAGTACAACAACTTCACGGAGAAACGAAGAAAATTATTTGGTGTCCATCCTAAAGAAGAACGGATACCCACGAAACTTTATCACAAGATGCCTATCCCGTACAACATCAACTACAAAGCCATCAACAGAAATCAATAAACGCATCATCCTAAAGATAAAGATAAAGGATAAAGAATATATCAGAAATCATGACAAGATCACTGAAACCAATTGGTGGAATTGGTGTGGCTCATAAACCAACAAATTCCCTCCAACCCCTAACTATGCAGACCAAAGGATGCAACAAGCAAAGAAGACAAACCGAACATCATCTACATAATCAACTGCAATAACTGTAGTCAACACTACATTGGACAAAGTGGTCGCCTTTTTCGCCTTCATCTACATGAACACCAATTGGCTAGTAAACGCCACGACATTTCGTCACTCATTTCAGTGCATGTGGATAACAACTATGGACATGAATTCAATTTCGACAATGTAGAAACCTTGGAGGGACAGAGGATACACAAAGCATGTCAGAGAATTCTTAGAAGCTTGACATTCAGGTCAGTCAGGAATCAACAGATGTATAGACATAGACCCAATCTACCTACCAATGAGAAAAATGATAGGGAACAGAAACGTCAGAGGAACAGCCAACAGGAAAATATACACATTAATGACAACAGTTAAAGTAAACAACCAGTCACAAGCCAGTTTGTCAGGGCAAGCTACTAAGTTACTGACGGAGAGATATCGGCAGCTCACTTCATACAAAAGTTAGTGCTGATGATGTCGTCTAGAAACATGATGAGATCTTCACGGCTAAACCACCCAACTCAGAGAACACAATACAACCAGGACCATCCACCTTAGCTACAAATATTTTCCACGATTTCAAAACAAACAAACTGTCATTCATTAATCAGATAGCTTAAAATTAGATCGGTTAACTAGATGCTTCATGACCGATAGACGCATCTCCGAAGATAGGTGAGCTTTATGTAGGTGAAAAAGCTTCAAGTCCTGTATTGATTCTGAGGTGAATTATATTGCTATAACATCTCAAATTTCGTGCGTTTGCATTTGCGATACATATAAGACAAATGTGAAGCAACTCAGCATTCAGGATCTATCATGGGGACATATTAAAGATACTAGGCAATTACTAGTAATATTTTCATTAAGGAGACTTTACTGCATTAAAATACTCCGGTTGCTTACTAAAAGTGAATCATTTCGAATAAGATGACATAAAACTGAGGTTAGTGTGGCTTAATGTGGTGAGTGGTTTTTTTTTTCTAGTTTTATACTACTTGTCAGTAGGCTGAAATATATCAACAAATTTAGTTTAGAAATCGGTCCTCGTTGAGACAGTAAGATATTCCACTGCACTAAGGATTAAGTTAAAATAAGAGATGCTTTACAATTAAACCATTGAATTTTCGCATCTTTTCCATTTTAGTATTACTACTCCATTCGAACAATTAAAGTTGGTGGAAAATGTGTATGCAACAGTCATGCCAGCCGATGTGAACAAAAAGTAATCAATGTAAGTTATCAACTGATTATGAATATATGCACTCTGAAGTTAATCTTTGACCGATACTTCAATGTATTCATTTGTTTGATTCAAATTTTTAAATTCAGTTGACAGGAAACACCATATCAGCAACAAATATGCATTTCTCTAATCCCATTATTGATAGAGAAACTCCTTAAGAGATTCACACTAGTTTCATTATTGAGTTGAATTATGGATGTTAACAGCGAACTACCTAATTTTAGTCTGTTTATGAAATAATAATGACAAATGAATCCTTTTGATATCTTTTCATGGTAGCCAACATTGGTTTATATGCTTTTATTCTCATAAAGAAGTTATTGTTGGGGATGTCATCGAACCTAGTTACGGAAACGTTTAAGAAACGATGATGAAGATTAGAGAACACAAAATTATCATCATACCCTGCTTTTTCATCTTGTTTGAAAACTTAAAGTGTTTAGTATTAACATCTTCAGGGAAACTGTGTCAGAACGTTTGTTCCCTAGGTGGTCAAGTTTTATCATCCACCACCTTGTTAATCAGTAACCAGATAAAAATATTACACGGTTGGCTTCTTGAAAGTATTTTATCAAAATGTGCTGCCTAGCATTGTCGATATGTGGTGAAATACACTAACTAGACGTAAATTAAAATTGTCTATGGAAGAAGAGAGTCTGATGTTTTATGTTTCTGAAATCAACAATAGGAAATTGCATACCACAACAACTGCCTTTTAAACACGTAAGTAGTTTATTTATAGGGAAACGTCTACTCAATTAGTATTCCTTTAATACTGCTTTTCCAACTTTTTCCATAAAAGCTGTCAAATAAGGTCAGTATGAATATCGGTTGAAAAAAACTGCAGAAAGTAAATCTTTTTTCCTTACTGTTATTATTTTATTTGTCCCTTGTGTTCCTAGTGGAACATAGGGCTTCAGTAGCACGTCTCCAGTACACTCTCTTCTCTCAAATCTTTTGAACCTGGCTCCATAACAGCTCACAAGCTCTCGTTTACTCCTCGCATGATCTCCTCCATGTCACCCTCGCCTTGGAGGCCCAACTCGTTGCTTCCCATCGAGGTTGCACTAGAGTGCCTGGCCTGACGCGTGATGTCTCCAGTCGGCCTTCTCAGTGTATGCCCAATCCATCTCCACTTCCTTCCACCGCGCATTTGTTCAGCGATAGGTTCTTGCTTCGTTGGTTCGTTGCCAGCCAGCCAGAGTTCCTTGTTGCTTATTCTCACTATTCTGGCCATCTGATCTTCAGTAACGAGCCAGCGTAAGTGGCAGTTGTTGATGAATGTCTGTAGTTCCATATTAGATTTGTTTATTTGATATAAAGCGCACAGTGATACAGTATTATTTAATTGATTACGTTTCGAGCATAAATTATTGCTCATAATCATATCAATGTAATCACACTTCTTTCGACATCTGATTTTATAGTCCTGTCACCTGATCTCTCTTTGTTTTTTGATTGGTAGTAAAGTTTTCCATATCTCTGGTATAGGTGTTGCGTCATTCCTATTACATGTGTTGGGTGTGGATTCGATGAACAAAGATTCAGTAATTAATCTCTCTCTCCACCTAGCTATATTAGACTTAAGTACAGTGGTTTTATCCCACCCTATTGTGTGGTTGTGTTTTTAGTATAAAGACTTGTTACGTCAAAACTAACCATTTTTTCATCCTCTTCTATGTGCAGGTCATTAAGTTTTTGTTTCAACTCGTAAGAATTTACTAGTCTAGAGTTGGAACGGTCTCTAACAGGACGTAATACTGATGCTAAATACTTTGATATCTCATATGTTGGTGTGTTTCGGAAGTCAACTATCGGCCTAATGGGATAACCTGCTTTATGAACCTTAATAGTACCGTAAATTCTGCTAGGATTATTAGTTTTTGGCATTAAAGTAAACCATTCGGACTTACCTAGAGATGGCTTCAGTCGGCGTATCAGATCTGTTGTAGATTTCTTAATTTTATTCATGACAGTATCTATAGGTTTCTTAATCTCTTCATATGGCCCTGTTTGGATATGTTCATCCATTTTTTTAAGATAATCCGATTTGTCCATAACTACTGTTGAGTTACCTTTGTCAGATTTAGCAATTACTATACTATTATCCTTTCGTAGATTGTTTAAAGCTGAATTTTCCAGTTTCGTTAAGTTTCGCTGTGTCTTCTTTTGTTTTTTAAGTGCTAATGCACACTGCGCTCTAACCTGTTCAGCAGTTGTCACATCCACCGAGCTTAATGCTACTTCTATGCTAGGTATGACATCTTCTGGTTTTAGATGATCTACTGTTATGTTGAAGTTTAGTCTGTAAGTACTTTCATCTCAGCTGAGCTTAAGGCTTTCGAGGAGAGATTGACTACCCACTTTGTTCTATCGATGTTCGATGATGTTTCCTTTGTAATTTCATTGTTTTCTGAAGCATATTTTTCTTGCATTGGTTTATTGAACTTTTTGATTTGATTGCTTCTAGATTTCTTGAAAGTAGCTAATAAAAACCACTGTACTTAAGTCTAATATAGCTAGGTGGAGAGAGAGATTAATTACTGAATCTTTGTTCATCGAATCCACACCCAACACATGTAATAGGAATGACGCAACACCTATACCAGAGATATGGAAAACTTTACTACCAATCAAAAAACAAAGAGAGATCAGGTGACAGGACTATAAAATCAGATGTCGAAAGAAGTGTGATTACATTGATATGATTATGAGCAATAATTTATGCTCGAAACGTAATCAATTAAATAATACTGTATCACTGTGCGCTTTATATCAAATAAACAAATCTAATATGGAACTACATTCTACCACAGTGCCCAAGTTTTTCACTTATATTAATGTCTGTAGTTTGTTTGAAGTGCTTTCCGTGATGTGCCAAGCTTCTGAACCATATAGCAGCACTGACTTGACATCGATGTTGAAAATCTGGACGTTGTTCGCGCTTTATGCTAAGTGCAGATCTCCACACTGGTTTCAGGTTAATGTACACCTGTCTTGCTGTCATTCCAATCCTGGCTTCGACATCCTCGTGTGTACCACCTGTAGCTGAAACAGTGCTTGCTAGATAGGTGAACGAGGCTACTTTCTTTAAGTTTCTCCCACTGATGGTGATTGGAGCTTGTTGGTGGTGTTGATGTTGGTTGGGTATCTTCATCACCTCTGTCTTCTCTACATTCACTTGAAGTCCCGTTTTTCGCTGTCCTTCCTCTTCTGTCAACTTGTTAGTTTTCGCCTGTAGGTCTTCAAGTTTATGCGACTTTAGACACAAGTCATCGGCGAAATCCATGTCTTCTAGGTTCTTTTCCGCGGTCCACCCAGCGTATCCTCCTCTTCTCGCTCCTCACTGTTTCTTGCATGATTCAATCCTTACTGTTGGTCATGTATAAACATTATTCATTTTGCTTGGTAGTAGCATATTTCACTAAGTCATAATATCTTTGTGTCCACAATCACAGTCTGCAATCTGGTTATTTTAATTTTCATATGATAATCTAGAGCAATGAAAATTTTACGATTGAAAAGCGTAAAACATAGTGCATAACGTGTATACTCACAATACAATCTGTCCTTCGTCATTTGAAGTTTCTTGATGACGATAATTGCGATTTAATAAATTACTGATTCATTATTGAAGGGAACTGTTATTTTATTAGGCTCAGATTTAAAATGGAATCTAAGTTCTTTCATATTTGAAGATATAACTTCGTAATTGGCAGCAACAAATGATAAAGTGAATTCATATAAGACTACTTGTTGATAAGCTTTTAATATCTGAAACTAAATAGGGTGTAATGCAGTGTCCTGACAGATAAAGAACCTATTGATAAAACGACTAACAGTTCTACGGACTAAGTTGAATTTTTCATTGTCCTAAGATACTAATCATCACATTTTTCAACAACAGAGTGAAACCTACGCTTTAAGATTGATTGTAATTACCTATTATTTGGAATCTCAAATGAGATATCACTTTCATTGAATTTGCAGATACTTCCTGCTGACAGTTGGTCACCAATACAAAACTAAGGTCGAAGAATTCATGCTAATTGGTTACCATTATCTAACAAATATTACCCTATAAAGAGGGTACCTCAGAAACTTTACGTAGAATCCTCAACAAGCTGGAATTAGAGTGGCACTTAAACCTACAAACTAACTCAGAGATAAATTTTGTCTGCTCAAGGGTCCGATAGAACCAATTAAGCAAAATAATATAGTCTGTCAAATCCCATGTAATAACTGTGAGGTGAAGTATATAGGTCAAACTAGTCGGTCAGGGTCAGTTAGAATAGTCGAATATAAGAATTTAGCTAAATATAGAATAAAAAAACAAGATATTCAGCGAGGAGGTCTCTTTTCAACGAATTTATTTTCAAGCTGTACATTCCTATATATATGTGATATATAAAGACTGTAATCCATGAGGAAAATTTAACTGAAATAATGGGGGGTTGAAACAATAATAACAATAATAATGGTGGTGATAATTATAATGTTGATAGTTGATGACGTAAAGGTCGAATGGTAGCAAAAAGGGGTTGCGTAAAACTTTCGAATCGTTTACTATAAAGTGCATATAGATTAAAAGGGGTGAAAACATTCATAAACAATCAAAGGATTAGGTAATATAAATGAGACAAGTTAATTAGAGTAAATTGAAAATGTTTTGTTAAAAGTTGCGATAATTAAGAAGATCAAATGAAATAATACCGGAAACAAATGAATACAAAAAACAGAGTGATAATGATGATATAAGAGTACAAAGATTAATCTGATAAAAAAAGGGGAAGGGGGTGATAAACGAAAAAAGATGACGAAGCTCACCAAGACTAAAATAAATTAAGGCCAAGGTAGAGACAAAGACTATACGTACTTCTTTGGCACACAAAGTTCAGGCTTCAGTTAATGGATAGCTAGGGCCTTTTCTGTTTTTAGAAGCCGAACACAGATGGGTACGTGAAGTGTTAGGGCGGATTCGATAGACAACGTTGAAATCCTTGTTTGGGTCGGCTGAATGGTTAGAATCGATTAAATGTTCAAGGATAGAACTTCTGATACATTTCCTTTGACCCTTATAAAATCAGGCCGGAATATGTTCTCGTATACATGTTGACAGCAATCTCTATATATAGAATAACAGACCTAAATAAGATGAATAATTTAGAAGAAAAAAAAACTCGGCTATTACTATGCATGCATTAACACACAATCACACAATAGGTTGAGTGGGATAAAGCCACTGTACTTAAGTCCAATATAATTAGGTGGATAAAGAGATTGATCAATAAATCTTTGCTCATCGAATCAACACTCAAAACCTATACCAGATTTATGAAAAATTTTGCTACCAATAAAAACAACTCATATATAGTGACGTAACTATAAAAACCATATGTCGAAAGTAGTATGATTATATTGATATGAACATCATCAAGTAAATAGTGATACTAGATCACTGTATATTATAAATCGAATAAACAAATCTAATATGGAATTAAATTCTACCATAGTGCCTAAGTTTTACACTAATGTATCACACAGGAAAGCAATATTATTTGTTCGATTATTTTTCGAACACATAGGCATATAAATGTCTAACTATGACTATGGACAATAAATGATATCAAAATATTATCCAGTGATTAATACGGTTTCATTTTGTTAAACAGAATAAAATATTAGATAGTCTATGATCTATAAGAATGAGAGAAGAAGCTAATTTTATCTAATATTCTACATGTATTCACTTTTATCTTATTCAGGGTGTACCTCGAGCTGTATGTGACTGTCAGCATAACACATGTGGAAATAATTGTGAGAAATGTTGTCCACTATTCAATCAACTACCATGGAGACCAGGAAGAATATGTGAAGGTAATTCAATCATTTTTAGCATTAAAGAAAAAAAAAAAAAGAAGAAGAAGTTGAAACAATACTTTCTCATTGTATGAAATATCTAACAAATTATGTCGGATCTGATAGCTTAGAATAAAGAAGATTGTAACGATTTCAGACAATGATGAAAACAATTATAGGATAGTGTTAGATGGAAATATTCAAAAAAAATTGATACCATAGAAGCAGATGCATCTAATTATTCTTTTGTGTTCATAAAAAGTAGAAACTATCATTTCAACATTAATTTTTTACGTTATATTTTATCTCTTGAATATCTTGTTTAAGCGGGTTCCTCTGTTATGACTATAAAAAGGAATCTAACATGTCTTTAAATGGTATATATATATATATATATATAACCATGCTGATATTTTATACCTTACGATTAAAGCTTTACTATGAAAGCTTTATATCTGAACCTAATTCAAGTAAGTGGTTTACAGAGATTACTTGGATTCAAAAGTGTTTTCAGTATACACGTTGACATTACTCTTAGAATAATTGAAAGCCTGAGAGTATTCAATATGTTTTTCTTTCAAGATTTGGGATATCCAACTCCTTGGACCAAAATTGAACAATGCAAGAACAAAGATATTTACAGAATAAAATTAGCTAATTTTATTTTATAGCTTTTCATCAGCTGAAAACAGGCCTACATTGAAACGAGTTGTTAGTAGTAATAATAACATAACATATTTTAAACATGCAGAAATAGATGGAGATTTTATATCCAGGACTAACAAGGTAGTAAGTCAAGGAAACACAGGGATTAATAGTTGCATATCTTAGTCAAAATCTATAACTATTTATATCTGATGAGATAGAAAACTCTCAATCTGTGGGAAGTGGGAGGACAACAAACGAAAATCAGTATAAAAGAAGAGATTCTTTAAGGGCTGAAAGGTTGCGCAATTACATGAAATACTTGAAAATCGTAAAGTGGTTAATGAAGAGATGATCCGATCAAAAGGAAAGGAAAGCGAAGACTATATACATGCATACACACGCAAAAAACTACACACATTTACCAAGATAAAGAAAGATTAATCACAGTCTCCTTTGTGAGTACATAGGCCAGGGTGGAAATGTTTGATAGTGAGAGCTTCCACAAACCGTATTAAACATGGTGTCCTTTGTTTGTTGATTGTCCTGAAAGATTGAGAAACATCTATTTGATGTCCTGTTTCCACCAGGTGCCTGGTGATTGAGCACAAAAAGACCTTGCTACCATTAAGACACAGATTTCTCGGAATATGTTCATAAAATTGAGTAGACGCATTTCTTTCATTCCATCCTTTGTAATTGCTTCCGCAAGCACAGGTGGATTGATCGATATAATCTGTCAATAGTCTGATCTACTACAATTGCTGAAAACACAACTCAAACACTTACTGCTCCTCTATATGAAAGGTGTTCTGTTCCAGTTTAATAATCAACCTATACTGGAAAACGGATGCAGTGGCTATGGGTTCACCACTAGGAGCTATCCTAGCGGATATATTCATAGCTCTTCTCGAGCGAACAAGTCTGATAGCTGCAATCAAGGAAACGACACATTACTGCAATTGTGTCGATGACTCTCTCATCGTTTGTGATAATATGAATCAGGCGTCAAGGTTGGTCGACATCTTCAATCAAACTCACCCAAATATTAATTTTACAATGGAATATGAAAATGAGATTCAATTTTTTGGATCTGAGTATAAGATGGAGATGCTACGGTACAATTGAGAAAACTATCTACAGATAAGACACGTGGATTGGTCAGTACCTTCACTGTAGTAGATTCTGTCCTGTCAGCTGTAAGTGCGGTTTAGTCAGGACGCTATTTATTAGAATAAAAAGCCTATGCTCTTAAGATAAACAAGAAGAATTCGAGATAATTGAGAAGGCTCTTATAGAAAATGGATACCCGAAGAAATTCATGATGAAGCATGGAAAAGAGCTGATTGGGAGGCCCAAACAGTCGACTGTTGTGAAGAGGCCTGTTTTCCTTCACATAACATTCAAAGGTGATGAGACTTTTAAAAGAATAGACTGAGAAGGAGCCCCCCAGCTGCCAGTCTGGTCTCAGTTTACCATGTATTATGCTCAATAATACAGTCGAAAGTAGACAAATATCCATCTCATGTCACCTTTAACTGTGTATATCAATTCACCTGTGCTTGTGGAAGCAAGTACATAGGACGGAATGAAAGAAATGCGTCTACTCAATTTTATGAACATATTCCGAGAAATCTGTGTCTTAATGGTAGCAAGGTCTTTTTGTGCTCAATCACCAGGCACCTGGTGGAAACAGGACATCAAATAGATGTTTCTCAATCTTTCAGGACAATCAACAAACAAAGGACACCATGTTTAATACGGTTTGTGGAAGCTCTCACTATCAAACATTTCCACCCTGGCCTATGTACTCACAAAGGAGACTGTGATTAATCTTTCTTTATCTTGGTAAATGTGTGTAGTTTTTTGCGTGTGTATGCATGTATATAGTCTTCGCTTTCCTTTCCTTTTGATCGGATCATCTCTTCATTAACCACTTTACGATTTTCAAGTTTTTCATGTAATTGCGCAACCTTTCAGCCCTTAAAGAATCTCTTCTTTTATACTGATTTTCGTTTGTTGTCCTCCCACTTCCCACAGATTGAGAGTTTTCTATCTCATCAGATATAAATAGTTATAGATTTTGACTAAGATATGCAACTATTAATCCCTGTGTTTCCTTGACTTACTACCTTGTTAGTCCTGGATATAAAATCTCCATCTATTTCTGCATGTTTAAAATATGTTATGTTATTATTACTACTAACAACTCGTTTCAATGTAGGCCTGTTTTCAGCTGATGAAAAGCTATAAAATAAAATTAGCTAATTTTATTCTGTAAATATCTTTGTTCTTGCATTGTTTAAACACTCACTTCTCATCGTTTGCATGTTACCAATCAGTGACTGAGTTGATCTATTTGTGATGTATAGTGTCTCCTATCTCAAGCCGGACTTACCTGACCCTACACCTTTCTTTGGACATTCCAGAAATTCTCTTGAAAGCTATTTTTTCAACCAGCACCAGAAACTAGTCCAACTCATCTCTAAATATGCCTAAATGCTCTTAACGCTATAGAGAAATGAATTTTAATCGATAAGGCTGGATAACCGTACGTCAAGAAACCTATTGCTACTTGTTCAATCATAGTATATTCATTCAAGTTTAAACATGTCATTTGAAAGCGATTTTTACGCCTTTGAGGAAGGAGTTATTTGATGGTACATGAAATTAACCAGCCCAATGATATATTCTTCTTGTCTCTACTTCCTTTTATCCATCTCAATTACACTTAGACTTCATTTACATCCTTATCCTGTTATTTATGCTAAAGTAATGCTTTACAATTCATTTTAATGCTCTAATCTATTCAGGTTTAGTCATCAACGCTTTTAAATTTTTAATGAAAACGGATAAGATAGGCGAAAGATATATATGATCAATGCAATATTTTTATGTCTCCAAAGGTATATGTAAGTATACGTAAATGGTTCTTAATCTTGTCGGAAAATGGAAGAGTTTATGCCTTAAAAGCGTCATTAACCAATAAAGATAAAACTTTAATAAGTAAAGGAAAATAATTTAATAACTATTTTCAAGATGACACTAAAGCGTTATATTTAAAACTTAATCAATGCACGCAAATGTAACCTGCAGAAATGCGAGCTATCTTCCTTTAAAAACAGAGAAATTCATCAATATTCTGTTGACTGACAGATAATCTATCTAGAAGCAGTACATTTTCCGTCATAGACAATGAATTCCTTTAAAGTATCATATCTAAACACTGGATGCTAGACAGTACTGACAGTTCATTTAACTTTATTATCATAACTACTTCAAAGTTCATACAACTTGAATCAAGAAAAGAAGTTTAAGTTCTAACAGTACTTCACCATTAGATTATATATAATGACAAATAGACAGGCAAATCGGTATAAAACTTTGTAGAGAAAAGCATTAGATTAATCTTCAAGAATTTCACAATAGTACATACGCAAAAAACAAATAGGATGATAATGAAATAAAGGTAATCTGATGGGATTTGGTAAACTGCTTAAGAAATAACTTTGAGGATTGAATATATACCAGGAACTGGGATCGATTTCAAGACATGTTACTAATAGTCTTCAGTCGTTGATTCCTAACCTCCAAACGATACCAACCAAGCAGTCTACATTATTCCATACACCTCAGATTAAATTTGCATCATAATATGGCTACAAACAAGCTTGGATCGCAGAATGTCCTACAAAAAAATTTCAAAACTGGTACTAACAAAACTAAACTGAACTCAGTCACCTTTTTACACATCCATGCAGTAGGCAATGAACCTCACTTTTCCTGTGAGGGCTAATGAAACTATCAAATTACCCAAACCTCAGTAGGTGGAACGGGTTTCGAGCTCCTAACCCATTGGTTGGTAGTCATCTCACGAATATTTCAATCATTCTACAGCTAAAATGGAAGCTCAGTATCCCTACTCTTTTTTCTTGGTGTTATTTTGACGTCAAGCCTTTCACCAAAAATGAAATTGTTAGCAAGTCGAATTTATGGTATGGTTAGAATTGGAGAAGTCTATCAGCTAGCTATCCATCTGAATAGTAACAAGATAATAGTTTCACTTCAAACTATGAGCATTGTTTCGATGTTATCTGATCTTGATACATGCAACCAGTCCTAATATACTATGGCATTATAGCTTTCTGGTTGCAATCAGTAGACCCCAATACTTTGCTTCAATTGTAGTTATCATCTCTATATGTGTATAATGTTATGAAACCTTCACTTCATTTGTACTTAGTTAAAAATTTATTTTATTGACTATAAAATTTCCATTATTAATCCTTATATCTCAGAATGCAATTGTAATCGAAAGGCTGATGAATGTGTTTACAATCAAACTGTTGCCAACTTGCGTCTAAGTATGCGTAAAGATGGAGTTTTCGAAGGTGGTGGTGTTTGTATTAACTGCCGTGTAAGTTCTGTGATATTTATATAAGTATATGCGACATTATGTAATGGTATTAATATTCACCTCATCTTCTAAGTGATTATTCAAAACTCCTTAAAATGGACTACAGCAGTCTTTTTCTGTTAACCTCTCAGTATTTTAACATGACTTTTGAAAGTCATCATGCAAGATCAACTGATGAACCAGAACTCAAGATTTTTATTTTACTTTTCAGCATAACTCGAATGAAATTCGTATATTGTAAACGTGAAACCTCTTAAGAAAACGTATTTAATTGTGGTAATCCTACATATGATTCTTATTAGTGTAAATAAGACATCATAACACAACTATGTTTATTATTATTTGTCCTTTGGGTTCCTAGTGGAACATAGGGCTTCAGTAGCACGTCTCCGTTCCACTCTCTTCTCTCTAGTCTTTTCAACCTCGCTTCACTATTGCCCACAAACTTTCAATTCTTCCTCACCCTCCCCTCGAACGCCCAACTCGTCGTTTCTCATCTGGGTTCCACTCGAGTACCTGGCCTGTCACTTGATGTCCCCAATCGGTCTTCTCAGTGCATGCCCAATCCATCTCCACTTCCTTCTGCATAGTTGTTGGGTAGTAAGTTTTTGGTTGGTTCCTGGCCAGAGTTCCTTGTTGCTTATTCTTTCTAACCATCTCAGCTTCTGTATCGAGCCAGCGTAAGCAGTTGTTGATGAATGTCTATAGTCTGTTGGAAATGCCTTTCGTAACACGCCAAGTCTCTGAACCATATAGAAGCACTGACATGAGGGACATTGCTGTTGAAAATCGGGACTTTGTTCTTTGTGCTGAGTGCAGAAGATCTCCACATTGGTTTCAGGTTAAACAACTATGTTTACTACAAATTAACCAAGTTGTAGTAATTTTAAATTGTGTACACTCCATTAACAGATGACTGAAGATTATTTACACAATAAATAATAGTAGGAACGTAACATTTCTGTCGTCATAGTCTAATTATTAGTACATTTTATCACTAACATATCCACGAATTTCATAGGTTAACTACTACTCGATCGTTTTCTTGAAGACATAAACCATCTAAGCCATTGTGGATTAATGATGAGGCACAATCACGACGGTAATAGTTGTTTTAGGTCCTAGTAAATATATGTAGATCGAAGCTATATAAGTTATATATTTTATTAGAAGTGGTCAACCAGTAGATGATAAATGGAAAGGTCTTACACCACATATATGTAGCTTAACTATCAGTTTATTTTGTGAATGACTCAAGTAACGTTTATCTCACCTGATGCCTGGTTAGTAGTTCTCAGATATTTGTTTCGTAGTTTCTTTCAACTCACTGCTGATACATACATATAACGCACTTTTTTAGATTAAAGTGGTGACAGTTAAACTTCACTATAACCATAGTATTGGAATCCTGAATATTCTAATAATTCGTGCTCTTAACTCTCTGAAAGTTATTCTGGTATTTAAACACCTGAATAACTGTAGCAACTCAAAGTCATTTTCCACTAAGAATACCAGATGCTGACGATAATATGCCTTGTATGTGGACGTGCAATAATTTCTCCGGACCCAAGCAATACCATTTGTATATAGTTTACTAGTTCAAGCACTACACTCTTAACCAATGAATTTAGAGTTGGAACACCGCTGCATCTACTGATGTCTATGCAGTAATTAATGTGTCTCAGCCTATTAAATGAACTTTTATATATTTTTGACATGAATGGAGATTTCTAATTTAGAAGTAGTAATCATCATGGACTGACATCAGCTGGGGAACCATTGAAAATCTGGGAGCACTGGACAGCAGTTTAGTCCTAGTATGCGAATACTCAGTAGTACAGAAGTGAAGTGGATGCTAACTGAAGACCTTGGGTGACAGTTGCGCTATGTCGTGATGAATTGACAGAAGTTGGAAATTGTGAACCACTGGAAACCGACCCGGTGGCTGGATGGTTAACGCGTTCGCCATGAAACCTGAAGGTCCTGAGTTCGATCCTTGGCTGGGTCGTGGATGCGTACTGCTGAGGAGTCCCATACTAGGACGAACCAGCTGTCCAGTGCTCCCAGACTTTCAATGGTTCCCCAACTGATGTCAGTCCATAATGAAGACTACTTCTGAACTTTTATATGTTTTCTGATTAAGGTATTATTGTAATATCACCACATAGAACGCATGTTATTGGATGCTTGAATTTAAGATCATTGTTGACGATGAATAAAGTCAGTACTAGTTTTTATTAGGTCATACGAAACTACACTAAACTATGACAATAGACATAGGCATTATAATATGTCTAATGAAAAGATTATTCCGTAAACATTGAGAATGATGTAGAGCTGATTTGATTGTTTTACGTAGTCATTTATACACCTTTGAATTTATGTTAATATTCTCACCTAGAAACAATTTCTTAATAATTTAATCATATTTTAGAAGCTCATATTTTGATTTTTTGTTTAATGAACTTCAAAGCAGCTTACTGTCCACCAATTTAAGATAATTTTCTTTTATTGTGTAAAAATTCTCTAATTATATTGAAGAAAGATAATAAGACGAAGCTGGTCAATCTTTTTTCTAAGTTATTTGAAATATAGTTATTTTAATCATCACATTAACTAATCAGAAATTATGATTTTCTATTTTTCAAAGGTATACTCTATATTAGGCAGTTTATACTGTTTATAAACATCTAGTTCACAGTTGTTCTAAATGTCATTGAAGAATCTTTCATCATTGTTCAATAATATTTGCATATAAACATACAGATAATTTGAATACGAAATTATTTTCTACGGTAGATGACAATAACAGTATAAGTTCATAATGACTAATTAGAAATGATCAATTTGAACAATAAATCAACTAACCAATGACTTAAATAATGAAATTGTGTTACATATACCATCTGACAGTATATATTTTGATGTTTAATACAAAATTTGAATATTCTGCTGAAGAGACTGTGGCATACACTACTAATTGTTCAGAAAAATCATGTTTCTATATTTTAAACACCCCTGGATTGTATTAAAGTCTACTTATATAATGATCTATACCGTTGATGTAGAAACCATTTGAAATGTTGTCATAAGATGAAGATCTGGACAGTGGACGGATTCGAACCAGCGACCAACGGGTTACTGGCCCGATGCTCTATCATCTGAGCTACGAGGTCCGACTACTGACCAGAATTTTATTTTACTTCAATCACCAAGGGTTTTGCCTGACTACCACGTGAATTTATGACGCGTTACTACCACTTGATCGTATTCACACTGGTTACCTAGTCAGGACTTCTCATCCCAATCCAAATCCAACTGAATCAGAGAGGGGGAGTATCGTATTGATTATGATTTGACTATCTAAGATAACCGTAGTTTGACAGACTAGTATTTTTACTAGGGTGATGATTGAAGGTGAGATGAAAATCTGAACCACGACCGAATTCAAACCGGTGACCAGCGGGTTACTGGCCCGATGCTCTATCAACTGAGCTATGAAATTCGAATCCGGCCGCTGTCCAGATTTTTATCTCACCTTTAATCATCACCTAGTACAAATACTAGTCTGACAAACTACGGCTATCTTAGATAGTCAAATCATAATTGTTATCACAAGAATTCGTTTACCTTCATGTATCTAGATAGTAAACAACGTATCAATTTCAAAATTCGATATTTCTTTTTGAGGTAAATTATTCTGTCAAGTATTATTAGCATTTACAGTCTACTCAACTTAACCCTAACTCAAAAGTTTCTAATGTCAGATTGTTTACATTCCTGTGGTTAAAGTTGTCTGATTAAGGAATGTAGTGTATTCAGAGGACTTAATAACTCAGTTCCATTGTGCTACCTTGTTAGTTAATTGAAGTCCTAAATGTATCTACTGACTTGAAGAATTTAATGTTTTTTTCCATGACTAAACCATACATTTATGATCCCTCATCCAAAAGTCCTATTATATTTTCCTTAATCCCAAATCTAAACCTCATTTCTCCGATCCAAGTTACTAATAGTTCTCTCAAGATGTGTGATGGTAAGGCATGAAACCTTTATAGGTGATTTGTGGCCTTACGCCAGCCACTTCTTGACACTCAACATCTTTCAAACCAATCAACATCTTTCATTGGTCATTGGCTTCACTCATATAAAGAAGAGGTTATCAATAATGTATAGAAAGAAACTAAGTTCAGAAAACTGTATAATTCAAATAAACTTGTAGTTTTGAGTGAAATGGTATACTTTCTGTATACTTACTCTAATGGTCTCTAAATTATCATAAAGATATTTCACTATGTATATTTTACAAGATTTTTTAATAAAAACCATAAACGAACTATTGAAATCTAATTAAGCATTTCGTGAATTGTGCGGTGAGCAGAATTGATGGTAAGTACAATAATTGCTAATGTCATTGGAAATGTGTTTTCAGTGTTCATAACTGGATTTCAGCTCTTATTGATTACATGATGTCCCGTCTTTGTTGAAACTTTCATTTCAAGAAAACAATAAGAAGATATAGTTTATCTTAAGTATGCTCTGTTAGAACATTTTGCTGTTGATCTTATCAGAAGTAGTGTTCATTATTCATTGTACTGTGTTCTCTGAGTTGGGTTGTTTAATCATGGAGCTTTCATCGTCTTTCTAGACGACATCATCAGCACTAACTTTAGCATGAAGTGAGCTGCCAATATCTCTCCATCAGTAATTTAGTAGCTTGCCACTCAATTCAGAGAACACAATATAATCAAGATTATCCATCTGAGTTACTAATATTCTTCATCATTTCAGAGTGTTAATTACTAATGAAGCTCAAACTGAAGTCATTTCATTTTTGGAACAATTAATTCAATGGAGGTATACATTTTTGTTCACTTTTTCATGTTTTCATTATCTGCAGGAAGATACAACTGGTGTGAATTGTGAAAAGTGTAAACAAGGTTTTTATCGTCCAATAAATGTTAGACCAGATTCAGCATATCCATGCAGACCATGTGAATGTAATACATTTGGATCTACTGGGGATTGTACGTCAAATGATGCTGAAATACCTGAAAGAGTGAGTCGCCTATCATTCTTACACATTAATTTAGATGTGTTTGACATCATCTCTAACAAGATGATAACGGTATCGATTATTATGAGTAAACGGTTTATTCGCACTACAGAGCTATACTGCACTATGATGACTTTAACATCAGAATATTTGTCTAGAGACTTCTCAACTGGTGTCTCCTTTCTTAATGTTTCATTCGTTGTGTTTGCAGTGGGTTCGAAAAGGTTTTGTTTGCGAACCACAAGCCAATCAAAACCAGTGACTGAAAACTTTAAGCGGTACTGCTCATAATCTGTTACAGACGAATATATGGATCGTGAAATTCATTTTTTCTACCTCTGAACCAAGAAGACACCTAATGACGGATAGTGGCTAGCACTGGAATCCAGTACGCGTAAGTCGTCCTATTTGGGACTCGTCAGCCAGAAATGCTTGCCTCCCAATGGGCGATATTATTGAGCCTGAACTCGAACCTGGGGACGAACACTTCGGGCACCAGAGCATTATTCACCAGACCATCGAGTCAGTATATGCGCTTCTTGTGCAACGCATATAGTTTTATTTTTTGGGGCTTAAATTATGCCGTTGTTGATTGAAACAAGCGTCTTGGATTTTACCGCTAGCCACTATCCATCATTCATACACAAGTGAAACACAAACAATATCCAGGCACCTGCTCAGAAGCCCATATGCCAATAAAGACCAAACAGTTTAATCATTCAGAGACGCTTTAAACCCGAGTTTTGTAAGTGTATGCACCAATCAGCTGAGTATATCTGCAACAGCGACGAAACATGTGGTGCCGCCAACAGTCAGACCTACTTCTCCTCGTTCTGTAACCAGAGACATTAACTGTGATCTACTTTTGTTATGACTGTCTTGCAATACAATATTAAGCGTGTAGAATTAGATTATATTGTTATTGGAAGTAATACAAAAATGAGATATAAGGTTCAGATTCCATTGGGAATACCATCAGTTACCGGGGTGCAATTTATCCAGCTGACTTGTTTCAGGTAAAATGAAATATGCATCCTGGATTCTATTGCCAACAAGCAAATTACTTCGCGGTGAAGCTTGAAGCAGTCTTGAAGTATTTTAGGAAACGAGAAGATCGTGATGACGAAGGAAGGAATGTTTATTGTTAACAGGTGGTACAGTAGTTATCAATTATTGTACACTTTCCACTAAAACAGCCATTTGCAAAATGTGTTTCATTTCCTCTTCTGTTTCTTTCTTGATTAGCTTTTCATACGCCTTTATTGTGCCTTGCTTTTCTCTTGGCAGAATCCTTACCCATTGCTGTTAATTCCCTATCATTTCTGTTACCATCTCGACATATACTACTTATATCCATTCTTATCAGCAATGCCCACTATAGTATCAGTTCCGAAAGCCCATGTGCTGGTGGAGACCGATCAACTCAGTCCATTATAATAAACAATAGGAGTTTACAAGCATCAGTATAACTAATGAATATGTTTGTCATATAAGATCTTAATTAGTGAGCGTTTCTGTGCTAAACTCATCTTTATAATCAGCGAGATTTGACATGACAAGTAAACCTCAATAATGTAAGTGTTTAGAAAATGATTAAGTCTAGGAATCAGAGTATCTGATCATATCTCGATGGTCCTGGTATAATTGAAATAGGCCTTGCTATATTATTTCAGAATTTACTTTACCTAACGGTTACATCCATGTACGGAATAGCCTCTTCTGCGTCTGTTCCACCCAAATGACATCTAAACCTAAACTTGAGCTAGAGAATAAAGACTGATTGGAATCAGTCTGTGTCCATTCATTTGATTAATTTATATGTGTTCGCTATGCAAACACACAGAAAAGCCAACATAGAACCTATTAAAACACTAATTTGTTTTAGTTGTTAAACTTTGGAACAACGATAAAATCGAATGCACTGTTGGATAATATGACTGGCTACAAAGCAGTCTGTAGATTTAACTAGCCAGATCAGAGTGATCTCAGCACTAGACTACAGTTTCATTTGTCTGGGTACAAGATAATCAGCTGTGCACTCAAACAAATTCGGCTCAGATAGCTAAACTGTTCGAAACAAATTAATTTGGCTAGCTGCCTAGAACGAAGTTGAATAACTAATATCCATACCATTCACAAATTGCACTGTTCTCGTTGATAGTTTTTTCAGCTGAGTAGTTTTTCTAGCGTCCAAATGTGATGTTAATGGGGGAATGCGATGAAAACCATTTGGCCAAGGGATGATATAATTTCCAAATAACTAAATATACTACTAGATAATATGAGTAGTCAGAAACCACCTTTGCTGTTCTGTAGAGAAATGGAGTGATATTAAAGTAAGCAGAAGGGAAAAAAAGTAAATAACAAATAAATGAAGAATTAACGCATATTTAGAGTTCTAAGGTTACAAAGAGTGGAAATATACTCACTCCATAAACTGTTTCTGAGTTACTTCGCCAACTGATGATGATTGCTGTCTCGAATACCATACCTACATGATCTACACTTCCCTAAGCTATAGAGACCAACTATCTATGTTTCTATAGATTCGTACATTACATGTTACTTTATTCATGCTTGATTTCGCTCTGTCCTGCGCAAGCTTTATATATATACCATATCCCTTATTCACTAAAAGTTCGAAATACAATCGACCAAATTACTTTCTTTATCTTGGCCACAAAACATATTACTTTTTGGTTTTCAAATACACTAGTGATGCTCCAGAAGCACCTATGGATAAAACCGTCATTCTTCTTATGTCATCCACCTTCAGAATTTGTAATTCACAGCACTAGAAGAGGATAGAATAGTAAAAATGTACTTTTGTAGGTAGGTAGTTGGTTAGCTCATCAACAAAAGAAATAGAGGGGATTATAACGTGCTAAGTACAAATTCTGTGTTCATTCTAACATCTTTTTTGAGAAATTAACTCATTTCTAAATCAGTTTTGTCGCCTCTTTAAGAAATGATGTTTTCATTCCATTGTTCATCAATTATACTTTTACAAAAAGCATATCTATAGTAGTTTGATCATACATAGTGAAGAACTTGACTTGAACAACCAGTACAGCAATTTTGTACTACTCATTCACACATGAAACTCAATCTAGAGTGTCAAGCGAATTCGACGTTCACATAATTGAATGTGCTACTGACAAAAAGACAGGACACTGTTATATTGTTATTGTTTGTCTGTATGAAATTCAAAAGTAACACTGAAGCTGAAATCTTCAAAAATCAACTCTCAGGATTTTTGAGGAATACATTTCACGCGGGCAACCAGAGAATCACATCCTCCAAAAGATAATTATTCTGCAAATAAGTGAAGGGAGAGATTTCTGATTCGGTTACCTCACTGTGTATCTATCAGTTTACTTGCTCCCATGAAGTAGATTACATTGGCTGAACACAACTTCAAGTCCACCAACAAATTTTGAAACAATGTCCAGCTTGGTTTAAGGAGGTGATTTTTATTTTGGAATATTTCATCTTCAGTCATGTAGTTCCTCTAAACAGTTCCTTCAGAGCAATTTACATAGTGCCTATCTACAATTTCAAAGGATATTAATGACCTCATCCGCACATCCCTGGATCAGTTGCGTTTCACTCCCTTAAACTTCACGTTTCTGTTCAAGAATATTAGGTGTACTTATTAGCCTTGATAAGACCAGAGTGATGATTTCTTTTTGTTCTTAGAGACGATATTTTACTCTACTCTTGAGCATTAAAGTGGCCAATTGACGCTATTTATTAGTAATAGACTGTTATCTGTTTCCAATACTTATAAGTACTGTTGAACAGCGTTAGTAAATGAAATCGTTGAAAATAAAATTGCCTCCAACTCTTAACACTTCGATCAGAAGTTATTATTCTAAACTTTCGAACTGCTTCTTTATATGATTACTTTTCTGAACGATTTCTTTTCTTTTCAGTATCCTGGTGATTGTATCTGTAAAGAAGGTTATGCTGGTAGACGTTGTGATGAATGTGCTGAAGGCTATCAGCGCTCTAACATTGATCCTCAATTGTGCATACCGTGTACATGTGATATTAGAGGTAGTCATCGAGGTCCAGGATATCAATGTGAACCTCCATGTAACTGTAAAGTGAGTTTTGTTCCACTGATGAAAAATATTTAAAAATCTCTATTGAATCTTCATGAAATGAGCAATGTGACCGATATCTGTTTACCAGGAATTATACTAGATCCTTATTACCTAAGGAAGTTATGACTCGAAACAGTCGGACCACTTCAGCTTCAGTAACACTTTTTTCTGTTCAAAAGACAAGGCAGTAGTGTTACTTTCTTGAGAATGGGTATGAAACAGAGTTCAGTATATAAATTTTCAGATACATTTAGTGATAGATTTTTTCTAACCTACTTAGCAGCTGCAAATTTTAGATGAATAAATGATTCTGAACACCTAGAAAAGGAATTTTTTGAGATCAGATCCAAGCGGGGTGATTCTGAGATACGGATGATATGGTGTGTACAAAAATCTCAAAACGTTAGAACAGGTCCATTCCGAATGCCGTTCTAAAAATACAATTTCATGATACTTAAACATTAACACAATAACTTTCAACTGTGGGTTTTCCCTGAGGAAAAGTCAATGATTATATAACTGTAATTAAAAATAGAGGAAGATCAGTATAAGAGTGAAACTTATGCACTATGGTAGAATGTAATTCCATTTTTATTGATTTATTAGATTTATCAAACAGTATGGGACAGTACTGTTTACTGGATTACGTTTCGGACATAATTAATTGTCTACAGTCATATCAAAATGATTACACAACTTTAGTATATCCTTTATATAGTCCTAATTTTCTCGCCCCTTTGTGACATGAGTGGTACGATTTTCCATATATCTGGAACAGTTGCTGAGTCATTCCTATTGCTGTGTGTATTAGGTGTTGATTTGATGAACAACGATTCAGTTATCAAACTCTTCATGTACACTGTTATGTTAGTTTTAAGGATTTTCACTCTATCGCATTCTATTGTGTAGTTGTGAGTAATTGCATGCATAGCTATGGCTAGGCTTTTTTCTCAATTGCTTACCCTACTAGGATCTACCAATTTTGATCCAGCTAGGTCAGAGGAAGACCAGGGTTAATAACACAAATCATACAACTTGTCCAGGTGACTGAAATCTGTATATTCTTGTTAGTTTCAAATGAAGAAAAATGAATCAGTAAAAACCATAAAAAGGCATAGCTATACCACTAATGGTTCATGTAATCAGCAATCAGAAAAGTAGGTAAATGAAAGGGTTTCACTGAGTAATCACTTTACTACGGTCTAATGTTTAACCTAAGTAGATCAAGGAGACAGAATATAGGCAACTATAAGCAATTCAAAAATTTGTTGATTTGTAATCAGCTGTTTGATTGCGCCACCTAGGAGAGCATGATTTGTGTAGTTTCCCTTGTTTCCCTTCTACTTAAATAAGGTCTTTGATAGTTAGCTAGTGAGCGGAAACCTTGTAATGACTTTGAACACTACCACAGCAGCTAATGGAATTTGTAATTCGTTTTCTTTATGCAGACTCAAGAGACTGTTTTTTTGATACAATCGAGAAACCTACTTCGTAGTTACACTAGTTGGTAGAATTGATTTTAAAAGTAATCGAACATTTATCAGCAGACAATAACGAACAAGTTGGTAGCAAATATTCTCTTGGTGGTAATCCAGTAAGAAGTGAAAAATGGTGATACCTAACGTGTATCGATTCGATCAATGAGATTACAACTAATGTCCCTGACAAATCATTGACCAGATTAAAATTAGAGAAATAGCAATCTGAAGAGGAAAAAATCTCATTGTTGTCATAACAGTGAAAATAACTCTACTTTATTTATTAAAGAAACTGACTCAAAGACTCACAGTGTTTCTGGATTTTCATCTTACTGTTCAGTATATCGTTTATAGAGCTTTCTGAGATAGCGATGATTTGGCAGACCAGCATTACTAATGTGAGAAGATGATTAAAAACTACATGAACATGTGGGTAACAGCAGATTTAGAACCAGCCGCTTCAGCGTTATGCTTTATCAGCTGAATCCACGAAGTTTCAGCTGCTGACTAGGTCTTCAATTCACGTCAGCTTTAACACGATTGTATCTATTATTATTATTTGTCCACTGGGTTCCTACTGGAATGTAGGGCTTCAGTAGCACGTCGCCATTTCACTGTCTCCTCTGCAGTCTTTTCAACCTGGCTCCATGACTGCCCACAAGCTCTCATTTCTTCCTCACATCATCTCCTCCATATCACCCTCAGCTGGGACGCCCAACTCGTCGTTTCCCATTATTGCTCCACTCAAGGGCCTGGCGTGGCGCATGACATCAGGGAATGACCTTCTCGGTGTATGTTCAATCCAATCCATTTCCACTTTATTCTTCTGCATATTTGTTGGACGATGGTTTCTTGGTCGATTCGCTGCCAGACAGCCAGACAGGCAGCCAGAGTTCCTCCTTATTATTCTGGCCATCTGATCTTCAGTGTCAGTATCGAGTGACCGTAGGTGGCAGCTGTTCATGATGTATGTCTGTAGTTTGTTGGAAATGCCTTTCGTAACGCTCCAAGTCTTTGAACCATCACATAGAAGCAGCCACGATCTTACTGACATAAGATGAGAAAACTGTAGTACTCGACCAGCAGTTTTGACGGGTTTTCATCTGATGTAATACTTTTGAGTAAAGTGTTAAAAACAGAAGAGAATTATAAATAAACAGCGAAATCATTTAGGCTACAATATGACGTCTTTGATTTCTATCTTATTGATACTTACGTAACAATCAGTCTACATGAAACAATAATCAGTGTGTGTTTTTGGAAGACTTGTAGAACTAATTACGAAACAAATAGTGAGAAATCACTTCTGAACAAATGAAGATGAAACAAAATCCTGAGTCATATTAAAATTCCAGACAAATAGTGTATTCATCATTGTGAATAGGTTGTTAAACATCATGCAATCACATAACAGCCCTTCATACATTTGGTAATTTAAGTGAAGATTAAGTCAATAGCGGAGTGTTGTAGTTCACCTGATAGAATATCAAACCAGTAATATGAAAGTAGCTGGTTTCAATGCTACTCGAAACTAGGTTATTATTTTCACTTGCTGTCATCATACATGATACAAGTTTTGCCGAATTGTGTTTATCTCAGTCAAAAAAGTGAAATATATCTCATCAAATTTGATATCTTCCTTTATTTGGTAGGATTTAACAGACCTGAACATTTTAAAAAACGATTGTAAAAAAAAACATCGATTTCGATGAATGATCATATATATATATATATATATATATATATATATGAAGAAACCATTCACAAATGAAACACATTTTGCACTATAAGCTTATAAAAAAACAGCCTTGTTTATTCATTCTTCATGAAATGTACACCTTTTTGTATACTTTTTTGAAACTTCAGATGCTAAAATCACCTACTAAATTTTCTGAATGATACTTTAAGATTTTTTAGGATTCATTCTTCTGTACTGTCACAGTGCAACTCTACTAGCTGAAGTATACACAAATAAACAGCAATAAATGATTATAGCTTTGTTTCATTGCTTTAACTGATTGAGTCATAAGATTTGAGATAGATAAAATGAAGAAGAATCCTACTGAAAAATTGGAATAAACTATCCGACTAATAATATCTTGTAAAGACAATTTCTTATCATATACAAGTTTGGTACACCTAACTTCCGTGTTATAAATTGAATATACACAGATGAGAACGTATATATATATATATATATATATATATATATATATATATAAATGTGAAATTCTTCCATTAACCCCCATTCTTCAATAACCATCTGAAGGATTTCTGTAAAGAGAATAAATGAAACTGAATAAAAATCTCAATGAAGAATAAATTTCAGCTACTAGTTAAATTTTATAGCACCAAATCTACAAGATACGTGTAAAATCAGAAGTACAACTTATAGAAAACTGAACATGTTTTATATATAACTTTGGTCCAAGATATATTTAGTTTCATTTGTGCCTTCAATCATTGTGAACACTGTCAGTGACTAAGGTGTGTATAGACCTATCAAGATGATGAATCTTGAACAGGATAAAATCTACACTCTAGACTTAACTAAAAAAGTAATTCAAGATATAATCAAAATATAATTTGAAGCAAGCAGCTGTTAGTTACGGTTAGTGAAATGACTAGAAAACTATAGTTCATTAGAATTCACTTCATTTCGAATAATAAAAGAAACATTACCCTAATAATAATAATAATAATAATAATGTATGTTTTACGTTTATTTCCATTTTTTATTTACTCCACCATTTATAGATTAATGTTGACCCAGACTCATATTGTAATAAATGTCAACAAGGATTTTTCAACCTTGATGTTAATAATCCTGAAGGTTGTCAAGCTTGTTATTGTTCTGGTCTTACAGATCAATGTACTGCAGTCAGTTCAGTTACTGCTATGGTATGTAGAATACTTTTAATGAATTAATTCATTTAAACAAACAACTTTTTATTTAGTCAAAATATTCAAAAACCTATTTGTATAAAATAATACACTATTAAAAGTATGAATGAAATATATTTTGTAAAATCCTAATAAAATAGAAAAATAAATTTCTAACGTTTCTAGACTACGTGGAAATCATTTCTTCAAAGAATAAAACCTGTACAAGTTATCGATAGTTTAAATAGTAAAAGGTAACGAATCAGATCACATTGTCTGTCTACAGATAGACGATGATAATATGAACGTGAATATCATCGTTATACTGGTCAGGAATCGTTGATAATTTGTCTTTGTTTATCAATTAAATTTTTGAGGGAGTTGTGGGGATTTGGAAATATTTCAGGTTGTTATTCATCGAAGACTGACATCAGTTGTAGGAACAAAGGAAACCTGAGAGCACTGGACAGCTGTTTCGTCCTAGTATGGGACTCCTCAGCAGTGCGCACCCACGACCCCACCAGCAGGGATCGAACCCGCGACCTTCAGGTTGCTGGTGGGGTCGTGGGTGCGCACTGCTGAGGAGTCCCATACTAGGACGAAACAGCTGTCCAGTGCTCTCAGGTTTCCTTTGTTCCTACAACTGATGTCAGTCTTCGATGAATAACAACTTTGTTTATCAGTTAATTAGTCTGCAGGTCAAGATGATATGAATATGTGTACATGTAACTGGGTATGAAAGTGTAAGAATAAATTAATAACATGGATGATAAGTTCGGTTTGTTTGTGTATATGTTCTTTTGATGAAATTATTGTGTGATGTGTTGTTTTTGGAAATACTGCCTTCCTTTCTGTTGAGTGCATTACCTGTTCAACATAATATGAAATGCTTCTGCTATTCTTCTTTCTTCGTAGTTTGAAAATACCTTTTGAATAACTTTAATATATTCAATATCGATTTTGTGATTGTGATAGATGGCGTGAACTGCGATCGCCGACTTGATTTGAAGGTTCTCTAGTTCTACAGGATTATTTGGTGGTCGCTTTGTATAGCTTACATGTTATCTAGCCCTAATCTGAAAAGTATTTCCAAAAACAACACCACACACAATGATCTCATCAAAAGTACATACACACAAATAAACCGAAATTTGTCATCCATATTATTTCAAGTTGTTATTCATCGTAGACTGACATCAGTTGGAGGAACAAACGAAACCTGGGAGCACTGGACATCAGTTTCGTCCTAGTATGGGACTCCTCAACAGTGCGCACACACGACCCCACCAGGAATCGAACCTGTGACCTCCAGGTTCCGTGGCCAGCACGTTACCATTTAGTCATTGGGTCAGAACCCAAATGTCCATATTTCCAACTGCTGAGGAGTCCCATACCAGGACGAAATAGCTGTCCAGTGCTCCCAGGTTTCCTTTCTTCCTACAACTGATGCTAGTCTACGATGAATAACAACTTGAAATGTTTCCAAATCCCCACAACTCCCTCAAAACCCATATTATTATTTTTTTTTCTTGCACTTTCATACCCAGTTACATGTACACATATTCATATCATCTTGACCTGCAGACTAATTAACTGATAAACAAAGACAAATTATCAACGATTCCTGACCAGTATAACGATGATATTCACGTTCATATTATCATCGTCTATCTGTAGACAGACAATGTGATCTGATTCGTTACCTTTTACTATTTAAACTATCGATAACTTGTACAGGTTTTATTCTTTGAAGAAATGATTTCCACGTAGTCTAGAAACGTTAGAAATTTATTTTTCTACTTTATTAGGATTTTACAAAATATATTTCATTCATAATCCAATTAACCAATGCTCAATAAACTCACCTATATCATGTAGAATTTTGATCCTAAAGTTTACAAAAACTATTAAAATGTTAATGTTTTTAGAAAAACTTAGTCAAGGAGGAATTCACCTCGGGTCTAGGATTATTTCATGCGTTCATATGCTAGTTTATAATATGATTTATCAATCCTGTCAAATTACTACTTATTGATATATTTGTAATTCTCCATTGTTCTTTATTGGATCGAATTGTTCGATATCTATTGGCATATGGAATCTTATACGGATGTCTGGATATTTTGCCTGAATGTTATTTATGGTAATTTGCTTGGTTATGGCTAGCAGAAGACCATTTGAGACTCGTCAGTAAGATATACATGCACCCCAATGGGACTTAAACCTCGTACCCATCACTTCAAACGCCGAGGCATTATCCATTATGACACGGAGGCGCGATAGCCACAATCAGGCAGATTATCATAATTAACATTCAGTCAATATCAAGGCATGGGAGCCCATATGCTAATAGGGGTGGGACAATTCGATGTAATAGAACAACGAAGAATTACAAGTTTATCAATAAATAGTAATAACAAATACCCATTGTACAGGAAGTGCCTATCGTGCCTGCGTGACCAAGTGGATAACGCCCTGGCGTTTGAAGCGATGGGTAAGAGATTCTAGTCTCAGTAGAAACAACATCACTCACTGAAGTGGAGATACATCCAACTGACGAGTCCCAAATAGGACGAAATGCGCGTCCTTGATTCTTCTGCTACCCACAACCAAGCAGATTATCGAAATTCTATCACACGACTAATTTCTGACAACAGTGAAACATGAATTCACCATAATAACTGAAAATAAATATAGTGATTCTCCTATAGAAATTGCAATGGCTAACAAAATTACGAAATGTTGAACATTTAACGTTGATCAGTGATAGAGAACACCGGGAAAAATCTTCTTTGTGATGCATTCTCTGTGCTGGATGGTTTTAACCTCCAAACAACCAAGATTATCCACCTGAGCTAAAAAAATATTCTCCATTACTTCAAAATAAAACAGTGATTTAAACAGCGTAATGAGAAGACGAAGATTATCTGAAACATGTCGTGTGATGTATTAGCGCTATACATTTCGAACAATCTGATCACACATGGACTGTTTATGTGAAAATTTACGAAAAAGGTCAATGAAGTTAATACGAAATATAGGAATAGGAAGGGAGAGAAAAAGCCTTATTCTTGGTATGAAAATTAAAATAAATACTACCAAGGTAGGTTCAACGTGAGTACCAATTGTTTTTGTATACATAAAGGGGGTTTAAATTTACGGATGGCAAGAGCTTCAATAAATTTAAGCACTCGGTTCTGACCACTTTTATGTAGTACTTTAAAGGCTGTTTTCATGTCTATCCTATGGTTAGTTTCTAGTATATGTTAAGCGATAGACGAAGATGGATGTTTGTCACCTGCACATATCGGATCTGTTTTTGTACCCACTTAGGTACATGTTCAACCTTCCTTAACTGCATAACACGATTACTCCTCCCTATATATGTGTGTCCACACATACATGTAAATTGATAAACACAGTGGGATGTGATGTAATCGTTTCTATGTTGTTTCGGTTTGTGCTGTAACATGGACTTGGTCTTCTCTACAATGATGACCTTAGCTGCATAATAAGTTTTACAGATGGCCGATCTAAGTCTTATCCTCACAACAAAGCTATATGAATCACCTCTAAATGGTAATGAGATGTAGACATTTTTCTTAGCAACGGAACACTGTGTACTTTTCAATGGTACATAACTTTTGCACCGGTCGATAAATCTCAACGGGTATCCATTCTGTATCAGAGTTGTCGTCAGTAAGTTGGCTTCTTCTTCCCTGGTGTCATCGGTGCAGATACGGTTTATCCTGTTGAATAAGCATCTGACTAAACCACGTTTGTATTGGACTGGACAATAGCTATGGAAATTAAGATATTGCCCTGTCCATGTAGGTTTCTTATAGATCGACCTCCTGATCGAGCCATCCCCATTCTTGTATTTACTCGATTCAAATTAATTCAGTCATAAAGAGCCTCTCTTTAGGTAAAGTCTTTACCATAATATTATTGATTACGAATAGATTTTGTGACTGATAGCACGGTTACTGACGACACTGTGGTGTGGTGCGTAATACCACTTTCAAAAGCTGTTTACAAATAGAATAAATAACAGCATCTGTACAACTTTAGGTTTCAACTGAAGAAGTTAAGTAGGCTGGTAGTTTTATTGTAGCAAATAGAAGGATGCAAAACAGTAGAATTTCATAGTCTAACCTGGAATAAAATAATCACTAGACACATTTCAATAACTGTATCCATTCTCCTGAGCATTACCATAGACATGATTTAGGTGCACTCATCATACTACACTACATGTGACTTGATCAGTTAGCTTAGTAGAAGTAATGGGCCGTAAAGCACTGATATCATTAGGCTATTATCTCTTTACAAACCACCTGGCCATCTTCCTGTCTTTCTATCTATTTTATTGTCTATTTGCCTATCATGTGATATTGAATCCTTTACATCCGCCTGAAGTATAAGTGAATATTTTTTACACAAGTATATTTTATACAGTTAATACTCTCCTCTCATTTGTTTGCTTTTCTATCAATGTAGATCTTGGAAAGTAAAGGATTACTTGATCAAGTAAGCTGTTTTTTTAGTAATATGAAAAAATATTTTTGAACTTTTCTTGTTTATCCGATAAATATTTATAGTGATTGGTAGATATTTCTCAAACAGCTACACGAATGTATGTTTGATGATTCTAGTTCCAACAGAGAATAACTAATACTAAGGTGTAGGTGAATTCAGCTGATGTAAATGAATTAAAACTGCATTGATTCAAAGTCAATTATGTATGTTCACCTTCATTTGGATAGAACACAGTAGTTTACAGAGGAATTCAAATTCAATATTATTTAGTGCCAGACTGATTAAGAAAATAGTTTGAATAAACTCAACAAGTATCCCGTCGTTGATTGGACTGAATTGATTGATCTGTGCTGGCATATAGGTTACTATTCACATGCCTCGATATTGCCTATGTTTTCGATTCTGATATTATTAGTAAACAGTGGCTAGCAGTGGAAGCCAGGACGCGTGTTCCAATCAATAACGGGATAATACAACCAGTAACATCTAAAACTATGGTTGTCGCGCAAGACATGGCCATCGAGACTCTGTGGTCTAGTGGATAAGGCCTTAGTATTTGAAGCAATCGATCTCAGGTGCCAGTCTCAGAGGGCACAGCATTACTCACTGGGAGGCAGGTACGTCCAGCTGACGAGGCCCAGATAGGGCAAAACGTACCTCCGGGACTCCTCTACTAGCCACTATATGTCATTACTACCAAATTCAACAAATGTCCGTAGAATACAAATATCTCTACACTCAATGTCCAAGCAAAGTAAACTAATTAACTTAAAAAACTCGTAGATTTCATAATTCAGAAGTTCAAAGTAAAATGTCTCCCCAGTTTAAATTATTAATGTGCACTTTGTTAGTGATGCCTCAGTATTTATCTATCACAGAAACTTTATTAGCAGTGAAAATTATTTATTTTGGTTGTATAGTGTTCTCTGCGCTGGCTGGGTTGTTTAATCGTGAAGAAGCTTTCATCGTCCTTCTAAACAGTGACATCATCAGCACTAACTTCAGTATGAAGTGAGTGAGCTGTCAATATCTCTCCGTGAAAGATTTAATAGCTTACTCTGACGATATGGACTGTGAGTGGTTGTTTCCTTCGATTGTTGTGTCATTGATTGTATTGACTTTCCTGTTGGCTGTTCCTCTGCTTCATCTCTGACCTTTCTGTCGTTTATCATTTTTCTTATTGGTTGAAAGATCTGGTCTATGTCTTTAATATATGTGAAAAACTTGGGCATTGTGGTAGAAAGTAATTCCATATTAGATTTGTTTATTTGATATAAAGCGCACAGTGATACAGTATTATTTACTTGATTCGATGTTCATCGAATCCACACCCAACACATGTAATAGGAATGACGCAACACCTATACCAGAGATATGGAAAACTTTACTACCAATCAAAAAACAAAGAGATCAGGTGACAGGACTATAAAATCAGATATCGAAAGAAGTGTGATTACATTGATATGATTATGAGCAATAATTTATGCTCGAAACGTAATCAATTAAATAATACTGTATCACTGTGCGCTTTATATCAAATAAACTGGTCTATGTCTATACATCTGTTGACTGCTGACTGACCTGAATGCCAAGTTTCTAAGAATTCTCTGACATGCTTTGTATATCCTCTGTCCCTCCAAGGTTTCTACATTGTCGAAATTGAATTCATATCCATAGCCGTTATCCACGTGCATTGAAATGAGTGACGAAATGTCGTGGCGTTTAATAGCCAATTGGTGCTCATGTAGACGAAGGCGAAGAGGGCGGCCGCTTTGTCCATTGTAGTGCTGACTACAGTTATTGCAGTTGATTTTGTAAATGATATTCGGTTTGTCTTCTCTGCTTGTTGTATCCTTTGGTCTGCATAGTTAGGGGTTGGAGGGAATTTGTTGGTTTATGAGCCACAGCAATTCCAAGTGGTCTCAGCAATCTTGTCATGATTTCTGATACATTCTTTATTTGTGGTAGGACGATTCGTTTGTTGATTTCTGTCAATGACTTTCTAGTTGGTGATGCACGGGATAGAAATTTTGGACAGAGGAAACACAAAGAATGTCAGAGAATTCTTAGAAACTTGGCATTCAGGTCGGTCAGCAGTCAATAGATGTATGGACATAGACCAGATCTGTCAACCAATAAGAAAAATGATAAACGACAGAAAGGTCAGAGATGAAGCAGAGGAACAGCCAACAGGAAAGTCAATACAATCAATGACACAACAATCGAAGGAAACAACCACTCACAGTCCATATCGTCAGAGTAAGCTATTAAATCTTTCACGGAGAGATATTGACAGCTCACTCACTTCATACTGAAGTTAGTGCTGGTGATGTCACTGTTTAGAAGGACGATGAAAGCTTCTTCACGATTAAACAACCCAGCCAGCGCAGAGAACACAATACAACCAAGACCATCCACCTGAGCTAGAAATATTCTCCATTATTTCAAAATTATTTATTTCTCATGAACACTTGCTTTACTTCACTTTGTAAGGCAAGACCTCAATCAAAAATGGGAATTCTACTGAGTTGAAATTCAGATACCGAACAGTAAACTTCTTTTAGAAGAAGTCTCCTGACATGTCAGCAACATATATAACAACCTTGTCTTTTATATCTGGATTCTTTTTATGGTGATATCGCCGAATAAATTGATATCAACTGGTTCAAATGATTGATACAAATAACTGTAATATCCAACCCTGACATTGTCAAAGGATTTGGACTCTCAACGCACCTTACTATTTGAATATTGTTTCACTTGCCAACGCTTTTCTCACTGCATTATGTCGCCAAAGGAGTCGAATGCAAAATGAGACATTTGGAACCTTTCCATTCCTCCATACAATAGAAGAATAAGACTGATTCTCACTATCCTCGTTGTTGCTCTTCTTCTGAGTTATACATTCACACAGGTGAATTATAAGTGCATAACGAAACAGAAATAGCTCATACATTGAAAATACAAAAATGTATATTGAATAACTTCAGTTAACATACAGTTACTTTAGTGTCGTAAAGCGTATAGAAATAATCTTCGATAAAACAATAAGATGTAAATTGTCTGAACCATGCAGTGTATATTTACGCAACACATTTCGAACTGTCTGATCATACACGTACTTGTCATAGGTATTTATACGAAAATTCATAAAGATAAGGAGTGAGAAAGTGGAAAGAAGTCGAGTAGAAAGATTGAATTAAAGGCCAAATAATAATGAAAATCAATAGAGCGAAAAATAATAATACATCGAATTTGGTTTTCAATAGTTGAATTTACCAAGGAAGATTTAATGTGATAACACAAATTGTTTATGAACACACAAAGATGGTCTGAACTTTCTAATAGCTAAGGCTTCAGCAAATTTAAGGATCCCTCCTCAACATGTTTTGTCGATAGGTGTAAAGGAAGTAGGAGCATCAATCCTGTGACCTGTCTCAATGATATGTTTGGCGATCGAAGAACTTGGACGTCTGCTACCAACGTTCATGGGTTCAGGTGATTTAATTTGCTTCTGTAGCCTTTTTGTAATATATTCTGAGACCCTTACTTGCATGGATCTATGAGTCCTCTCTATGCATGTGTCCCCACACGCACATTTGAATTGGTAGATGCAGTGGGATGTGACATTGTTGTTCACATGTTGTGGGGATTTGCGGAATATACAGGCATGATGTTTTATATTAATCGAACCCTGAGTGCATAGTAGGTCCTTCTAACAGCTTAAGGATTGCACTATGATAGTCACCTTTGTACGGAAGACTGATAAAGGCATCCTTCTTTGGAACAAACTGAAGATCTGGTTTGATGCTCTGATTATTTTGTGCTGCCTAATAGAAATAAATCAAGTAGATAAAAAAAACCCTGAATCGAAATGAACCGAACCACCCTTAATCGATCCATAATGTTTTCACAAGTATTAAGTATCCTGAAGTGCTGAGTTATTACATTTGGCAACCCTTTGAATGTGACCAGTCGAAAGAGAGAGAGGATCACAGGTTACATTGAGGAGGAGACTCAGACCCTAAGAATTTTAAAGTAAAACTGATAGCTTTAGCTAGGATTTTGTTCTAGCTTTCCGTTAGCATTCTGAGAACAGCGATTAGACCGGCTGAAAACTAGTTATAGTTCCACGTTTCAACTGATTGATCTATAATAACTAATGAGCGACTGTCATTAATTCTTGCTCAGATACACTGAAATTATTTGATTTTATGTACTCTGAACTGGATCGTCTAACTGTGAAGTTTGTATGGAATTATTCACAAGTGGCTTTTTACTAGCTTATACTGATGATGTTGGATGCGATTGGTTGTTTCTGCGTTAATGTTTTCATTGTCAACACTCGTATTTTGACCGAATGTCTTATTGACCTGAACTCTGACTTTCTTCTTTTTTCTCATGTTTCTTTTTGGTTGGTAAACTGGGTTGAAGTTAATGTACCTATTGACTGTTGGCTGACATGAGTTCCAAACTTCTTAAACTTCCCTCATTGTTCATTTCGTTCTACAGTTTATTCTAATGATACTGTCAATAGGGATAATAAGAACTTGGAAGTTGAACTATTTAGCTTACTGCATGCAATTCTCATCAAAACAGTCTCACTGAGCCATAAATATTTATCAGTACCACAAAAGTGAAGATAATCACTGATATGTCAATAGAATACTTCTTATCAATTCACACAACACTTATATTAAAACACTCAACTCCTAAGGTGGATACTATAAGAACTAGCCTATAAATTAATGCATAAGTTTAACATGAGGATAAAGCTGTCCTTATGCTTAAGTCTTTATGGATTGAAAGCTTTCAACATCAGTTCAGTTGTAATATTTGATTTAGATTTGCTACAGAAACATAAGAAAACTCCAAGAAGATCCATACCCTGAGCTCTATGTTAAAAAAACCTTCCATTATTAATAATCATTATATTTACACCGTTTTATATTTGATTTTTAATATTTTTGTCCTAAAGGTTAACACATTAATTGGTTGGAAAATTATTGTACCAAGTCTGTCTACAGTAGATACTGGTTATACTATACCAATGGCAGAAATTTCAGCACAGTATGATAAAGTTTTATTTACACAAACACGTGCAGTTGAAGCTTGGTTCTCTTCAGTTAGTTCAACACCTGTAACACGTGGTTACTACTGGTCTGCACCAGAAGCTTATTTAGGCAATCAGATTACAGCATATCGTGATACACTGAATATAATATTACGCTTTAATTCACCAACTATGCTGACCTATCGTACACCAGGGATAAAAGCTGACTCTACAGGCAGTAGACAGTTCACAACATCGATAGCTATGACTGACCATTTAAATTATATGTGGTTACATGAACCGGATATTGTGATTGAGGTAATGCATATTCTTTGATTAAATCTACTTCTTTTTTTTATCTATCTGTTGTCTTTTATGTTTTCATAAGTTAATATCTGTTGTCTTTTACCTGATAAAAGGAAGTAGTCTCTTTCACCTACTACATAGGCAAGGCAGCATCGTTTCAACTACAGGCGGCACAGACGAGGATGTCAAAACCAGCATCAGAAAAGCAAGACATTCTTTCATCAATCTGAAATCAGTGTGGAGATCTACTGCACTCAGCATAAGCGTGAACAAGATCCGGATTTCCAACATCAATGTCAGTCATGTCAGTGCTTCCATGTGATGGTTGAAAGACTTGGCGTATCACAAAAAGCACTTCCAAGAAACTAAAGACATTCATCAACAGCTGCCTACGCTGGCTCAATGCTGACACTGAAGATCAGATGGCCAGAATAGTAAGAAAAAGCAACAAGGAACTCTGGCTGGCTGGCGCCGAACCAACCAAGAACCTATCACTCAACCTATCACCCAATTGGAGACATAACGCGCCCGGCTAGGCGAAATCATCGAGTGAAATCCAAATGGGAAACGACGAGTCGGGCGTCACAACTGAGGGTGACATGGAGGAGATGATGTGAGGAATAAATGAAAGGTTGTAGGCAGTGGTGGAGCTAGATTAAAAAGACTTCAGAGAAGAGAGTGCATTGGAGGTACGCTACTGAAGCCGAATGTTCCACTAGGAACCCTAGGCAAAAATAATAATAATTTACCTGAAAGGAATGAATTTTCTGTATATTTGTACTTTTTGTTAACTATGGCTACAATTAAAGTTTGATAGTTTTCAAATAATAACTAGAAATAATTTTTAATTTCAGACACAGATTTTTTCCACCTGCAAAGTAAATTAACTATGAAGGAAACTAGTTGTAGTTACTAGATTATCCATTGCGTAGGCAGTAGTAATCAATTGAGTGAATTGACTGAAAATTCTAGGCATTTAATCTATCGAAACTTAAGATATTGTTTTATTTCCAATACTTTCGAATCATTATATCCTGTTTGTGATGCAACGTTCATGCACAAAGTTCACAAGTTTAAATAGATAATTCTCGCTTTCAACACCTTCAACTAAATAAGAAATATCTAGTGAATAAAATATCTCCTTGAAGCATAATAATTAGATGTTAGCTCATATTTTATCTTATTATGTCACAGTTTTCGCATTGACTATGCTACAACTACAAAGAATCTGTTACAATAATTCACCTTTGCATATGCTGTTATATTTCCAAGTAAATAACAAGTAGGGAGATGTAACATTAGAGAAAAAAAAAGCACAAAAACTCACTAATTCAGTTTTTAGCAAAGGATGAAAGGTGAATATGTGTTTACTTACAGTTCAAGGCTATTTTGAACAATATCATTTTTACTTTGTAGAGATTGATTACGTGATGTCAGGTGAAAAACTTAGTGATATGATAATCTATGATGAGTCAATCTATTAATGGGTCACCACTTCTTTTTTATTTCAGTGATTCTTCCCTGATAAACAATAATTGCCTAACAAGTCGTTGAATGCATAAGGACAATAAAGATTCATGTTGACTCAATCTTTAATAGGCAGAAATCTCATCCAGTGATCTACACTGCGTAATCAAAAACCTAATCTCTTAGTTTTGATAAAGCTCACTTCACAGATTCAACACTCAAAGTTTTATTATCTTGTTTCGTTACACTTTATCACTAGCAGGGATTTTGTTGTTCAGTGTAACACTTCAAAGGCGAATGGGAAAGCCAGGTGCTTGATAAGTAATGACTGACCGGTGCATATCAAAACATAAGGTATTACTGAGCCAAAAAAGCCTACTTTTTATTATAATCGAAAGGATTGTCTCAGGGAGTATAGAGGTTATTTCACGTTACTACTCAAATAGCTTTTTATTCATTTGATTGGTTTATGTCAATAAAAACAGGCTTCATTGGTTATACTTGGGAAACGAAATTTAATTACTCAGCATGCTGTAAACAACAAGTTGTGTCCACCGGGTTATGACATATTAAATTGGAACGACACTACATTGGAGACTATTTGACTCAGATATATAGAATATCTGTCATTTATTAGAAAATTAGTGTCTACGCTTTCGATAAAATTGGTTTTCATTTTGTGAATAGTCCATTCACAGAATCTTGTAATGATAGACAAAATGAATAAAAAATGCCCTTCTGAAAAGGCTTGGAAATAGCCAAGGCCGTTGTAAATATCTATGCATGAATATGTCAACTCTTCACCTCAACTTTATTGATTTTAAAAAGGCCTTCGATAGCGTTGACCGAGAAGTAATTTGGCAACTGCTTCAACACTACAGTTTTAGTGCCACAAACGTTTATCAACCTCATTCATGAGCTGTATGATGATGCTACATGCGATGTGATTCGCAATGAAAAGCTCAGTGATGCCTGTGAAGTTAAGACAGGAGTAAGACGAGGTAACTGCCTACTATCACCGATCATCTTCCTGATTGTGGTTGACTCGACTGGACTCGATCATCCAATAGACAACTATGAGGAGCGAGAAGATGGGCATACGCTGGCTGCACCAATGAAGAGACTAGAAGATTTGAATTCCACCGATGATGATTTCTGTCTAATGCCTAATGTCTCACAAACTCGAAGATGTACAGGCGAAAACTAACAAGTTGACAGAAGAGGCGAGGTGAGGCAGCGAAGGAAGATGCGACTTCAGATGAACGTAGAGAAGATAGAGGTGATGAAGATACCCAACCAACCAACAACAACAACAACAAGCATCAATTACCATCAATGGAAGAAATGTAAAGGACGTCTCTTTCACCTACCTAGACAAACCAGCATCGTTTCAACTACAGGCGGCGGTGGCACAGATGAGGATGTCAAAGCCAGTATTGGAAAAGCAAGATAGGGCTTCATTAACCTGAAATCAGTGTGGAGGTCTACAGTGTAAATGTTTCTATATGGTAGAAAGACTTGGCGCGTTACGAAAGACATTTCCAACAAACTACAGACATACATCATGAATAGCTGCCACCTACGCTCACTGGATACTGACACTGAAGATCAGATGGTCAGAATAATAAGAATATGCAAGGAGGAACTCTGGCTGGCTGGCTGTCTGGCAACGAACCAACCAACAACATATTGTCCAGCAAATATGCAGAAAAATAAATTGGAAATGCATTGGATTGGATACACACTGAGAAGATCGTTTGGGGAAATCATGCTCCAGGTCAGACCGTCGAGTGGAAGTGAAATGGGAAACGACACGTTGAGCGTCTGAGGGTGAAATGTAGGAGATGGTGTGAGGAAGAAATGAAAGTTTCTGGGCAGTGGTGGAGCCAGACTAAAAAGACTCCAGAGAAGAGAGTGAGATGGTGACATACTACTGAATCCCTATGTTCCACTAGGAAACCGAGGGACAAATGATAAAACAATAATAATCATGTTTACATATACCGTTGCACTGTGCACATACCTTTGGTGAAGTGATTCGACTTGTTTTAACTTACCTCCCTTTTTAGTTCTCAAGAACTTAGCGACCATCAAAAGTTAAACCTAAAGGTCTTTGTGCAAACGTTCACAAGGGTATATCAGTATTAAACAAGTTGTTACAGTATTTCTGTGAAGTTATTAGTGGCAATATAGCATCAAATAATTTTGTTTTATAACAGTTGAATGACTAACGCCAATGTTATTGTTGAATTAAACATCCCATAAAATTTTTCTTCTCAATCCATTAGAAAATATTTTCATCATTTATGTACAGGTTATTAATTCTTTATTCAATTTCTTTATAAATATAACTAATCAGGGGAATGGTTATCGGTTAGTTCACATGCTTCCATCATCTTACCGAGAAAGTCATATGATTTTGAATATTCCAGTAACTGAATCATCATTTCGAGTAATTGTAGAACCACCAACATCAATACCTTTGGATAGATTTCCTATAAGTTGGTTGCAAGGAGATCAGTTAAGACCAGATGAATCCACATCAGAAAGAGTTGGTCGACCAGCTACCGTAGCTGATTTAATGACAGTTCTATCCAGTATAGATAGATTAATGATCAAAGCTAAATATATAACTGATCAAACAACAACTGAGTGAGTTCACTGTTTTTAAATGTATATACTTATCCTATTTAGAGCAAATGAAAGTTTATTAACACATTTAAAAATAAGGATAACAACTTAGTTTGCTTTTCATCATTAATGGGTAATATTTGTTGAAAATTGTCAGTAACACTCAAGAATATAAATCATCAATAACGTCAATGTTTGAAGATCAAAATTTCAACTTTTGAATAACTGTTTCACCTCTGTTAATCCTCCAGCTTGGAATACATTGAATCTCATATAGTCTTTCTAACGTGTCCTCGATGACTACCTATTGTTAATGGAAAGATGAAATAAATCCATTTATGCATTTATTGGAAAAGTAAATTATTGATAGTTGATCAGGTAGTAGATATAATATTCTCATCCGTCTTATAAGACTACTGATTTGTCCTTCTATCCAACTACTGGCAATAACAACGATACAAGTTGGTCGTATTAGAACAAGTAGTTAAGAAGTTTACTGTAAATCTTATCAGCCTCACTTCCATATGAAACTTGCCTCAAAGATCCTTCACAAATTTGAGCTTAAGATATTGGCAGCTGGATGCTTTGACTTATATAATATTTATCATTGTAAATGAGTCTAAATAACTGGTGTACACTTCATCAACAACTGCCTACGCTCGCTACTGAAGATAAGATGGCCAGAAAGAATAAGCAACAAGGAACTTTGAGAACGAACCAACCAAGAACCCATCACTCAACAAATATGCAGTGGGAGGAAGTGGAGATGGATTGGGCATACACTGAGAAAGCCGACTGGGGACATCACGCGTCAGGCACTCGAGTGGAACCCCGATGGGAAGCGACGAGTTGGACGTCCGAGGTGAGGGTGACATGGAGGAGATGGTGCGAGGAGGAAACGAGAGCTTCTGGGCTATCGTGGAGCCAGATGGGAAAGATTTGAGAGAAGAGAGTGTACTGGAGACGTGCTAGTGAAGCCCTATGTTCCATTAGGAACCCAAGAGACCAAAAAAACTGGTGTACACTTGCCACTGTTTCATGAATGTTATCCTCAAGATGTAAACATGAATTTATTGTAACGTACCAGCCTATTGGATAACGGTCTGCCATTTGCAGTGATAGGCAACAAATTGAAGAATTATGAGGAATATCCAAACTGAGCTGTAAACAAATCTAATAGTGAGTCATAAATTAAGTGACACAAGAATCCTAGATATCTATATTGACTAATAGTATTTATGTTCTTGGAAACCTTGACGAATTAAAATCATCCAGACATCAGCAGAATACATCTTGTAATCTTATGGTACACATATGATACAAATTGTGTTTAAAAGACAAGAGATGTAAGACCAGGTTACATAACCAGTCAAAGAGACAATGCTTGTCTACAAATTGCTACATATTTACGCTCACAGTCGCACGAATAGATTTTGTTTAATGAAGTTTCTAAAGGGTACTCTGTCAAGCGTAATGACGAGAAGATTGAACTTTATGCCAAGAAATGACCAAATACTCGAAGAGAATCTCAGCTAAATACCATCAAAGAGTCATAAAGTAAGATATAATAGCTGCCAATTTATGCAGTACATTTTCATCCTATTTCAAAAACTCCCCCCTTGACTACTGATTCATTTTTATTAGTGACTGGATATGAAATCAGTCTTTTTTTTTCCAAAGTTCTGAAAGAAAACTGTACTCTATACAGTCAATGAAGTCAGCTATCTATCAGTAAGACTAGATGATGATAGACTTATGCCATAGATTTAATGTATAAAATAAGCAGTGTGCATCGAAATGAACGTTTGATTACACTAAGGCATTTTTGGATAATGTTGCTAATTGCTTAACGCTGGATAGTCAACTGATAACAGTATAAGTTCTTATTTGTTAACTTTCAACAAGCAACTTAGAAGTTCAAATATATCTCTCTTATGTTTTGAAAATTTTTTAGACTGATGTCAGTTACATTAGGTCGTGCAGTACGTGATGAATCTGGTGGCATACCAAACATTGAAGAGTGTATTTGTCCAACAGGATATTCAGGAACATCTTGTGAATCATGTACTATTGGATTTTATCGTGATTATGAAAGAAAACAAACAACTGTATACAATAATCAAACATTATCATCAACATCATTTGTATCAATATGGCGTTCAACAATAATGGGACAAATGCCTATTTGTATACCTTGTCAATGTTATGGACATTCAGAAACTTGTGATGAAAGAACAGGAGTTTGTATTGTAAGTTTACATGTATAACGTTTGAGTTGATGTAATCAAACTGTCTACTAGTCTTTGTATTTCAGTGTATAAGAAATTATGTTCAACAGTGTTAAATTCATATGAAGTTATCTGAAGTAATTCTATACTTTGCTTTTGACCATTGATAAAAAAGAAATTTTTCAATCATAATTATCTGTATATTTATATATAAATAACTTATTCAGAAGTTCAATTCCCATGAAGAAATGTTCAAAGAGTTAGCAAAATCATTTATCTGTTTTAAGAAGTAATCATCACTACGATTTATTGTTTAATTTGTGTTTACACAATACACATTTCAAAGAAAGTATATCTTACATTTGGAAAGTTTACAATAACCAAGATGTAACCCAACACGACCCATGTATTTATTCACTAAGCTATGGATCACACTTATTGTGTAAAGGATTATACTACTACACAGTAAGTAGATCAAGCCAAAGAAGGTGGAGCTAGATCCGAAACCATCATGTAATGCTTTAAAGTGTAACGCTTAAGCCAATGAACGTTTGACGTATGTTACTAGGGTAGACAGGTTTTGTTTACTATTCTATCAATTTGATGACTGAATACACCTGGCCACTAGGCTTAACCCAAATCGTACTGATTGACTAATGCATTCTTTTTCAATGAATCACTTAGTTATGTCAGCTTACCAAATAAGGTCTACTATGAATGGTCATATGCATGTGATAGCTGACTGTTTCATTGCAGTTGTCCTGGTCATTATTTTCTACGTTACAGAGACCAACATTGCACTTTAAATGTATCTGTGGACTTATTGTAGTTTCTTGGCGCCGTCCAAGTTCTGAGAATCGCTTCACTCACTATTTATCTGAATTTATGAATTACTTGCAATTACAAAAAAGGAACTGCAATACTTCTACCTTCTCTATATTAAAGTATTATTATCATCACTATCATTATTATTTATCTCTTGCATTCCTAGTGGGATATAGGGCTTCAGGAGCACATCACCATTCCACTCTGTTCGCTGCAATCTTTTCAACCTCGCTCCACGACTCCCACAAGCTTTCACTTCTTCCTCACACGATCTCCTCCACATCACACTCGGCTCAGACGCCCAACTCGCCATTTCCCATTTCGGTTCCACTCGACGGCCTTACCTGATGCGAGATAACCCGAATACTCTCCTCAGAAAATGCCCAATACAATCCATATCCACTTTCTCCTACTGCACATTTGTTGAACAATAGGTTCTTGGTTGGTTAGTTTCCAGAGTCGCTTGTTGCTTATTCTTATTATTTCCGCCATCTGATCTTCAGTATAGAGTCAGCGTAGGCAGCTGTTGATGAATGTCTGTAGTTTGTTGGAAGTCCTTTTTGTGACACGCCAAGTCTCTCAACCATCACATACATGGAAGCACTGACATGACTGACATTAGTGTTGAAAATCTGGATCTCGTTCTTTGTCCTGAGTGCAGAAGTTCTCCAAGCTGATTTCCGATTAGTGATAGCCTTCCTTTCTTTTCCAATCCTGGCTGGCTTTGACAACTCACTCTGTACCGCCTGTAGTTGAAACGATGCTGGTTTGCCTAGGTAGGTGAAAGAGACTACTTCCTTTAGGTTGCACACGGTGGCGCTAGTTGCTGCTTGTTGTTCATATTGTTATCTGTTGAATATCTTCATCACCTCCGTCTTCCTTCGCTGCCTCTCCTGTCAACTTGTTAGTTTTTGCCTGTAGATCTTTGAGTTTGCCTGACATTAGACACAAATCATCATCGGCGAAATCCAAATCTTCTTCTAGGGTCTTTTCATCGGTCCAGCCAGCTTATCTTCCTCTTCTCGCTTCTCACTGTTTGCTGCATGATCCAGTCCAGTCAACTGGACCGCAATCAGGAAGATCATGGGTGACACTAGGCAGCCGTGTCTTAATTCTGTCTTCACTTCAAACGTGTCGCTGAGCATTCCATCGTGGATCACTTGTCCTATGTGAATGAGAGCTATAAATTCTGTTCGAAATATGGTTAAGTAAAATTATATCCAAAAAAATCAACCGCGGAATCAAAACTCTACCGGCGACTGTGAAACATAGGGGTTCGGTAGCACGTCACCATTCCACTCTGTTCTCTGCAAACTTCTCAACCTCCTTCAACGACTCCCCACAAGCTCTCACTTCTTCCTCACACGATCTCCTCTATATCACCCTCGGCTCAGACGCCCAACTCATCATTTCCCATTTCACTTCCACTCGACGGCCTTACCTGATGCTTGATGTCCCCGAATAGTCTTCTCAGTGCATGCCCAATCCATCTCCATTTCCTTCTGCATATTTGTTGAACAATTGGTTCTTGGTTGCTTCGTTCCCAGAGTTCAAACCACAGTTCCTCCTTGCATATTCTTATTATTCTGACCATCTGATCTTCAGTGTCAGTATCCAGTGAGCGTGGGTGGCAGCTATTCATGATGTATGTCTGTAGTTTGTTGGAAATGCTTTCCATAACGCACCGAGTCTCTCAACCATCACATAGAAGCACTGACATGACTGAAATTAGTGTTGAAAATTCGGATGTTGTTCATGCTTTATGCTGAGTGCAGTGCATTAGATTTCCACACTGATTATTTCAGACCAACGAAGGCCTGTCTTGGTGTATTTCCGATGCTGGATTTGACATCTTCATCTGTGCTGCCACCTGTAGTCGAAACGATGCTGGTTTGCCTAGGTGGGTGAAAGAGACAACGTCCTTTACATTTCTCCCGTTGATGGTGATCGGTGCTTGTTGATGTTGTTGTTGTTGGTTGAGTATTTTCATCACCTCTGTATTCTCCACGTTCACCTGAAGTCATGTCTTCCTCGCATCTGCCTTGCCTCGCCTCTTCTGTCTACATGTTAAGTTTTGCTCTCGCTCCCCACAGTATGTTACATAACGGATTTCAGTCTAATCGACCACAATCAGGAAGATGATCAGTGATAATAGGCAGCAAACTTGTCTTACTCCTGTCTTTTTACCGAGTGTTACTTCAGCTAAATTCCAAGATTTTGAAAAATTCCTTTGCAGCATACAAATTTATACACTTTTAATTTTTCACGCTTCCCTTATTGAAATTTTAATTGTCTATGCGTATTAAAAAGCAAGGTTGTTGCGTTTCAATCTTCCTTGTCAGTTGATATTCATAAATTCTTATCGCAGTCCAGTAGCTGTACTGATTAATGTCTCGTTGCAGATTATCTTTATGATTACTTTTGTTAATTATAAGTATCTTAGGCTCCTTCAGTAATGAACCCTTTGGCTTACAGACACGTTTCGTTGATTTCTGTACCATTTCTTATGTCCACATCACCGTAGAACCCTGAAGGAGTTATCGAAAAGAATATTCTATGTTCATAGAAATGGTTTTTGAGTTTCAACGGGAATTTTAGATGATTTGAAGTAAAAACTTATGATCAGCATTTTAATTAAGGCTCATTATACTCTCTGTCTGTGGTGTCAACACCATCAGGTATCAGTCTATTAGACTGGTTCCACGGGTTTTCATTTTTTATCTATGAACATTTAGTAGTGAATGCCTACTTAATGTGCACAAGTGATAAGCCTCGAGAGATAATAATAAATCATAACTTTGAAAAAATAATCAAATGAGTAAAAATTGACTCTATGTTATATCTTGATTTGACTGGAATAAAACAAAATATAAACCATAAAGGTTCAAATAGCTGGATGATGAACTGCTACCCATCAATTCCCATGTATATTTATACTAATTGTTCAAATAGCATAATTTCATCTTGAAAATTGGTTATTGGCCTTACATATTCCTCTAGTTTATTGATATTTGTATTTTGGCAGAATGTTGCCTAGAAAGTATCTTTCATAATCAACTTCTGCCTGATAATTTCGAACTCCACTTCACCTAAAAAGTAGTAGTACTTCAATCTCTCAAAAAGTATGTGTGACTTATCGTCCATCATACATTAGTGTTTGAGCATAATTTCACTATAATTTATCGCATGGAAATCTATTTATACACAACACAAGCAAGGTTGTATTGAGAATACCAATTCAATCTGTTTATTAGAAGTGTCTTATAGTGAAACAGCATCAATACTGGATATCGTTTCGGAAGCAATTTATTATCCATGTTCATATCAGGAAGCTCCACAACTTTTAGACAGAGTTTATGTAGTCCTAACTATTAATAACAATCCTACTAAAAACAGTAATAATAGTGACAGGGTTGAGACAGAATTCAAAGCCTCCACTGTGTTACCATACAAGGAAGGCACCATAAAAACATTACAGAGAATTCCAAAAAAGGCTGGCTGGGATCAAAGTGGCTGGCATTTAAACCAACAAACTAGCTTAGAAACTAGCTTTTTAGGCTAAAATACACCACAGATGCAATTAAGCAAAATAATCTGGTTTATCAAATCTCTTGCAATGATTGTGAGGTCTAATACATAGGTCAGATTAGTCGATCAAGGTCAATGAGAATAGCAGAGCACAGAAATTAAGCTAAATCAAGATTAGTAGATTCTAATAAGATAAGAAATTTCGAAAGAAGTTCGGCTGCATCTCTGTACGCAATTACATACAATCACACAATAGGGTAGGATAGAGCGACAATGGTGAAAACTTAGTTGGGTGGAGGAAGAGAGAGATTGATAACCAAATCTTTGTTCATCGAATCCACACCAAATACATGCAGTAACAGAAATGATTCTGCACCTGTCCCAGATATATAAAAAATTCTACTAAACTTGTCACCACAAAGAAGGAGAGAATAACAGGAATATATAAACTCTGTCTGCAAGTTGAGGAGTTACTTGATATGAATATAGACAATAATTTGTGTTCAAAACGTGGTTAGGCAGTCAATGATACTATTCCTTCACTATATGCGACATTTCTAATAAACAGACTAAAAGGGAATTACAACCTACCATAGTGTCCACGTTTTACTCCTATATAAACGTACTGAGAATACTTCAACACAATCTCAGTGTATACAACTCATCTTCTTCAATAGAATGATTCGAATTAACACAAGAGTACATCCTGAATACCGTCCAGTTACTAATAAGGGGTCTTTTCAATTATCAAATGTAATATATGATACACTCATTCAAGTATCTGACTATCGATTTCTCTGAAAAGTGGTTTATTTGTCACTTGCCTAACATTTAATGAATACAGACCTTAGATACTAAATACTAACCAATCTGGAAAGCTTCAACTAATGATTCTGTTATTGCACCACAGAGAATTACCAAGCTAACTTCACTGTTATAAGAACTTAGTGGAAAACGTAAGAATAACTTTCTTGACAACAGAACTGGCCTAAGTCAGTTCAAATTTTAAATGAATTGATGGTTTCTTCAAGAATACTTGTATCATTTCTGATGAGTTCTAAAGAACCTTAAACCTATTTCATTCATATAGGTGTAAAGCTTGGACCGTATGGTTAAATTTGATTCCATATTAAATTTGCATATCTGATATAGGAGATAAAGATACAACATTCTTTTACCTGAAGACATTTTCAGCATAAATGTTTGCGTATAATCATATCACTTTACTGAAAGTTTTAAACTTTTATTATTGGAACTTATAGTCCTACTGTTCGAAAACTTGTCACTAAACTTACAATCTGATATGATTATAGGCAACAGTTCATACTTATAAGGTTTTGAAGTAAATAATATTGCATTATTTTGTGCAATATTAAATAAACGAATCTGCCATATGGCACTAAACCTGCTTTTTAAAGCTTTCGATGAATTACATACAACCGTTCAGTATCACTACCATTAGTAAGGGAGTAGGTTTTTGGTCTAAATGATCAACTGTTAATTCACTATCTTCCGAACAATCTGTTTGGACCCACTGTCTCGGATACAATTTAGTATGGAAACTAATATCGTCATTCCCAATTAAATTTATTGCATCTCCACCAATAAGACAATCCATACAACCTTCTATTTGTTTTCCTGTCATAATTTAGAATTGTGAACACAATACTGCTGGTGATAAATGTGATATATGCGCACCAGGATTTTATGGTGATTCAAGAACTGGTAGTTCAACAGCATGTAAATCATGTGAATGTCCACGGATTGACAATCAATTGACTACAGTTTGTTTAGCACATGAAGAGAGTTCGCTTACAGATGAAAAACCTTATGTATGTTTAGACTGTACAGAAAAGTAAGTTGGCAGTTTTTTGTAGCTGATTCGTTCTACGCTATGGAATAATTTTTAACCTTAAAAGAATTATAAAACTTGGTTATGACAGTAAATTTTTCCCCAATGGAAACACAAGTTTTCATCTAGATCTTTCGATAGTCACCAAAATGTAAAGTATGTCATCACAGCTAGAAAAATGTTTTACGCAATAAATGCTGAATATTGATCAACATCAATTGAGTAACTAGAACATTAAATAAAGCAATTCTCTCACTGTAATTATCCAGCAACTTAGTATTAAGACAGCCTAGCAGTAGTAAGGTTTTTTATGAGTGTTGCTAAATAAACTGGGTTACAGTCTTTAGCTTTTGTTGAAGATTGCAGGTACTCATTTATGGATGAGTACTTATATATACAAAACTTAATCGAAGTAGAACTTTCTTCAGGTTACTTTTCTTTAGTTAACATTCAATACATTATACAGTTCTACTTCACTTATATTGATTTTATTGGTAAAATAAATATCTAGATATTCGGAAATCTATTCTGTTTTCTGTGTAAGCTGTTTATTCGATGATTAGATATTCTGTCATCCACCTCTTTCTAGAAACGAAAATGTCAATTATTAGGATTGTTATTGTGTTCTGACCTCCAGTATGGTTATATGTCAATACACATCGATGACTGAGTTATGTTTCAATTAACATGATGCAGTCTTTTTTTTCGACACGGTGATAACTCGACTGACCTTAATTGGCTAGTTTCATCCATTTTCTTTACCTTTATTGTTGACAGTCAGCCAGTACGAAGTTCTACTGAGCATAAATGAAATATTTTTGAATACCAATGTAGTAAGTGTGTCTTCCGTTTATGGTAACTATACTCAATATTTAGCCAACACATCGAAATGAAAGTCAACATAATAAAAAGTTACGGAAATGACAATAAAAATGTCAGCAGTCATAAAAATTCATAAAGATAAAAAGAAAATACGACAAAGAGAATAGAAATGTGTGAAATCATAATTCATAAAAAGAAAATATGCATATAAGTCAACTTCATTGCCATTCCATTACCGTCGTAACAGTGACAATCGTTATCTGTTAATTCTCTTATATCTGAGCGAAAATAGCCGAATAGCCTACAGTGTTTAACATGAATTAAACAAACATTATAAATGTTTATAGATTGATAGAAGAAGGAATTTGGCAGCTGCTTCACCACAAACGTTTATTAACCTCATTCATGAGCTGTATGATGATGCTACATGCGATGTGATTCGCAATGAAAAGCTCAGTGATGCCTGTGAAGTTAAGACAGGAGTAAGACGAGGTAACTGCCTACTATCACCGATCATCTTCCTGACTGTGGTTGACTCGACTGGACTCGATCATCCAATAGACAACTATGAGGAGCGAGAAGATGGGCATACGCTGGCTGCACCAATGAAGAGACTGGAAGATTTGAATTCCGCTGATGATGATTTCTGTCTAATACCTAATGTTCCACAAACTCGAAGATGTACAGGCGAAAACTAACAAGTTGACAGAAGAGGCGAGGCAAGGCAGATGCGAGGAAGACATGACTTCAGGTGAACGTGGAGAATACAGAGGTGATGAAAATACTCAACCAACAACAACAACATCAACAAGCACCGATCACCATCAACGGGAGAAATGTAAGGGACGTTGTCTCTTTCACCCACCTAGGCAAACCAGCATCGTTTCAACTACAGGTGGCAGCACAGATGAGGATGTCAAATCCAGCATCGGAAAGACACCAAGACAGGCCTTCGTTGGTCTGAAATAATCAGTGTGGAAATCTAATGCACTGCACTCAGCATAAAGCATGAACAACATCCGAATTTTCAACACTAATTTCAGTCATGTCAGTGCTTCTATGTGATGGTTGGGAGACTCGGTGCATTATGGAAAGCATTTCCAACAAACTACAGACATACATCATGAATAGCTGCCACCTACGCTCACTCGATACTGACACTGAAGATCAGATGGTCAGAATAATAAGAATATGCAAGGAGGAACTGTGGTTTGAACTCTGGGAACGAAGCAACCAAGAACCTATTGTTCAACAAGTATGCAGAAGGAAATGGAGATGGATTGGGCATGCACTGAGAAGACTGTTCGGGAACATCAAGCATCAGGTAAGGCCGTCGAGTTGAAGTAAAATGAGAAATGATGAGTTGGGCATCTGAGCCGAGGGTGATATGGAGGAGATCGTGTGAGGAAGAAGTGAGAGCTTGTGGGGAGTCGTTGAGGGAGGTTGAGAAGTTTGCAGAGAACAGAGTGGAATGGTGACGTGCTACCGAACCCCTATGTTTCACAGTCGCTGGTAGAGTTTTGATTCCGCGGTTGATTTTTTTGGATATAATTTTACTTAACCATGTTTCGAACAGAATTTATAGCTCTCATTCACATAGGACAAGTGATCCACGATGGAATGCTCAGCGACACGTTTGAAGTGAAGACAGAATTAAGACACGGCTGCCTAGTGTCACCCATGATCTTCCTGATTGCGGTCCACTTGACTGGACTGGATCATGCAGCAAACAGTGAGAAGCGAGAAGAGGGGGATAAGCTGGCTGAATCGATGAAAAGACCCTAGAAGAAGATTTGGATTTTGCCGATGATGATTTGTGTCTAATGTCAGGCAAACTCAAAGATCTACAGGCAAAAACTAACAAGTTGACAGGAGAGGCAACGAAGGAAGATAGAGGTGATGAAGATATTCAGCGGATAACAACATGAACAACAAGCAGCAATTAGCGCCACTGGGAGCAACCTAAAGGAAGTAGTCTCTTTCACCTACCTAGGCAAACCAGCATCGTTTCAACTACAGGCGGTACAGAGTGAGTTGTCAAAGCCAGCCAGGATTGGAAAAGAATGACAGGCTATCATTAATCCGAAATCAGCGTGGAGAACTTCTGCACTCAGCACAAGGAATAAGATCCAGATTTTCAACACTAATGTCAGTCATGTCAGTGCTTCCATGTGTGTGATGGTTGAGAGACTTGGCGTGTCACAAAAAGGACTTCCAACAAACTACAGACATTCATCAACAGCTGCCTACGCTGACTGGATACTGAAGATCAGATGGCCAAAATAATAAGAATAAGCAACAAGCGACTCTGGAAACTAACCAACCAAGAACCTATTGTTCAACAAATATGCAGTAGAGGAAAGTGGAGATGGATTGCATTGGGCATACATTGAGAAGGCCGATTGGGTACATCACGCGCCAGGCCAGGCTCTCGATTGGAATCCAAATAGGAAACGACGAGTCAGGTGTCGGGTGCATGAGTCACGTGGAGGAGATCATGTGAAGAATAAAAGAAAGCTTGTGAGCAGTCATGGAGCCAGGTTGAAAAGACTGCACAGAAGGGAGTGCATTGGAGGCGTGCTACTGAAACCGAATGTTTCACTAGGAACCCAAGGGTAAAATAACGATAAATAATTCACATAGGAACCCATTTGCCAGCAGAGCTCGGGCAATTTGATCACGTATAGCATTTGGAAATTGAAAGTTCCAAACACATGTAAATGCTATCCGTCGCACTAGAGTTGGCTTTCGTGCTCCAGTAGCCCAGTGGATTAACGTCTGGCGTTTGAAGCGATTTGTGCAGGGTTTGAGTGTCAGTGGGCACAACATCACTCTCTGGGGCTCACATACATCCACACGAAAAATCCTAAACTGAACGAAATGTGCTTCCTCAAATTCACTGCAAGTCAACAGGATGAATACAAGATTGCTGCCCATAATGTTATGTTACAGTAATCACACAATTTTCACACTTCACTTACCCAGTCCAACAGTTCTAGATTCTTCCATTTCAGTGTTAACAAAAATTTCCAATTATCTGCAATGCATGATGAACCATTTCTACTACATATGTTAGATGTTAGGTCAATGAACAAGGATGCCGTAAACAATCTCTTGCTCCACCTAACTCTGTTGAAGTTTAGAATTGTAATGTTTTGGTGAACTTCAACACACTGATGTTCAACGCTACTGCATATTTTCATATTCACACTAATCAAGTCTAATTCAAGTATGCTTCTGAAAACAACAGTTTGTTTATACTCCACCTGATCTATTACAATAATCTATGAATCAATACTAATGCAGACTTTTAATTTCATCGGAATCTGAAAAGTTACTTTCACCCGATTGGAAATCAATACTGAACAGTAAGGGGATATTTCTATGAATGATCGTTATGCGGAGCATTCTTGGGTGCTTTTGTGGATTAACAAAATGAATGGTGTTGAAGTTTAATCCTAAGGTGTTACGTAGGGAAGTATTAGTCAATCAACGATGTCACGAATCTGCTCCAGCCGACGTTATTAAAACATTTCTACGCATATTGACCATCATCTCTTCTTACTGGAACAGACAGTCTTACCTATTTTGATGCACAAAATTAATGAAAGTAAGATTAGACTGAGAAAAAACTAAAGGTGGCCAAACTACTGTTGGTTTCAGCATGAAAACAAGTGTAGACATCATAGCCTAACTTTTCTAAGCATAAAGAATTAATAGTTGATAAATCTTAAAGACATAACTTAAAATCTATCACAGTGGCACAGATTTATTCACTTGTTCGGTTCACTTATCCAGTTCGAATCGAATTATTTCAGTGTTCATTTTACTTTTCCTTTAAAGCTGCGAACAGTGATAACTTGGGCTATCTGTCCCTTGATTTCTTTCTGAAAATAATAAACTTATAATCTAGGATTTCTGAACGCGAATGTTTATTGATGTAACTTTAATTGATTGAATGTTTGTTATTTAATAAATTATAATTTTAGTACTCGAGGTCGATATTGTGAAGTATGTGCTGAAATGCATTTTGGTGATCCATTGAATGGTATACCATGTCATCCATGTAATTGTAGTTCAACAGCTATTGGCTGTAATGCTACAAATGGAGCTTGTATCTGTGGTTTCAATACAGCTGGACCAAGGTGTGATGCATGTGCTGAAGGAACTCATGGTGATCCAACTAGAGGCCAACCATGCAGGCGTAAGTTTCAAGATTTGATTCTTTGTTTCAAAAGACTACTTTAATTTGGCTAGTATTCATCAACAACTGCCTACTCTGGCTCGATACTGAAAATCAGATGGCCAGAGTAATAAGAATAAACAACAAGAAACTGTGACTGGCAGCGAACCAACTAACAACCCTATCGACCAACAAATATGCGGTAGAAAGTGGAGATGGATTAGGCATACACTGAGAAAATCATTCGGAGACATCACATGCCAGGCCAGGTCCTCGAGTGGAATCCAAAGGGGAAACGGTGACTTCAGCGTCCAAGGGTAACATGAAGGAAATCGTGTGAGGAAGAAATGAAAGCTTCTGGGCAGTCGTAGAGCCAGGATGAAAAGACTGCAAAGAAGAGAGTGCAATGGAGACGTGTTCCACTAGGAACCCAAGGGACAAATAATAATAATAATTTGGTCAGTTATATATGCTACAAACCAGCATAAATGTGAACTCTAGTTTTTTACTCGTAGGTACATATGGTAGTCCATGGCACTTTCATTTTTCCATAAGGTAACATGCGACAGGTTGAAATTCAAAACTTTTACCTTAGCTACTGATGAATTGAAATGCTGATTCCCATTTCGACCACTTCTTAACACTTACATCTAAGAAATCTACATGAAGATCTTTAAAACAGATCAGGTTTCAGTACAAAAAACAAAAACTGCAAGATAGATATAACTACATATTTAAATCGGACTTTATTTATACAACTTCAAGAGGGTTTTTCTCCAATTTTTGACTTAGCTTCCAGTTCCAGGCCAGACTTCGTCTTCATGGACGTTATTATCCAAAAATCTAGGAGATCGGTTACCTTACTAAGTGGGAAACTTCATAACAATGCATCCATATGAAAAGGAATACTTCTTCCAGAGCACTCTGTTAACGCTCTCTCAAAACTGGCTGGTGTAATCCTAGAACCCTCTCAACTATTGGGCTTCGGCGCATCCACATTCTTCGGTTAACCAGATCGTTAAACCGTACTCACCTCTCCATGAGTAGACACGTGTGGGATACGTCTCACTGAGTCTCTACAACCTTGCAGAAGAGATGCAACTCACCTAGCGGAAGGCTATCCTGGTCTCATTAAACGTACACATAAGAAGGCTCTATCTAGTCTACTGATACGGCCAAGACTAGGGTGAACGACATCAAGCATACTGAACCGAATACCACGGTAATTTCCAGGTTTAAATTTCATACTTAAACTTGATTCTTTCCGTTACTCTTACGAAGTCTCATATTTCAATCGTACACTCCCACTCCTGACAGCAAGAAGTGCAACTTCAGTACTCTGTAAACTAACCAGGGGAACACATCTGCCGTCACCTAGATGCATTAATTATACTATTTTTCCAGATCTTCTGATTACTTTTGTTTCTTTAGTAATGACATCAGAATTTGGACAATGTGGTGGGGCAATAATTCCATTATGGTTACATAATGAAACAGTGACACTTGCTGTTTTATTCTGCGATAAATTGTAAAATAAAAGAACCATTATGAAATTAGTGTTCATTCAGATATTTTCTGTAGACTAAAGTAAATATGAAATAAATCTCCTATTAACCTGGTGTAATATTAAATGACACAGTGATTTATTTGTCATTTCAGCTTGTAACTGCCATGTAAAAGGCAGTGTCTCTCCATCATGTAGACTTGAAGATGGTCAATGTAGTTGCTTACCAACATATGAAGGCGTAAGATGTGATCGTTGTATCGCTGGTCGTGGTAATGTCGAAGCAGGTTGTCCACCATGTCAATGTGACCCTATTGGAACGAGACCCGAGTATTTAACTATGTGTGATCCAATAACTGGACAGTGCTCCTGTAAACCTGGTGTTGGTGGCGCTTTGGATTGTTCTACCTGTCAAGTAGGCTACTACAATCTTGGTCCAAATGGATGTACAGGTATGCAGAAGAAAATCTATCTACCATTATGTTTCATGATGAATTGAATTACCTTTAGGAAGATTAATCAGACACGAAAGAATCGTGGATTTACTTTCAAGTGCAATACTTTGATTAAATTTTGATGGAAAAGTTGCAATTAATAGTAAGCACAATATTGTTAAATGCCTTAAGGATAAAGTACAGTTAGGGAGGACAATTGTGATAGGGTTAGGGTTAAAAAAGTTCCCTCAGTGTATCGTAGTTTTCAGCCACGCTACTACTAACATCATATTTATTGGCACATCGCCAAATGATATATCTGCAACCACGAAATTAACTTACCTCCCGAGACTGTAGCCTATGTTACTCTTTACTGAAGTCATAGTGTTTTAGGCTACAACTGTCCCTTGTTATTGCTGTATTACATACACGACACAGTGCACCATAGTAAATATTTTGAACTTCATCAAAGCTATTTAATCAATTTCTGTCATTAAGCTGAAATTCTCACCTAATACTTAACTAATGCTACGGTTCTTAACTAGGGAATCAACCGTTCAGTAAATTAACTACTTTGACACAGTTGGTGAAACTTTTCACCATATAATTTGCACGATGCATCTAAGGACCCACCTCTTTCAGTATCAAACTTCATCAGTTTGTAGTAAATACATTATATATATCTGATCAATGAAGATAGTTTTCATCCATTACTGACCTGTTGTGAAGAACTACCGAAAATCAGAAAGACTACAAATTTCAAGCAGAGATTAAGGATGAATAAGCATTGGTGACAGTGGAGAATGGTTTCCCTATTTTATAAAGTGACTGAGCTTAGAAATGTCTATGTCTGGATTCCATTTCAATGGGAAAATTTTAACATAACTGTTTTGGTATTATTGCTTGTATTATACCGTCGTCGATCGGACTGATTTGATCGGTCTCTACAGTTATATCGGCTCCTGCACGGATGACTCGATATTGACTATGGTTTAATTCTATGTAGTAATGATGGATATTGGCTAACCGTGGAATCCAAGATGTTATGTGTCCTATTTCGTACTCGTCAGCTGGATGTACTTACCTTCTAGTAAGTATTGTTCCCACCGCGACTGGAACTCGGGACCGACCGCTTCAAACGCCTGGGCGTTAACCACTAAACCACCTAGCCACAATAGCCACTCCTTGCGCGACAAGGAATACAATAACCCTAAAACTATACCCGTCGTACAAGAACTGGCTGTCGTGGCTCGATGGTCTAGTAGGTAACGCTCTGTCATTTGGAGCGACCGATCCCGAGTTCGAACCCTGGTTTGGACAACACACCGGGGTGGAGGTACATCCAGCTGACGAGTTCCAAATGGGATGAAATGCGCATCCTGGATTCCACTGCTATCCATCATTACTATGACCATATAATGTATAACTGTCTAGGTTGAAAGTTTTATAAATTTACGAAATGATAAAAGAAAGCAAAAACGTTCTATTCGTTACAGACCATTGAATTGCATAACTCCAATTAGAATTATATCCAGGTGAAAATACAAAAACATTTACCGTCAGGAAATATGCCTATTCCAACCATCTAAATTATCGACAACTTGCAGAGTTTATGTAATCTCCTAAACCTTTGAAGTGGGAATACCTTAATTCATAAGGTTTACAACAAATGTGGCTACGACTAGAGAGAAAAGACAAACAAAACTTCTCTACAATGAGAAGAAACTGCATCCCATATTATTTTCTCAGAACTGCTGCAAAAATTCTGACTAGTTGATAGAAAAATTGCTGAGTTACAAGATTACTAAAAGACATAGACCGTTTTATACTGTTCTTAAACTTTTTGGCATTATACAGATATGACTTCTTTATACATCAGATTCATAGCCTATCAGTCTGTTCAGTGTATTCGTTTTCTCAATTGTTATCAAATATATGCATGGCTTTACAATTTTTATAGCGCATAGATTGATAAATGAATCTTCAAATTTCTGTGTATTACATAAGGTGAAAATAGGTTTAACATAGACCTCATAAAAATGCATTACCAGGTGATTATAACCCTTTTTATACTAGTTAACACCTTTGAATATGTTCCTCAAATTTGAAGTTTTTTGCCACTGTGCTTAATCTGACCCACTTTTTTCTTCATACAGGAGTTATAGTAGTTCTGGAAAAGTGTTTAGATTTCAATGGTAAGGTGAGAAGATTGGATTTTCATGTTAGACCTTAGATATCTATCAGCAGGAATCTCGTAACCGATATTTCATGTCTTTTGACCAATTTTATCTACATATTCCTTAGATGACAGGAATACACTGAATATAGTTTGACCATAGATGGATTCTTCAAGATTTTTACCTAAAACGGACAAGGAAAGGATCATTCAATTCACTAAGATAGGGTTTTACTCAGAATTTCAAGCTGAATATTGTACATCAATTAGATCGCTATAGTTTTACTGCGGTTTCATACTTTTAATTTCCTGTTGCTATGCAGGAAGGAATTAATCGACTCCTTTTGGCAGATGAGCTCCTATGCGGACACCTCCATACTGCAGGGTATTCATCATATCGTTTTCATCTTGTTGACTCGCAGTGAAATCCAGCGCGCGTTTCATCCTATTAGGACCTCTTCAGCTGGATGTACCTGCACCCCAATGAGTGATGTTATTTTTACGCTGAGGCTCTAACCTGGTACCCTTTACTTCAAACGCCAAAGTGTCATCCACTAGGCTGATGGGGGGGAGCAAGAGCCACTACCATCATGAATATCCTTGTAGTATTGAGGCATACGTACAGGAGGGCATTTGCCATCATAGGTCGGGCGATTCGACCAAGTATAGCAACGGAAAATTACAAGTATCAAACAACAAAAAGTGATACTTGTTCCAAAAGAGGTGGCACCCGTACGCCAGTTATGAGTTTCAAGTCATTTGTACAGGAGTTTAACTTAGTCACTGCGGTAGATTGTGATTCCATTTTAGTCCGTTTATTAGAAATGCGACGTGGTTAAACATGATCATTTACTGGATATCACGATATGAATATGGACAATAAATTATGAAGGTCCCGTGTTCGATCCTTGGCGGTAGTGGGTCGTAGGTGTGCACTGATGAAGAGTCCCATAGTGGGACGAAACGGCTGTTCAATGCCCCCAAGTTTCCAATGTTCCTCCAACTGATGTCAATCCATGATGAATTGCAACCTAAAAAATCAATTTAAAAAAAAAACCTTGAGATATAAAAACTCTGTTTCAAAATTTATTTTCAGAATGTAAGTGTACTTCGAGAGCAATTGATCGAACGTGTGATCCAATCACAGGTCAATGTAAATGTGGTGAGAATGTAATCGGAGATACATGTGATCGATGCATAGTAAGTTTTCAGCACCTATCCTTTTCATTATTCTTCATTGAAATGTTAACTTATTTTATCCTATTCTCTAATTATTCATTAATCATAATGATGTTCATTAAAAATTAGGTTATAGCATGATTTGTACTGGCAACCTGTGAAATAATAAACCTCATACTTGAGATAATGAGCTAGAAAACCTTGCCTGGTTAAGTTATACCTCTGACCCCAAGTAAGAATATAAAGTGCATTTTTACATTACAATTCAAGGAGAACTAAATTAGAAATATGTGGTAAACCATTAATAGTTATTTGAAACATTTAATATTGCTGTTATCCGTAGATACATTACTTAGTGATGACTGTTTCGACTGTTTTTTATGATATAATCTACCAACTGAAACTATTCCAGTTTATCTAATGAATAATGATATATTCGTAGAAGTTGTTAACTCGGTATGAAATAGCTCTAAACATGGATCCTATCGGTTTGAACTGTATTCCACTATCCAGATGGCTTCTTTGGTTGTCATTTTTAAAGCATATGATACATGAAGGGTGAAGCTGTAAGCAATTCTTAACTGTAGTAATAACAGCAAAAGTAAGTAAGGAATGCTTAAGTGACCTTGAAACGGTTGGGTTATTCGCTTCTTTTTTAGAGGTCTAAACGTTTTGCAATTTATGTTACAAGTAAAGTGACTGTCTAGTATGAGCTGATCCCTCATGGTTTCTTTGACTTTCAGAAAACAAAAACACTAGAAAAAGCATACAGAATTGGCAAAAAAAAACCGTGAAATGATCATATACAGTGTCATTTTTTGCAATTTTACCGAATATTTTCTAAGATATTACTGATAAACTTTTCTGTTGGCTTAAAAATATGATTAAGAGTTTAGTCACCGGGCGAGTCTCTTAAGGACAGCTTTTCTACCACGCTTCATATACCAAGCATGCTGACAATCTAAATGTTGTATATTGTTTAAGTTTTGAAGGATATGTTACTCATTGTAGAATTTATACCATGTCATCTTGATCCGGTGCATTGAGATCTCTATACTAATCACGTCTCATTCTTACACCAATCATTATGGGTTCAACTCAAATTTCATAAAAATGGAATGAGATGTATACGTTTGTCTGTATTATCGTCAACTTATTAGCTGTCGAATCAGATCTTATCTTTCTAATCCGAATCGCAGTTAACTATTTGACTGATTTCAATCCACCTTTAGAGGCTTAGTGATATGATTCTGTTGTACTTATATGTATGCTAATCATTGGCTCTATCCCCTATTGTTATCCCTCAATTCTTAAGTGCATATGATCAAGAAAGAAGATTGAAGGGACTGTTGGTTTGAGTAAATATATTTTAGCATTCATTGTAGTCGATAGAGATACTTGAAGTACAATGGTCAACAACATAACGTGAAGAAACACTTCAATTTGAGGAGACATTTAGTCAAACAGTGAAGGTAATCAATTGCATAGCTGAAGGTAGACAGCATCATTAAAACTATAAGTTACAACATTCGATGTTCGGTATCCACTATACTGTAGTCTATTGATTTTAGGAGATTTTTAATCTCTACGCACCTTATATTAACAGTTAGCTTAAAATAATACTTATTTTCGATAAATTCTAAATAATGACTAATTATTCAGACTTAGGTAACATTAGAGTTTATTTATTCTGTTCATGAATGACACAAAGGAAACAAACGTAAAGAGACCTAAACAGTATGAGAATTAAAAAACAATTAGTCCCTTTTATGAATTACCATAATGTAATTAGAAGAGGTAGATTATCTGAAAAATGTGTGATGTATTTGCGCTACACATTTCGAACAATCTGATCACACCATCTACTTGTTAAGGCAATTCATATATGAAAACTGAAAGTGGATGAAGGACAAATATGACATAAAGGAATTCAATAATGAGAGGGAAAAAAAGATAAGATTTGAAGACAATCTTGGTAATACGATAAAATAAGCATTACCAAGGTTAGGCTTAACGTAAGGACAAACTGTTTTTGCACACACAATGAGGGGGTTAAATTTGTTTATGGCTAGTGCCTCAACAAACTTAAGTATATACCCCTGACAGTTTCTATACAAAATTGTAAAGGCTGTTTTAATATCAATCCTTTGGCTCTTATCAATGATATGTTTTGCAGTGGATGCGGATGATGGTTGTCTGCCACCTGCGCTTATCAATGTTTGTGAATCCAGCTGCTTTCGTAGCCATCATGGTAAATGTTCTCCTACCCTCAAATGCATATCACGATTAGTCCTCCCTATGTATGTCTTTCTACACATACATATAAATTTATAAACGCAGTGGGATGTAACACCATCATTTATACAGCTTTGAGATCTATGTTGCAGAAGGTGTTTGGTCTTCTCAACTACGTTAGGCTTAGCTGCACAGTAAGTTTTGCTAACAGCAGACCTTAACCTTAGTTTTAATATCATGTTGTTAGATTCTCCTTTGTATGGTAACGTGATGTAAACGCATTTCTTCGAAACAGATTAGGTTTGAATCCTTGCTGATTTTTTCAGCGGTTTATAAACTTCAATAGATATCCATTTTCCACTAACGTTCCTGTTAGTATTTTGATATCGTTATCCATTATGATATCCATTCATATATTATGCCTTAACAAGTAAATGTGTGTTCAAAATGTTCGGCGCGAATACATCACACTTTTCAGTACGATAATTAATCATAAACCTACCTTACAGATTAAGCATTAGGAATGCTGGAAGCCGTTTTTTATATTTACAGAACTTTACTCCTTGTTTTGAAAACCGAGTCAGACACGAGGAAGACGGAAATGGATAGAGATCGTATTCTATCGTATAATGAAGGAAATAGAAAATGTGGACAATTGTATGTTGACCCAGTGGCTCAATGGTAGTGGACTGACTGCTGAACCCGAAGATCTTTGGTCCTTTCTTTGGCAAGGCCATAGGTACACACTGCTAAGCAAATTCCATATTAAGATGAAACATTTCCAGTGCTCTCAGTTTTCCAATGGTTATCCAACTGATATTAGTTCACGATAAACATCAGCCTAAAATCAATAAGCTAGTCCCCATAAACCTACAAATTGACAGAAAACAGCAGTTAGGCAGTTAGTTATGAGTACATTCAAAATGATACGGAAATTTGGGGAGGGGGACTGATAAGATCCTAACCCATTACTTCCATTGATATCATTGCCTTGATTTTACTCATGAACAGTACACCACAAATAAATAAATGAGTAATTCAGTAATAATTACAAATTAACATCAGTTGGAGAACTATTGAAAACCTGACAGTTGTCTACTGCTTCGAAATTTCCAGTGATTCTCCGACTGATGCTAATCTTTGATTAACACTACATTGAAATCATTTCCATACAAATCGCCGACTAAAAATTCAGTAATCCCAAGTGATTTTTGACTAGTGTTTAGCTGAACATATTCGTTACCTTTCGATAACTCAACCAGAAAAGATATGGTACCAATGTAAATACATTATATTTACATTAAATAAGAGTGGATGATAATGTAAAATAAATAATCGTACATTTATTCGGTAAGTATCACATGAAAATATATTCCTAAATGTTTGTTACCTTTTTGTATGAATACTGTCCCTTACTTATCCATACAAATTTATGGAATTCGCCTTTGAAGCCATTCACAGACCTTAAGAATATATTATCTACATGTATATATGATGAATATATCCTCTATACAACTACTTTCAATCTATTTAGCCTGGATTTTATTGGAATGTTACTGGACCTAATTGTTTACCGTGTTACTGTGGAATCGGAACAGAATTAACACGAACATTGACCCAATTAGTTGAATGTGATATGAATACTGGTCAGTGTAAATGTGCACCACATGTGGTTGGACGTGATTGTACTGAATGTGAATTAGGATACTTTGGTGTATCAGAATCTGGTTGCAAACGTGAGTTTGATTTATGATAACATTGCAAAAAAGCTCTACTGCTTAATCCGTTTTTTTTAGTTTACAGATGCTGGTTCCAGAAGATTTCGGGTAGTTGATCATCATCCCCTTCATAGCATCACTCCAATGTAGTAGAGCTATCGTTTGATTAATCAAGAGGTAATGCATAGGGGATTAGTTAAAAACACGATTCAATTAAGGTGGCTGGATTTCATACTTCACAAATCTCTCTACTGTGATTTCCAGCTTAAAGTGTTAACTGGTGTAGTTCTACAAAAAATCTGAGGATACTCAAGTCAATACGCGGTAACAATGCATGAGTTTTCTGGCTGTTCGTCCGAAATGAAGGTTTTCCAGTTGGTATACACAAAACAACGGGAGTCAGTTTTTAGCAGTTACGAAGAATAAAGACCAAGCCGATCATATGGATGCAGATGCACCCACACCTTATATTTGTGGTAACCTTGTTTTCTTATACAAAATCGAAGGTCTACCGGCAAAAACTAACAAGTTGTCAGGAGAGGCAGCGAAAAAGGGACTTCAAGTGAATGCAGAGAAGACTGAGGTGATGAAGATACCCAACCAACAACAGCATCAATAACAAGCACCAATCACTATTAACGGGAGAAATGTAAAGCAAGTTGTCTCTTTCACCTACCTAGACAGCATCGTTTCAACGACAGGAGGCACAGACGAGGATGTCAAAACCAGGATCGGAAAAGCAAGATACGCCTTCATTAACCTACAATCAGCATCAAGTGTGAACAATGTCCGGATTTTACACATTATTTTCAGTGAAGTCCCTGCTTCTATATGGTTCAGAAACTTGGCACGTTACGGAAAGCATTTCCAAAAGACTACAGGCATACATCAACAGCTGCCTACCCTGGCTCGATACTGAAGATCAGATGGTCAGAATAGTAAGAATAAGCAACAAGGAACTCTGACCTGGCAACGAACCAATCAAGAACCCATCGCCCAACAAATATGCAGTAGAAGAAAGTGGAGAAGTGTTGGATTGGACGTACACTGAGAAGGTCGATTGGGGACATCACGCGTCAGGCACTCGAGTGAAAAAACAAAGGGGAAACGACAAGTTGGGCGTCTGAGCCGAGAGTGACATAGAGGAGATCATGCGAGGAGGAAATGAAAGCTTGTGGGCACTGGTGGGACCAGGTTGAAAAGATTTGAGAGAAGAGAGTGTACTGGAGGCGTGCTACTGAAGCCGTATGTTCCACCAGGAACCCAAGGGAGAAATAATAGTAATAATTGTTTTCTTATACCCGTTTCCTTTTAGTCTCCTTTTACTGTCTTTTTTCGTAATATTCGTTTAATAATTTTCATTTTTTTGCACTTCCTGTCATCGAACTCCACTCCAATATACTGGTGTGAAATGTGACAACGTGAACAGCTGCATAATATTATTGCTTCCTATATCGATATATACTGAGACAGTAGTACTGAAGCCATAACATTTGAATGTAGGATATGAAAGTAACTAAGCTATATGGCAATTACCTTGTGAAATGCGATATTTAATGTTTCTATTCGTTGATATCCAACCATCAGAAAATGGAGGAAGTGCCATGCAATCAAAATATTTGACAATATATTAACGTACTAGAATAATAAAAGGATAAAGTGTTATTTTAACTGAACTGAGCACGTAGTTATCGAAAAATTATTATTATGAAGAAAGATACGTTGAGCTACTTACCACTAATAAGTAGTATAAGTAATAGCAAAAAATAATACAGAGATAACATCAAAGGATTAAACCAAACAGAAGTAAGAAAAGAACTAACATTTGTACGTCAAATGATTAGGATGCATTAATTAATATGATCTTGATAATGGTATTATACTAGTTGCTTAGTGTTTCTGGAGCTTTGATAGGGCGGTATATACTATAGTGTTGAGAGACTACTGGACAACTCTAATAGCTACACAGGAGCCAATATGCCTTCCGAAAGACAACAAAATTAAGTGCTTGAAATAGGTGATATATTAACACTTATCTTCAGTGTACACTTCACATACTCACTGCCTTATTCCTTCATGATAAAACCCCATTCTAAGAAAGATACACTTAATGAATATTTATTATTATTATTTTTTTCCCCTTGGGTTCCCAGTGGAGCATACGGCTTCAGTAGCACGTCTCCATTCCACTCTCTTATCTTCAGTCTTTTCAACCTAGCTCCATGACTGCCCACAGGCTTTCATTTCTACCTCACACTGTCTCCTCCATATCATCCTCAGCTCAGATGTCCAACTAGTCGTTTCTCGTTTGGGTTTCACTCGAACGCCTGAAGCGTGATGTCCCCAATCGACCTTCTCAGTGTATGTCCAATCCAACACATCTCCACTTTCTTCTACTGCATATTTTTTGGACGATGGGTTCTCGGTTGGTTCGTCGGCAGCTAGCCAGGTCAGAGTTCCTTATTGCTTATTCTTATTATTCTGGTCATCTGATCTTGCATGTCCCCATACTTACTTTCGCTTTCATCGAGAGGAGACACATTGGCCGACTGGCTTCCCGAAGGCTTACACCAGTCGGCGTCATTTCGTCTCTCAGATTTCAGCAAGGAGAAAGTTTGTTTTAATGTTTTATATTTTCCTTGTGCTTTGAAGTTTTTTTTAGCTATTTGATTGGTTTTTACGAGGTAGGATTGTTATCCCTATGCCCAACCTTCCGTCTTTATCCGGGCTTAGGATCGGCTAGTAACTAGTGAATGAGTTAACCAAGCGAGGTTTAAATGAATAATAGTGTTTAGCAATTGCTGTTTGCCACATTCTTTTGATTAAGTACTTCAAAAGATTTTCACTGTTATCCTAAAAAATATTTTCAGCAACCAATAAACATATTGATGTACTTTGACCTGTCAACCTATGAACGAACATAAAAGGCTTTCAAATGGTTATTCATGTCATCAGCATATAGCCTATAAAAATAAGCTAGCAAAGAGTGATAGTACAACTAAAGAAATTAACAGTCATATCCTAGATTATCAGGGCATGTTAATAAGCCACTAAATTAGAAATCTTAATAGGTTACTCTTCTCTGAAGTTTTTTGCTGATAATACTGCCTGAAAATGACAATGAAAGCCACCTTTTTGTCATCAAGAATAAATGCGCATCCTGGATTCCACTGCTAGCCACTGCTCATCATTACTAAACATAGTTAAAAGACAGGCCATATCAAGGCATCCGCATAGAAGCCCATATGCCAACAGAGGCTGATCAATTCGGTCCTAACAACGACGGTGTAATACAAGCAATAACGCTAAAGAATAAACGTTATTTAAAAAAGAGACATCTAGAAAAGTGAACATCATACAGGGGATTACATTCTTAATTTTCTGATTATGATATTCATTGAATAGATTTCAGCCTTACATGCAAGAAAAGTACTGCAGTAAAATATTGAAAATATCGTCCATAAATTTGTTGATGACAATTCTGTCTGCCACCATAACATTCTTGATTAGAGAAGAAACATCGATATGCACTCAGTACTCATCACCTGTTTGTTTCTTCAGTAGAAAATAAATTTTATTTCAATTTTTTTTGAGGGATATTCATACTATCGTATCTATTTATCTATCTATCTAAACCTTAGTAGGTGGAGTGGGTCTCGAACCCATATTCTGTTTAAACAAGATAAGTTACAACGGAAATTAGATAAAATTTTTAATACACTACATACTATTCAATTGGTTATATCGTTCTCACTTGTGTAACAATTTTCAACCCCATGATTTATCATTTCTAAATGGATTTAAAAAAGATGAAAGTTTATTATAAAAGAATCTTTTCGTTAACAGATCAAGATAAAAACAAGTAACAAGTGTGAAAAAAGCAGGATTTAATGAATTCATAAATATTTCAAGTTGTTATTCATCGAAGACTGACATCAGTTGGAGGAACAAAGGAAACCTGGGAGCACTGGACAGCTGTTTCGGCCTAGTATGGGACCCCCCAGCAGTGCGCACCCACGACCCCACACCAGCAGGGATCGAACCCGCTGCCTTCAGGTTCCGCGACCAGAGCGTTACCATTGAGCCACTGGGGTCAGAATATAGTGCTCCATATTTCCAACTTCTGTTAGCTCACGATATAGCGCAAACCGCCACCCATTGTCATCGTTGAGTATTTGTCCTCACGGCCATCAGGCTTTGACTCCACCTGTCACGACTTGTCATTGGAACTTCGGGAATACTTCTCGAAGCTAGTCACCAACGAGCACTAGTTCAATTAAATTTTTGAGGGGGTTGTGAAGATTTGGAAATATTTCAAGTTGTTATTCATCGAAGACTGACATCAGTTGGAGGAACAAATTTCAGTAGTACTCGTCAGCTGGATGATACTCTACATACTTGATTATATATATACCGTTAAGCAATGGAAAAGAGCATACATGCATACATACATATACAAGGTAGACTGAGACAAATTTATGTGTAACAACATAGAAGTGAATAGTTTTTACAGATCAAATGGTAATCCAGAGGATAGAAGTGGATATTCAAGATTGTTGACATAGGGATGACAACTGAATCGATTGAGCATCGATCACGTCATTGAAAACAAGATAGTTAGTAGTACTTATGCAGACAATATGAAAACAAGGTGTATATTGAGATGAATAATAATGATAACATTGGCAATAGGAATGAGGTTAATTAGACGGAGTAAATCAGGGAAGGAAAACAAATATGAGATGAGTGATGAGTAATAGTGAAGAGAAGAATAACAAAGATTAAATATGATTAGACAATGTTGTAATTATTACCATGGCAGATTCAGGCTGACTACCATTTCCTTCTGAATGCAAAGGTTTGGTTTGACAACTCGAATCGTGCAGGCTTCTACATATCCAAGCAACTTCTTATTTTGCTGTCTACTGATAACTTTAAATGACTTATAGGTATCAATATCATGTCCATAGTCCATTAGGTGCTTCGTAATCGAGCTCCTCGGGGTCTTCTTTTCAGCATGTTTCAACCATTGTGGTATGTGCTCAACCATTCAGATGGACAGACGCCTCTCCGTACGACCAATGTATTTGCTTTCGAAGGTACATTCGAATTAATATATTCATTTAGATGTGTCGGGGATCGGAGTACTGTCTTTCCCTGATTGCTGCAATACCCTTTTGGTGGTGCTAAGAAGAACCAGTTTAGCTGCATAGTAAGTCCTTCTGATAGACTTCTCCAGTCTTAGTCGAACTACCTCTAGCACGTCGTCACCTTTGAATGGCAAGGTGACATAGGCTGGTTTCTTCTGCACTGTTGGGGCCATTGTTCTGCTCCCTACCCACTTCGCGTGCTTGTTGAAAAAGCTTTCTGGGTACCCATTCTTCACCAGCACGCTTTTCAAAGTCCCTATTTCGTAGTCTAATGTGCTGTCGGAACAAATTTTCCTCGCTCTGTTACACAGCGTTCTAACTACATTCACTTTGTATTAGATCGGAACAAAGCTCCTAAAATGAAGGTTTTGTCCTGTCCATGAAGGTTTCCTATACATGGACCTTTCTATAGATCCATAGATTCTTTTCACTAATGAGACATCTAAGAAACTAATCACATTATTTTCCTCGTGCTCAATCGTAAAAGTCAGGTTTGGGTGACATGAATTGAAGCTCTTCAGTAGTGCTTCTCCCTCCGCTTACTATTGCACACAATGAATATATCGTCCATATAGCGCTGGTACAGTTTCGTCTGACCGATGAGGCGCTTGAAGCTACTATTTTCCAGACTGACCCCGAGGAGCTGGATTACGAAGCACCTAATGGACTATGGACATGATATTGATACCTATAAGTCATTTAAAGTTATCAGTAGACAGCAAAATAAGAAGTTGCTTGGATATGTAGAAGCCTGCACGATTCGAGTTGTCAAACCAAACCTTTGCATTCAGAAGGAAATGGTAGTCAGCCTGAATCTGCCATGGTAATAATTACAACATTGTCTAATCATATTTAATCTTTGTTATTCTTCTCTTCACTATTACTCATCACTCATCTCATATTTGTTTTCCTTCCCTGATTTACTCCGTCTAATTAACCTCATTCCTATTGCCAATGTTATCATTATTATTCATCTCAATATACACCTTGTTTTCATATTGTCTGCATAAGTACTACTAACTATCTTGTTTTCAATGACGTGATCGATGCTCAATCGATTCAGTTGTCATCCCTATGTCAACAATCTTGAATATCCACTTCTATCCTCTGGATTACCATTTGACCTGTAAAAACTATTCACTTCTATTTCAGGTTGTTATTCATCGTGGACGGATATCAGTTGCAGGATAAAAGGAAACCTGCGAACACTAGACAGCTGTTTCGTCCCACTATGGGACTTCCTCAAAATTTAATATTCACTTCTACGTTGTTAAACCTAAATTTATCTAAGTCCACGTTGTATATGTATGTATGTATGTACGTATGCTCTTTTCCATTGCTTAACGGTATATATAATCAAGTATGTAGAGTATCATTAAGTATCATATTAAGCCGTATCATCCTGGAGAGGCTAAAGGATGCACTAGATTCAAAACTATGACAGGAACAGGCTGGCTGGCTGGATTCAGGAAGTACAAATCATGTGTGGACCAAATTGCAACGCTACGCTTCGCATCATCATAGAAGAGAGTTTAGAATGGCAGTCAACTCTACACCTCAACTTCATCCACTTTGAAAAGGCATTTGACAGCGTCGACCAAGAACTAATTTGGAAACTGCTTCAATACTACGGAATACCACAAACCTTTATCCGCCTCATTCAACAACTATATCAAGACGCCATATACCAGCCAAGGAATTCACAATGGGAAGCTCAGTGATGCCTTCGAAGTGAAGTGAAGTGAAGACAGGAGTAGGAGTGAAACAAGGCTGTCTACTATCCCCCATGATATTCCTGATTGTGGTCGACTGGACTGGATCATGCAGCAGACAACAGTGGGGAGCTGTGAGAAGAGGGGGATACGTTGGCTGGACTGCGGAAAAGAACCTGGAAGATCTGGATTTCGCCGCAGATGACTTGTGCCTGATGTCTTGTCACACAAACTTGAAGATCTACAGGTGAAAACTAACAAGTTGGCAGAAGAGGCGAGGCAGCGAAGGAAGACGGGACTTCAGGTGAATATAGGGAAGACAGAAGTGATGGAGATACCGCACCAACAACTCCAACTCCAACAACAACAACAACAAACTCCAATCACCATGAACGGGAGAAACTTAAAGGAAGTAGTCTCTTTCACCTATCTAAGCAGGCAGCACTGTTTCAACTACAGGTGGCACAGACGAGGATGTCAAAGCCAGTCAGGATGGGAAACGCGGCAAGACAGGCGTTGATTAGCCTGAAACCAGTGTGGAGATCTTCTGCACTGCACTAAGCATTAAGCGTGAACAATATCCGCATTTTCAACACCAACCCAGTCAAGTCAGTGCTTCTGTGTGAGGGTTGAGAGACTTGGCTGTGCGTTACGAAAGGGATTTCCAATAAACTATAGACACGCATCATCAACAACTGCACATTACGCTGGCTCGTTACTGAAGATCAGATGGCCGCCAGAAAGAATAAGCAACAAGGAACTCTGGTTGGTGACGAACCAACCAAGAACCTATCACGCAACATATATGCAGTGGAAGGAAGTGGAGATGGATTGGGCATACACTGAGAAGGCCGACTGGGGACATCACGCGTCAGGCCAGTTGCTCTAGTGGAATCCCATGGGAAGCGACGAGTTGGGCGCCTGAGGTGAGGGTGACATGGATGAGATGGTGCTAGGAGGAAACGAGAGTTTGTGGGCTATCGTGGAGCCAGATGGGAAAGATCTGAGAGAAGAGAGTGTACTGGAGACGTGCTACTGAAGCCCTATGTTCCATTAGGAACCCAAGGGACTAATAATAATAGTAATGTAGAGTATCATCCAGCTAACGAGTACCACTAAAATTTATGAATTCATTAAATCCTGCTTTTTTCGCACTTGTTGCTTGTTTTAAATTTGTATAGGGAAACAAATATTTTCAATTTTTAAAGATCAAGATAAATTCTCTCTTTAAGTTGGAATCATTCAGATAAGAAGGGTCAAACATAGAAAATCCAGTAAATTTAATTGATCACTTGCACTAATCAGCTACAAATCGACAAAGTGTTGTTGCCAACACACAATAAATAGAGTCAAAGTTGAGTTTAATTGGTTGTTAACAGCATAATTAGTTTGAAACACTATTCAAAAATCTCTATAAAATCAGCTTAAGAAATCAGAAATCTTAAACACAAGTTGAACATTGAGAATAAACAAATTAAATAATCAAGATGTTAGATAAACATTTCTATAACTGAATTATAACTGAATTTTTCTTTTACTTAACAAATATTTTTTTTCTAAAAAAAAATAGCTTGCTTACCATGTCCAAATGGTCAAGTGTGTCATCAAATCACCGGAAAGTGTATTTGTCCACCGAATACAGAAGGTGATCGATGTGATAAATGTTCAACTGGATCATGGGATTATAATCCAGTGATAGGATGTAAAGTGAGTTAACATTTTGTATGTATCACCTTCATATATCCTATTTTCTATATTTCTAACCTATTACATAGTTAAAAATATTATTGATAGAATATATAACATACCATATAGAATAACTTTACTTATTTCATATTCTGATGCTTAAAGGAAGTCAGTTAATTGGTAAGTTGAAGTAACACATAGACGTTATATCTTCTTATTATTACTAGTCCCTTGGGTTCCTAATGGAACATAGGGCTTCAGTAGCACGTCTCCAGTACACTCTCTTCTCTCAAATCTTTCCCATCTGGCTCCACGATAGCCCACAAACTCTCGTTTCCTCCTAGCACCATCTCATCCATGTCACCCTCACCTCAGGCGCCCAACTCGTCGCTTCCCATGGGGATTCCACTAGAGCAACTGGCCTGACGTGTGATGTCCCCAGTCGGCCTTCTCAGTGTATGCCCAATTCATCTCCACTTCCTTCCACTGCATATTTGTTGCGTGATAGGTTCTTGGTTGGTTCGTCACCAACCAGAGTTCCTTGTTGCTTATTCTTTCTGGCGGCCATCTGATCTTCAGTAACGAGCCAGCGTAATGTGCAGTTGTTGATGATGCGTGTCTATAGTTTATTGGAAATCCCTTTCGTAACGCACAGCCAAGTCTCTCAACCCTCACACAGAAGCACTGACTTGACTGGGTTGGTGTTGAAAATGCGGATATTGTTCACGCTTAATGCTTAGTGCAGTGCAGAAGATCTCCACACTGGTTTCAGGCTAATGAACGCCTGTCTTGCCGCGTTTCCCATCCTGACTGGCTTTGACATCCTCGTCTGTGCCACCTGTAATTGAAACAGTGCTGCCTGCCTAGATAGGTGAAAGAGACTACTTCCTTTAAGTTTCTCCCGTTCATGGTGATTGGAGTTTGTTGTTGTTGTTGTTGGAGTTGGAGTTGTTGGTGCGGTATCTTCATCACTTCTGTCTTCCCTATATTCACCTGAAGTCCCGTCTTCCTTCGCTGCCTCGCCTCTTCTGCCAACTTGTTTGTTTTCGCCTGTAGATCTTCAAGTTTGTGTGACAAGACATCAGGCACAAGTCATCTGCGGCGAAATCCAGATCTTCCAGGTTCTTTTCCGCAGTCCAGCCAACGTATCCCCCTCTTCTCACAGCTCCCCACTGTTGTCTGCTGCATGATCCAGTCCAGTCGACCACAATCAGGAATATCATGGGGGATAGTAGACAGCCTTGTTTCACTCCTACTCCTGTCTTCACTTCACTTCACTTCGAAGGCATCACTGAGCTTCCCATTGTGAATTCCTTGGCTGGTATATGGCGTCTTGATATAGTTGTTGAATGAGGCGGATAAAGGTTTGTGGTATTCCGTAGTATTGAAGCAGTTTCCAAATTAGTTCTTGGTCGACGCTGTCAAATGCCTTTTCAAAGTGGATGAAGTTGAGGTGTAGAGTTGACTGCCATTCTAAACTCTCTTCTATGATGATGCGAAGCGTAGCGTTGCAATTTGGTCCACACATGATTTGTACTTCCTGAATCCAACGCATCCTTTAGGCTTTCCAGGATGATGCGGCTTATTATTTTGCTTTCCCTGGGTGGGAGGAGAATGATTCCCCACCAGTTCTTGCAAACACTGAGAAAGAGCTGAAATATTTAATTATATCCTTAAGCCCTATTCACTACTCTTCAAAATCATTTATCTATGACTAAATATTATAAACTCAGAAATTCTATTCCAAAATTCTAATTATTATGCGATAAAATCGCTGTAAAGAGAAAGGATAAAACTGGTGATTTTTAAAATTATTATGATTATTTGTTCCTTTGGTTCCTGGTGGAACATAGGGCTTCGGTAGCACGCTTCCATTGCACTCTCTTCACTTCAGTCTTTTCAGCCTGGCTCCACCACTACCCACAAGCTTTCATTTCTTCCTTACATGATCTCCTCCCGGTCACTGTCGGCTCAGACGCCAAAATCGTCATCCCCCTCGAGTGCCTGACGTGTGATGTCCTCAATCGACCTTCTCAGTGTATGTCCAATCCAACACATCTCCACTTTCTTCTACTGCATATTTGTTGAACAATAGTTTCTTGGTTGGTTCGTTCCCAGAGTTCCTCCTTACATATTCTTATTATTCTGACTATCTGTTCTTCAGTGTCAGTATTGAGTGAGCGTAGGCGCCAGGTGTTGATGATGTATGTCTGTAGTGTGTTGGAAATACCTTTCGTAAGGCGCCATGTCTCTAAACCATATAGAAGCACTGGATAACTTGACATTAGTGTTGAGAATCTGGATCTTGTTCACATTTTATGCTGATTGCAGTAGATCTGTACACTTATTTTAGGTAAATGAAGGCCTATCTTGCTTTTACGATCCTGGCTTTGACGTCCTCATCTGTGCCACCTGTATTTGAAACAATGTTGCCCAGATGGGTGAGAGAGACAACTTCCTTTACATTTCTCCCGTTGATAGTGATTGGTGCTTGTTGTTGTTGGTGGTGGTGGTGGTGGTTGGGTATCTTCCTACATCATGATAGCCACTCCCTCACTGTGCTCGTGGTTGTCGTCTAGGTGACAGTATAGGAGTAGATTATTGACTCTCCAGTTAACTGTTTTGAGAGTCCACTTTCATTCCATCTGCTTTCTCAGATTCCTAGCACACCTATCCCATATCTTCTCATCTCTTTTGCAATCTGGACAGCCTTACTAGGTTCAAACATAGTGCGGACATTCCATGTTGCGATGTTTACTTTTGATTTCATCGAGACAAGATGTTTCAACCAATTGGCTTCCCGAAGTTTTTCATCAACCGATGTCATTTTGTCTCCCTGATTCCAGCCAGGAATAAGTTTATTTTTATTTTCTATATTTTCTTTGTGCTTTGAAGTTTCTTTATCGGTTGGATTGCTTTTATGGGGTAGGGTTGCTAGCCCTATCCTCAATCTTCCCTCTTTATCCTGCCTTAGGGTTGGTTAGTAACTAATGAACTAGTTAACTAGGCGAGATTAAACAACGGCGATAGAAGCAGTTAAATACAGCTGCTTGGGAATCATGTGTGCCTAATATTCTGTAGTTGTTAATCCCGGTCGAAATAACAAACTCTACTTCTTTAATTATTGTAGCTAGGCAACTCATACTGAAGGTTTGAATCTTTCTTTTGAGGATACATTAGTTACTAGAAGTTGCTAAAAAGTACTAAATTTATGTTAGGCAGGTTATCTCATCGATGAATTCCTACCCATGAACATCAAACAAAGCACAGCATGATATCAATCATTCTGGTTTCTAGTTCAAAAAAATTTGATTAACTCTTGGAACTAAACAAAATAATTTTGGTTTTCTTCCTGGTGACTAATCAGTATGAAAACTCAAAGAAGATATTATTAAACTGCTGTTTATTCCATTTGAGAAATATTCTCAGTGGTTGGTTTTGCATTATTAACAGCATCAACCATCAGGATAAGCTTTTAACCACCTGTGGAGAAAACGAAGCAATATATTCCTGCAGTCAAATAAACTTTTTATCTTCGGTAATTATTTAGACTTCTTTATGCATACAAGTTAATTTTATTGTTGATCTGTCATCTTTTCTCTATAGGACTGTAACTGTTCCGTGGCTGGTTCTCTTCTTGGTTCTGAAGACCAGTGTGATTTAATCACTGGTCAATGTTCATGTAAACATGGATATACTGGTCGTGCATGTGATCAGTGCAGTTTAGGATTTTATGGTTATCCTGATTGTAGACAATGTGATTGTGATATGCGTGGTACAATACAAGGAAATTTGACCATAGAAGATATTGTTGTACCATGCAATCCGATAGATGGCCAATGTAATTGTAAAGCGAACGTTGAAGTATGTTTAGTGACTTTCTTTTTGTATTTATTTTGTATTACTTATAAGTAGTCTGGCATTGTGGATAAATGTTTTGAGTTTTAAGTATATTCCCGCACGGAGAGTTCATTTATCAGTGAGATGAAATAAAACAATTAGTTCCCTTGATAAACTTCGACAAAACAATAAGAAGACGTAAATTGTCTGAACCGTGTAATGTATTTGCGCAACACATTTCGAACTATCTGATCACACACGTACTTGTCATAGGTATTTATATAAAAACTCATGAAGATAAGGGGTGAGAAAATAAAAAGGGGGTCAGGTAGGAAGGCTGACTTAAAGGCCGAATAACAATGAAAATCAATAGGGCGAAAAAATAATAGTACATCGAACTTGGTTTTTCAATAGTTGAATTTACCAAGGAAGGTTTAATGTGACAACAAATTGTTTATGAATACATAAAGGTGGTTTAAACTTCCTAATAGCTAAGGCTTCAACAAATTTCAGGATCCCTCCCCAACATGTTTTGTAGATAGGTGTAAAGGAAGTAGCCACATCAATCTTGTGACCTGTCTCAACGATATGTTTAGCGATCGAAGAGCTTGGACGTTTGCTACCAACATTTATAGGTTCAGGTGATTTGATTTGCTTCTGAAGCCACTTTGGAATATGTTTTGTCGGAGATGACTCCATAGGGTTAGAGCTAAAGATAACATTCTACAGAAAAATTTGATTAGGTTCGAGAAGGTGAATTCATCAACCAGTTCGAGGGGAAATACGGTACCATCTTAGTCGTGAGGTAGCAAAAGTGGTCAGAAATAACACAAATTCAGTTAGTTAACAAATCAGTTATAACAGCTCTTCTAACTATTAGTCAAATTGAAAACTATTAGGAAATTCTCTCAAATCAGAAATACTTCACTTCTTTATGAAGTTTGTTTTGAGTTTCTATAATGCCTATCAAGTTGTTGACTGCAGCACGAATGAATTACTTTACCATTCTTTGAAACCAATTATAATATTCAAGATTTATTATCCTACCATAAAATACATTCTTTCAACAACTAATATCAAGAAAATATAATCTAATAAACTGATCATTGAGGGTAAAAGGAAATCTCGATCGTTGCAGAACTTGATTATGTAAAAAATCATTCGAGCACAATATTTTCATTATTTTATTCATAAGAAAATGTTATTAAATTAAAATCTCCAAATAATTAATCCTACCGTGTTACTGTTTGTATTATACTGTCTAGTGAATAACACTCTGGTGTTTGAAGCTATCGGCCCCGAGTTCGAATCCTGATGGGAACAATACTACTCACCGGGAAGCAGTTACTTCCAGCTGGTGAAAGATTACACGTAGCAAGTGAATGAATGGAAAGATATATCAGATGTTCACAATTTTGATGAATTACACTCGATGATTTACCTCTAGCATAAATTAGCACAGAGAAAAGCGTATATTCAAACCTGATGTAGTTAATTACAAATAATATATCAGTTTAATATACAGATGGCGTTAACGATATTCTGTATAGAAGTGGGCTACTGGATGGTTACTTAAATCACTATGAAGATGTAAGTGCAGTTTGAATTGCGCCCATCATCAATCAAGTTTTGCTACCAAAACCCTACACCTTGGTGCTACACTATAGGTAGCGATCAACTGGAGGCCATGGTCAACCAGGGTTTTCTCTTTTTGAGACTCATTATTACGGCAAGTCTGCGACCATTATGCATTGATGAAATTCGACATTTCATTGCTTAGCTATCCTAACCACAACTATCCCTCAATATTATAAGTAATTAGTTAGTCTCTGTTCTTGAGATATTATTGTGAGTTGTGTAAACAAATAAAAGTGCTTCTGAACTGTAGAAATATTCACGTTGATTCTCAAAACTTTGAAAGTTTGGTTCCGAAATTGCCTTCATTTATTTTCTTGTCAATATGTTTTTCTGTTTAGGGTGATCAATGTGATCAATGTAAGCCAGGAACATTTGGTTTGAACATAGACTACCCACTTGGTTGTTACTCTTGTTTCTGTTTTCCGACAAGTACACCACCCCGATGTACTCTGTTGACTGGTTATCGTTCTGTTCCAGGAAAGCTGAAAGGTGTTGAAGTAAGTCATTATTATATATAGTGGGATACTGAAATAATGGGAAAGATTTGAAGCTCAGGATGAGGATGATGGTTGTTTGGTGTTCTCTGAGCTTTGATATTTTATCGTGAACATTTCATCACTAGGCTCGGAGATATTTTCAACACTTACTTCACAATGAAAAGAATTATATTCCACTCTTACACAAATATTTAATTAGTGATTTTATTGACTTTGGTTGTTGTCCAGTTGTAAGTTGAGGAAGAAATTTTTATTACACCCTGACATCTCGGACATTAAACCTTCTTCGGTCACATTGATAGGTGGTCAACGTTGCATAACAGTCTATCATTAAACAATAGGCTATACATTTGTGATATATATCAAAATGATTGCACGGCTTAAGATAATGATATCGTCGAGGAAGGAAATTTTCTTCGCTGAAGTGTCTCTTCTTTTCTTCACGAAGCAGTTCGTCAGGACAAGCTACTGAATTACTCACGGAGAGATATTGACAAGTCACTTCATACTGAAGTTAGTGCTTATGATGTTATCTAGAAAGACAACGAAAGCTTCATAATTCAATCATCTGGCTCAGAAAACACAACATAATCAAGATCATCCACCTGAGGTATAAATATTCTCTACCACTTCTTAAATTATTTGGAGTAAATATACTTGCATTATTGTGATCGATTTCAGATCATTTCTTTGGGATTCTCTAATTGACTCCTCAAATCTAGAGGACAATAGTCATTCAACGTACACTTTCTTGCATGATTTAAACCATCAATGGAGTATTTTATTTACTGATCCAATATCCTAATCAGGTCACATTCACTTTCGGACTAATTTACTCCTCCTCAACATTATGTCGAGTGGCAAGGAAAAATTCATTTGAGAATGACTATAGGCTTAGCAATAAATACATTGATCATTATATTAATTCAAAGTATAGTATACTTCTTATTCTTTGAAATAATGGACAATATTTGTAGCTCAGGTGGATGGTCTTGGTTGTATTGTGTTCTCTGAGCTGGCTGGGTTGTTTAATCGTGAAGCTTTCATCGTCTTGCTAGACAACATCGTCAGCAGAGGAATAGCCAACAGGAAAGTCTATACAATCATTGACACAACAATCGAAGGAAACAACCAGTTACAGACCACATCGTCAGAGCAAGCCACTAAATCACTCACGGAGAGATATTGAAAGCTCACTCACTTCATACTGAAGTTAGTACTGATGATGTCACTGTCTAGAGAAGGACGATGAAAGCTTCTTCACGATTAAACAACTCAGCCAGCTCAGAGAATACAATACAACCAAGATACTTGCGCTTTTAACCTTCTCAATAATACCTATCGCTGTTCATTCTTCTTGATCCTTTTTACTATGTCCCACACGATAATATAAAATTAATCTTAGAAATAGTCTATTGTACTGAAATAATCTTTTAATACTGAATACTCTTCTCTTATAGATCATTTCTACTGATGATCCAAGATATCCAGGTGGTCCATTAATTGATTTAAAACTTGGTCTAAATGATGTAGACATGAATGATTTGACTATTGGTTTAAGTCAATTCAATTGGCGTTTTTCTATACATCGACCAACTCATTTAGAAATACCAGAGTTAAAAGGTTCATTGGTGAGTTTTATAAAGTTTATTATCATTATTATTATTATTATTACTATTATTATTACTGATCTATCAATAATTTGAGTACGCTACATTTGATACATATTTCAACAACATTTCATCAAGATATATTGATAATGGGACTTATATACTTTCACCATACTTAGAGAATGTTAAACTAAACTTGAAAATTTTTATGTGATAAAAAAGAAATTGAGTTACAAAATTAAATGAGAAAAAAAAACCAATTCCGAGGAGAATGATTTTTTAACATGGTTTAGAAAAATTAACCCTGTTATAACCTGTTTATTCAGAAATATTGAGATCCTTACAATTATCAACAACTGCCTACGCTGGCTTGTTACTGAAGATCAGATGGCCAAAAATAATAACGAACAAGGAAGTCTGGGAATGAACCAACCAAGAACTTATCATTCAACAAATATGCAGTGGAAGGAAGTGAAGATGGATTGGGCATGCACTGAGAAGGCTGATTGGGGGCATCACGCACCAAGTCCAAAAGAGTGTAGAGAAAAGAAGTTGGATGGAGGCGTGCTACTGAAACCCAATGTTCCACCAGGAACCCAAGGGATAAATAATAATAATAATATCCTTGATACGAATATTCTGTATGAATGCTGAATATTTATGATATTCTTTGAAAATATTTCTGTTATATCCAGATGCGTAACTATGGCAGTGTTTTAATAGCTGTATCAACAGAATGTCTACCCACTGGTGATTGTAAACTTGGTATCGAGGAGGCACAGACTACATCAAGTGAACAAGATTTAGCTGGACGATTAGTGATACGTAGATCTGAACTAATTGATGCTCGAATGACAGCGTTAAATGGTCTACTTGAAATGGAATATCAACCATCTGTAAGTTAACTTGCTTTTTTTTTCTATAATAAATTTTATTCTGTCCATATTAATGATTTAATGTTACTTACATATCCAACCCTTCAGATAGATTTCTTGATATTTTTTAAAAGGACACCATTTCAAATATCTCTTGTATGTAGGTTGACACAGTTTGAAGGGTAGGTCTGTTTTACTTTCATAGGATTTAATACGTAATAAATTTTTGCTCATTTTCTTAGGGAGATTCACATCGGTCAATGACGGATGGTTTTCGACAAATATGGCTAAGAGAACAAGATTGGGTAGTGACTCGAGTTGCTGGTGTAGATACACGTGTTCGACCAATACGCAGTGAATTAATGTTGGCTTTAGTCAATATTACATCATTCAGTGTACGCTTATTTATGCCTGAAGCAAGACCAAAACTTGTAAGGTACGTTCATATGAAAATTGTTCACAAGTTTAACTTTGAAAGTGAATAGCTAAAAATTTTTTTTGAAAAATTACGTTTATGCGAAAATTCCCATTTAGACATTTAGTAAAACAAACAATGTGAGCGAAGAAATATTTCTTTTCAATTAGTTCCTCATCAATGGCTCTACACTGATATAGCATTTTCAAACGTAAAATTACATACCGATCTAGTGGTAAGAGTTGTTCAATGAAAGGTTATCAATCTCAAAGTATCAAGAAGGTGATAATTGATCAGGTAATTAAGACAGTTAACCAAAGCAAAGATTAATTATCGCAGAAAGATTTTGTGAACAGGTTTTTACATAATTGATATTTTGTATAATGATAACTAAAGAGCAAAAATGAACTGTTACGTGAAATGGTAAATTATCCACAATCTACTCAATAGTAATGGATATCCAGAAACGTTCCTGGCTAAAAATATGAACACATCCAATATGAAAACCAGAATGCCTACAGTCTCCAAGAAACCATTGTTCCTAAGACTACAATTTCGAGGTGACATCATCAGCGAAATTGTGACACAACGCTTAAGAAATGCCATAAGAAGATCATTTAATGCCGCCAAGTTATGTTGTGTTTTCTACAGTCGGCCCATGATGACCACACGAACTAAAGACAGACTCCCTAACTTCTCCTCTTCTATATGCATTTACCAGTTCAACTGCTCCTGTGGAGCTAGTTACATTGGACGAACAGTTAGGCAAGTCCGTCGTCGAATCGCCGAACATCACCCTTCATGGCTAAGTAAGGGGCAAACCAGATCGATACGAAGCTCAATACTCTCACATCTGATTGACACCGGCCACCGAGTTAACATTCATAATGCCTTTAAAGCTATTTATCACATTCCTTCTAAACTCACCATTACTCTGCGAGTTCGTCTTATACATACAGCAGAAGCCATAGGAATCCACCTACACAAGCCAAGTCTGTGTGTTCATAAGAGATTCGTACAGCCTCTTTCTTTGCCTTGGCCATCTGTATAGCTCATTTATTACAACAAGACTCTTCATTTCATCCACCACACAATTCACTATAACTAATATTTTAATAGCTCCATTATTATCATTATTATTATTATTATTATTATTATTATTATTATTATTATTACAGACTTAACCATCTTTCTCTCCCCCTACTGTCTCTAATTACCGTCAACAATTTACCATTTTACGTAACAGTTCATTTTTGCTCTTTAGTTATCATTATACAAAATATCAATTATGTAAAAACCTGTTCACAAAATCTTTCTGCGATAATTAATCTTTGCTTTGGTTAACTGTCTTAATTACCTGATCAATTATCACCTTCTTGATACTTTGGGATTGATAACCTTTCATTGAACAACTCTTACCACTAGATCGGTATGTAATTTTACGTTTGAAAATGCTATATTAGTGTAGAGCCATTGATGAGGAACTAATTGAAAAGAAATATTTCTTCGCTCACATTGTTTGTTTTACTAAATTACGTTTATCTCAAAGTACTACGTTAGTATTGTTGTAATCGATGTTATATTTTTTGTCCCTTTTGCATGAGCTGTTATGGATAAACTTCTTTTCAATTTTTTTCTCTCTGTGGGCTGACCTTTGCCTAATCTTTGATTTCCATTCAGTCTGATTTTCAAAGATATTGATGCTTGGCCTACATGGCTTATTGAACACTCTGCACATGATGTCTTATAGACTATATTGTTCTTATCCAATTTTTTATCGTGATCTTTAAGTTGGTTCAAATTCATTGACTTAAATGCTGCGAAAATACCAGCATTTCAGGGGTTTTCTTCTAATTGCCTATGATGTACCTTTTTTGTATGATAATAACACTGACTTCTAGTACTCATCTTTCTTAAGAACTCTTGTTGTCGACTCTTGTTTCTTCTTCTTGGTGTTATTTTTTATGAATTGCTCTGAGTATTGATTCTTGATTAACATCTTGAATAAGATATTAATTTCTTTTCGTTGGTTTAAAACATATTGTTAGTGTACGTGTTCTGCCTGACAGACCCTATGTCAACTATGTAAATTAATATTTCATTATCATCGATTCTAGTGTCTCTAAGTCGTTTCACTAAATCGAATGAGTCTGTTAACTCCGGTTGTGAAACGATAGTAGCAAATGCAAAAGGGATAAAAAAACATAACATCGATTAGAACAATACTAACATATTAAAGTCCAACAAAAATAAATGGAAAGAAAGGTTGATAACAGAATCAATGTCACACACATATGTCATAAAGGTGAATGAACACAACTGTCAACCATATGGAAAATTTAAACAGCATGATGAGAAGACGAAGATTATCTGAAACATGTGATGTATTAGCGCTACACATTTCGAACAATCTAATCCCACATGAACTTGTCGAACTATTTATGTGAAAATTTACGAAAAAGGTCAATGAAGTTAATAGGAAATATAGGAATAGAAAGGGATAGAAAAAGAAAAAAACCTTACTCTTGGTATGAAAATTAAAATCATTATTACCAAGTTAGGTTCAACGTGAGTATAAATTGTTTTCGTATACATAAAGCAGGGGGTTTAAATTTACGGATGGCAAGAGCTTCAAGCACTCAGCTCTGACCACTTTTATGTAGTACTTTAAAGGTTGCACGGAAAGACAAAAGACACTTCTACGAAACACTGGCAAGTGAAACAGAACAGGCTGCAGGTAAGAGAGACCCGACAACATTGTATCAAATAACCAGGTTGCTATCTGGGATGGGAGAGATCAACGCAGACGAAACCAATAAAAGATGAAGAAGGAAATTTAATTACGAAGGAAGAGAAACAAAGGAAACAATGGGTTGACCACTTAAGAAGCTCTTGAATCGACCACCACCACCGCCACCTGCACTTCGTCTAGAAATACCACCTGCAGCCCAACCGCTGAACTACAAGTGAATATAAATCCTCCAACAAAAGTGGAAGTCCCGAATGCCGTAAAGCTGCTGAAATGTGGGAAAGCAACAGGACCAGATGGGATCCCACCAGAAGCACTGAAAACAGACGCAGAGACAACAGCAGACATGCTCACATCACCATTGCAGAAGGTGTGGAAGGAAGAGAAGGTGCCTGGCCATTGATTGGAAGAAGGGTTACCTTGTCAAACTGCCGAAGAAGGGAGACCTCAGTGTTTGCAGGAACTGGTGAGGAATCACTCTCCTGTCCACCCCAAGCAAAATATTAAGCTGCATCATTCTGAAGAGGCTAAAGGATGCACTAGATTCAAAACTGCGACCGGAACAGGCTGGCTGGATTCAGGAAGTACAAATCATGTGCAGACCCAATTGCAACGCTTCGCATCATCATAAAAGAGAGTTTAGAATGGCAGTCAACTCAACTCTTCCTCAACTTCATCCACTTTGAAAAGGCCCTCGACAGCGTCGACCGAGAAGTAATTTGGAAACTGCTTCAATACTACGGAATACCACAAACCTTTGTCAGCCTCATTCAACAACTATATCAAGACGCCACATGCCAGCCAAGGACTTCACAATGGGAAGCTCAGTGATGCCTTCGAAGTGAAGTGAAGTGAAGACAGGAGTAGGAGTGAAACAAGGCTGTCTACTATCCCCCATGATATTCCTGATTGTGGTCGACTGGACTGGATCATGCGACAGACAACAGTGGGGAGCTGTGAGAAGAGGGGGATACGTTGGCTGGACTGCGGAAAAGAACCTGGAAGATCTGGATTTCGCCGCAGATGACTTGTGCCTGATGTCTTGTCACACAAACTTGAAGATCTACAGGCGAAAACTAACAAGTTGGCAGAAGAGGCAAGGCAGCGAAGGAAGACGGGACTTCAGGTGAATATAGGGAAGACAGAAGTGATGGAGATACCGCACCAACAACTCCAACTCCAACAACAACAACAACAAACTCCAATCACAATGAACGGGAGAAACTTAAAGGAAGTAGTCTCTTTCACCTATCTAGGCAGGCAGCACTGTTTCAACTACAGGTGGCACCGACGAGGATGTCAAAGCCAGTCAGGATGGGAAACGCGGCAAGACAGGCGTTGATTAGCCTGAAACCAGTGTGGAGATCTTCTGCACTGCACTAAGCATTAAGCGTGAACAATATCCGCATTTTCAACACCAACCCAGTCAAGTCAGTGCTTCTGTGTGAGGGTTGAGAGACTTGGCTGTGCGTTACGAAAGGGATTTCCAATAAACTACAGACATTCATCAACAACTGCTTACGCTCGTTACTGAAGATCAGATGCATTGCCAGAATAATAAGAATGAGCAACAAGGAGCTCTGGGAGCTCCGGTCGTAATACCTCATGAGAAGGTTAAAACGTGTTCACACCAGCTCTTTCTCATACAGTATCGAACAAAAGCTATTGAAATTGAGCTACATTTATCTCTCTATATAATTCTATTTATAATTCAATATGTAGGAAGTGAAACTTTGCATTCAACTAATATTTTATTGTATACTCCATATTCTGATGTGATATGTTGATTAAACCAAGCAGATAAGAGGCTTTTTTCAGGTTATTGCTAGCAATGAATGTATCATCAACCTATCTACTAGAGAATGTTGTCTCATCGACTGCATAGTTTGTACTCATACGTTCAAGCTTCTACATAAATGTGTGAGCTAGCATGAGACCTGAGGAACTCCCCATTGCAACTCCATTAATTTAACGATGGATACCGTTGATGAATTTTACATTGTTACTGCACATGAATAAAAGGTGGTTGAATTTTCCCTTGACTGGAAACAAAAGACACAAATGGTGACAATAGTATCTACACTTTCTTCTTAAGTTGTCGTTGTAAATAGCAAACATACATCAAAAGATTTCATTGAAAACGTCTAAACCCTCCAGTTTTCGAACAAATTATAAGCTATTTGTCAAACTATCGAATGCCGAATTTCAATTGTTCGGCTAACCAATGAGCATGAGTTTACCATAAACAATATAAGTCCCACTGGGACATTAAGTTTATGTATATTGATAAGCCGTAAGGTGGAGATGGATTGGCCATGCACTGAGAAGGCCATTTGGGGACATCACGCGCCAGGCCAGGCACTCGAGTGGAACCCAGATGGGAAATGGCGAGTTGGGCGTTCGAGGTGAGGGTGACATGGAGGAGATCATGTGAGGAAGAAGTGAGAGCCTCTGGGCTGTCGTGGAGCCAGATTAGAAAGATTGCAGAGAACAGAGTGGAATGGAGACGTTCTACTGAAATCGTATGTCCCACTAGGAACCCAAGGAACAAATAATAATAATACTAATGATAAGCAGTAAGAGTAGGGTAGGCGAGATTCTCACAGTTTGAAGTCATATGGGGTTGAGTTATCAATCAACTTATTCTTCAAGAGCTTATACACCTTCCTTTTAACATGCTTTTCTGTAACACCGGTCATATTCTTGTTAGAACTGTCAATTGTGCAAACATTTTGTATAATCTGACATTTAAATTGCTGGAGGTTGTAAGCACTGGACTAGAAACCCTGAAATGAAATGGATTCATGCTATTCTGCTGAAAACGCTGTTTTTTCTCTATTTAAATCTATTGAAGGAAGGAATTGTTATGAAATAAACACTCATTTCTTCTATTTTAAGGATAAAGGTTGTATTCATGATGGACTAACATCTCTTGAAGAACCACTGAAAACCTGGGATCACTGTGCATCGGCTTCGTCCTAGTATAAGACACCTGAACAGTAAGCCCCCACAACTCAGCTTGGGATCATACCCAGTATCTTCAGATTTCACGGTAAACTCGTTAACCATACTAGGATGAAACAGTTGTCCAGTGCTTACAAATTTTCACTGTTTCTTCAAATGAGGTCAATCCTTAAAATTAAAATCCAAATTAATTTTAATATTTTTTTTCTTAACTGTTTCTTGAATATCTTATTTTTCAGCGTTAAGTACAAAATTTATCAACCACGTACAGAAATTACAACACTCTCGGGAACTGAGATTAAAACAATTGAAAAATGTGAATGTCCTACTACAGCATCCGGAGACCATTGTGAGGTAAGTCTTATCTATAATGTATCTACTTCTCTCTCTCTCTCTTTCTCAATCTGTATGTGAATTGTTAATCGATAAACACTGTACATCCCCATCAATGATTAAATGTTCTACCTGTTTCAATGTTCAATGTTCACTGTTTCCTGAAAATTTATCACAACGGACATTTGTAGCATAAAATTAGTATTTAAATGACCAGATTCTATTCTATATAAATTATAGATGTAACAATAATTCACGTTGTGAAAAAAGGAGTTAAGTAAGTCTGTCGTAACCCGGAAGAACCATCCCTACTTCGTCGAAATTCTGAAATCCGACTGGTTAATTTAACAGTTGCTAGGGTGGCCTTAAAAACTTACTCCAAAATTGAATGGACCTGAGCTAGAATCTTGAAAAATAACGGGGTTGGGTGCAGAGGTAAACTGATAACCTTCTCTTGGTTAATTAAATAAACACCAAATATGTATGATAAAAAAGATTCATCACCAAATCAAGGTATATAGAAAATTCTGCGAACCATAGTACAAGGTAGAAAAAAGAATTAAAATCATATAAACCATGAAGACGGAACTTCAAGTGAAAATAGAAAAGACAGAGGTCATCAAGATAACCAACAAATACCACCAACAGCAACAACATCCTCCAATCACCATCAACACGAGAAACTTAAAGGAAGAAGCTCCTTTCACCCACCCTCCTACGCAGGCAGCACCCTTTCAAATACACGCAACACAGGCACACACAAGGACGTCAGAGTCAGCCAGGATACCAAACACAGCAACACATGCGTTCATTAAACTGAAACCAGTGTGGACATCTACTGAACTGCACTCAGCATAAAGCCTGAACAACATACGCATTTTCAACACTAATTCACTCAAGTCGGTCTGTGCTTCTATGTGATGGTTGAGAGACTTGGCGCATCACGAAACGCATTTCCAACAAACTACACACATTCATCAATGCCTACCATCTAGCTGGCTCGTTACTGAAGATCAGATGGATTGCCAGAATAATAAGAATAAGCAAGAAGAAACTCTGGCTGGCTGGCTGGCTGGCTGGCTGGCTGGCTGGCTGGCTGGCTGGCTGGCTGGCTGGCTGGCTGGCTGGCTGGCTGGCTGGCTGGCTGGCTGGCTGGCTGGCTGGCTGGCTGGCTGGCTGGCTGGCTGGCTGGCTGGCTGGCTGGCTGGCTGGCTGGCTGGCTGGCTGGCTGGCTGGCTGGCTGGCTGGCTGGCTGGCTGTTAACGAACCAATCAACAACCTATCACCCAACAAATATGCAGTGGAAGGAAGTGGAGATGGATTGGATTGGGCATACACTGAGAAGGCCAACTGGGGACGACATGCGTCAGGCCAGGCCAGGCCAGGCACTCGAGTGGAACCCGATGGGAAGCGACGAGCTGGGCATCTGAGACGAGGGTGATATGTAGGAGATCGTGTGGGAAAGAAATGAGAGCCTTTGGGCAGTTGTGGATTCAGGTTGAAAAGATTGAAGAGAAGAGAGTGGAATGAAGACGGGCTACTGAATTCGTATGCTCCACTAGGAACCGAAGGGACAAATAAAAAAATAAAAAATATAATGTATCAAAAGTGGGCTACTTTAAAAGCCATCCTAGCAACTGTTTTTCTGTTTTGTGAAAAACTACCTATCTAGCCGGAATACCAGAACCTGATTTGTTATTTAAGCAGTTACCGGCTTGGCTCTTAAATTCGCCCATCAATGGTTGTGGAGTTACTGACAGGCCTGGGGGCAACAAGTTGCATCCGAAACATAATTCAATACATAATACTACTTAACTGTATGGTACAGACTAAAACGAAGTGTTAGTGGATTAGTTTAGTGTCACAGATCTCTCAGTATGCGGGCGAACCGAATACATTATACATGATTCTGCTGTCCGAACACCAAACCTAGCTGGGTCAAAATTGGTCGATCCTCGTAAGATAGGGAATTTAGAAAAACCTCTACCATAGCTATGCGTGCAGATACACACAATCACACAATAGGATGGGGTAGGGGGGAAATCCTTAAAACTAATGTAAAGGTGTGGAGGGAGAGACCCATAACTTAGTCTAATCAACAGTTGAACCTCGTAGCTAAGTTGGTAGAGTATCCGGAAATCCGTTGAAATCCGGCTGCGGTTTGAATTTTCATTCTACCTTCAATCATCACCCAGTATTAATCGTAATTTATCGAATCAACAGGAATGACTCAGCACATGTTTTGGATATAGGAAAAAATTCTACTAACCATATCACAAAAGATGCGAAGAAATTAGGACTATATAAAGGATGTCTCAAAGTCGTAAAGTTGACTTAACATGACAACTGACAATAAACTATGTCCGAAACGTAATCTAATAGACATTGCTATTCCACTGTGATTTATCTGACAAATCTCAAGAAAATGGAGACGCAGCCTACTGGACACAAGATCAAGAAGAGGAGCAGAAGCAGGCTCAGACCACCCACCATGTATTGCAAGGAACTTTCCAAATCAAGTTGAAAGCATTAAAAGAAGCTGGTGATAGACCGCACTTCAAGTTCAACACGCAGAACACAAACTGAAGGACGAAAATACGAAAGACATCTTCACATTCAGCCACCAGGACAAAATGGGAGATATTGAGCAACATCCCTGAAGGATCGGGCGTGGAAGAACACTGGAACTCTTTGAAAGAGATGTGGAAATAAACCTGCATTACCTTATTAGGAAGAAAGAAGAAGGAAGACAAGGAATGGATCTCGATGGACACATGGAAACTGACAAAGGGGAGAGGAAGATGGTGAAGCAGAAGAGTAACCGGTGCACTCAAGTGCGGGGATGAACAACGAAAAGTGGAACTGAATATAACCTATAAAACACTACAGTGAACAAAGAAGTAAAGAAAAGTTCACTCAAAGAAAAAGACACTTCTACGACACACTGGCAAGTGAAGTGGAACACTATATCGAATAACCAGGGAAGAGATCAACACTGCACAGATGAAACCACTGAAAGATAGTGAAGGAAACCTAGATACCAAAGAGGAGAAACAACGGAAACGATGGACTGACCACTTCAAAAAATTCTTGAATCGACTACAACCACCTGCAACTTGTCCAGAAATACCACCAGCAGCCCAGCCACAGAACAACCAGTGAACACAAGCCCTCCGACAAAAGCGAAAATGAAGACCTGAACGCCATAAAGCTGCTAAAATCCGGCAAAGCAGCAGCACCAGATACAATCTCGCTAGAGGCACTGAAAACAGACGCAGCGACAAAAGCAACAGACATGCTCACACCACTACTGTAGAAGGTTTGGAAAGAGGGAAAGGTTGATTGGAAGAAGGGCTACCTTGTCAAACTCCCAAAGAATGGAGACCTCAGTGTTTGCATGAACAGGAACTGACGCAGACTCATGCTCCTGTCCAGTCCAAGTGAGCAAAATATTATGCCACATCATCCTAGAGAGACAAAAGAATGCACTCGATTCAAAATTACAACCAGAACAGGCTGACTGACTGGCTTCAGGAAGAACAAATCATATGCGGACCAAACTGCAACACTACACTACGCATCATCATATAACAGAGTATAGAATGGTAGTCAACTCTCTACCTCTACTTCATCCACTTTGAAAAGGCCTTCGACAGTGTTGACCGAGAATTAATTTGTCAGGCAACCGCTCCAGCACCACGTCTTTAGTGCCAGAAACCTTTATCAACCTCACTCCACAGCTATTTGCTATGTGATGCTACATGCGAAGTGATTCACAATGGAAATTTCAGTAATGCCTTTGAAGTGAAGACAGGAGTAGGACGAGACTGCCTACTATCTATCACCTATGATCTTTTCGATTGTGATCGACTGGACTGGATCATGCAGCGAACCATGAGGAGGGAGAAGACGAGCATACGCTGCACAGATGAAGAGACCCTAGAAGAAGATTTGGATTTCGCCACCGATAATGATTTGTGCATAACGTCTTGTCGCACAAACTCAAAGAACTATAGGCGAAAACTAACAAGTTGACAGAAGAGGCAAGACAGCTAAGGAAGACGTGACTCGCTCCAGGTGAACTTATAGAAGACAGAGGTGATGAAGACATCCAACCAACAACAACAACAACAAGCACCAATCACCATGAATGAGAGAAATGTGAAGGAAGTTGTCTCTTTCACCCACCTACCAACCTAGACAGTATCGTTTCAACTACAGGGTGCGGCGGAACAGATAAGGATATCAAAGCCAGGATTGGGAAGACAGCAAGACACACCTTCCTTCATTAATGTGAAATAATCAGTGTGGTGATCAACTGCACTCAGCATAACGTGTGAACAGGATTCGAATTTTGAACACTAATGTCAGTCAAGTCAGTGCTTCTATGTGATGTTTGAGAGACTTTGTGTATTTCGAAAAGCATTTCCAACAAACTACAGACATAGATCATCAACAGCTGTCCCCTAAACTCGTTTGATACTGACGATGAGATTAGCTGGTCAGAATAATAAGAATAAGCAAGGAGGAACTCTGCCTGGCTGGCTGGCAACGAACCAACCAGTAATCTGTCGTCCAACAAATATGTAGAAGAAAGTGGAGATGGATTGAATTGGGTATGCACTGAGAAGACCGTTTGAGGACATCACGTGCCAGGCCAGTTCAAGTCCTTTAGTGGAATCCGAATGGGAAGCGACTAGTTGGGCGTCTGAGGTGAGGGTGATATGGAGGAGACCGTGTGAGAAATAAATGAAAGTGTTCGGGCAGTCGTGGAGCCTGGTCGAAAAGACTGGAGAGAAGTGAGTGAAATGGTGACGTGCTACTCAAGCTCTATGTTCCACTGAGAACACATATAACAAATAAATAGTAGATATTAGAAATCAACTTAAATGAAATTATACATTCTGCCACAGTGCTCAAGCTTCACTTTTATGTTAAAAACCATAAGGAATTTAAGTGAGCATACAACTGTTTCATAAACGAAAAGGAGTCAAGAAACAATCATATTCTTTACATTGGTTATTAAGTTTCTTCAGAACAACAAACCTGAAACGAGATAAGGAAATATGTGTTCAATCGCCTGCTTTTTTGGATGACTTTAAAGACCACCCTAACAGCTGCTGAACAGACTAATCAGGCTCCGATATTTCGCCTGGGAAAGTACTTTCCCATAAAATAAACGAATGTAATTGGCTATCTCATCACTTCCTAGGGTAGCGTTTAAAGTCACCCCTACCCCACTCCATTTTTAACAAATAACATTTCTCAATCATAAGTTTTCATTAGCTCATACCTTTTACGTAAAATGTTGTGAAAAAGGTAGAATAATAAAATTCTTATTCATTTATTTATAGTTACGAGTGAATAATGTTTCGTGACAAGACATTGTGTTACCTACATAGCAATCAAATTCAGTGCAGTTTTATAAAGAAGCAACATTGATTAATCGTTAATCCATATTTACTGGTTTGATTTCTGTTATTTTAACTTCCAATTAGAGATTCACTAATCAAGACGTTACCTAAAGTGATATCTAAAGCTGTAGTCATGAATATAGTATCCTGTAGAAAAATAAAACTGTCAGGAGGATACTATCATCAGTATAATGGTAGCTTGGTATTCTCTGAGCTTTGTTATTTTGTTGTGAACGTTTCATCATCATGCTTGTTGACATCTTCAGCACTAACTTCACCACCTCCTTCCGTCACGTTGACTGATCATCTTTGTTGGAGTAAAGTTGTGCTGTTTGTTGCTGTTACACTATGCATCATTACTGATTTCTTTGATGTTGTGGAACTAACTTGTAGTAGAGTATTATTTAGCGGGGAATAGGATTTTCTGTGGTGTTTTTTAATATGTTCTTACTTCATATATGGTCCATATTAGTAGGATACCGAAGAACCACCGGAAGCGAATCAGCATTGAACATGTGTTCTTTTCTAGTGTGATACACCTTAGAGGTGTACACCGATGACTCAGGTCACATCATGATTTGTTGAAGTTAAAGTTATTACCAAGTGAACCCTAATGCAATGGTTGAGTATTAAGATGATGCCTTAAGAACCCGAGAACCCTCGATTCTATCCCTTAACTTCATGCGTAGGTATCCAGTTGGATAATATCATGTCAGTGTGCTATCAACAAGTCTTCAAACAAATCAAAGTTACGATTAAATCTATAAGTATAACGATTCTTTCTGCATATTTAAATTATGTAATAAACCTTCAGTCATTTTATCACCTCCTTCGTTTACTCTGATGAATCGAGTAAGTAGTGGAATGGAATCCGGAAAACCATAATAGAAATGACTCATCTTGCCAAAGATAACGAAACATCTCTCAACTTTTGTAGTAGTAAACATACTATTCATTTATCAATACCAGATTAATCAGTGTATTGTTACATTATTTCTAGGTGTTTAGTTGATGAACAAGCAATGCACCATTTAGTTTAATTTATAAACACACTAACCAGTAATGAACCGCAGTAGGATTTGAAAAATGCCATATTCCAACCTACCACCTTGCTCTGGTTTAGAATAGTATCATTATTTCATTCGAATTCTGATAACTAACATATTCTCATTGTTTCTCTAAATTATAAATTTAATGAAATACTTAATAATCGTATTCTTTTATTCTCTTCATAGATTGCGTCACCTGGATTCTACTTTCCACCGATAGAACCTAAACCAGGGCGTGATATACAACCACCAGAAGCTATAACAGACCCCACACTCCCACCAGGTCATATAATATGGGAAGGTGGAGCTAAAAAATGTCATTGTCATGGCATGTCTTCGAAATGTGATCCAGTAACAGGGATATGCATAGATTGTACAGGTAATACAGAAGGTCCAGATTGTGGTAAATGTGCTATGGGTTATATGGGTGATCCAAGAATTGGACAACATTGTGTTAAATGCCAATGTCCTACTGAACAAACAGAGTAAGTGTATTTTTGTAATAGCTAAAACTGTCACTTTGGTGTAGATTAACAAAAAAATAAATAAATAAACATTATTTGCTATGAAACAATTGTAAATATCTGTAACCTGAAATCAAATGATGTTCTGTTAGAAGTATACTCTGGATTTTTAATACTAATGGAAAGTCTTTAAATGACATCCTCATATTGTCATTTTAGAGTACACTGTCATTGATATATCATATGCTAATCATCACAACTCGTTGAATATGTATGCAATTGTATGAAAGATATTTCAAGTTGACTTCTTCACTATAAAGTAATAAAATTAACTGAAAAAAAAATGATATGTCCGTTCCATGTAGGCTTCCTATAAAATTAATCGCTGAAGAAAGCCATCTGATCTCCGTTTCAATAAAACCTAATTGATTAGCGGGATGTGTGACTAAGAATAATATCATTAGTATTAAATGTTATCGTGGATAAAAGTGTAGCTGTACATATATTAAATATGTGATAACCTTTATATTACGCTTGACTAACCATCTGTTATTGAATAAAATTCAGTGAAGGAAATTATCTATTCAGCGAATAATTTCCAGAAGATGTAGTCATATTTATAATTAAAAGAAAAAATTATATCCATCAATAGCTGATAGGGTAATACATGGCCATCAAAATCTGTAACCTATCTAAAACAAAGAACAAACAACAAATAGATCCTATTTCGTCGAAAAGCTCCATGGAATTATGTGCTAGGTTTTACAGAGTTACAATAAAAGTTGTAGTTAGATTTTAAGGTGACAACCTATTCATTAAATATAATCTAGTGCCAACATCCAGTCACCGATGATCTTCTTGATTATGGTCACCCAGATCATACAACAAACTGTGAAGAGCGCGAAGACGGGCATATGCTGTGACTGGACGGATGAAAAGACTCCAGAAGAAGATTTGGATTTCGCCGCCGATGATGATTTGTGCATAACGTCTTGTCGCACAAACTCAAAGAACTATAGGCGAAAACTAACAAGTTGACAGAAGAGGCAAGACAGCTAAGGAAGACGTGACTCGCTCCAGGTGAACTTATAGAAGACAGAGGTGATGAAGACATCCAACCAACAACAACAACAACAAGCACCAATCACCATGAATGAGAGAAATGTAAAAGAAGCTGTCTCTTTCACCCACCTACCAACCTAGACAGTATCGTTTCAACTACAGGGTGCGGTGGCACAGATAAGGATATCAAAGCCAGGATTGGGAAGACAGCAAGACACACCTTCCTTCATTAATGTGAAATAATCAGTGTGGTGATCAACTGCACTCAGCATAACGTGTGAACAGGATTCGAATTTTGAACACTAATGTCAGTCAAGTCAGTGCTTCTATGTGATGTTTGAGAGACTTTGTGTATTTCGAAAAGCATTTCCAACAAACTACAGACATAGATCATCAACAGCTGTCCCCTAAACTCGTTTGATACTGACGATGAGATTAGCTGGTTAGAATAATAAGAATAAGCAAGGAGGGACTCTGGCTGTCTGGCTGGCTGGCTGGCTGGCTGGCTGGCTGGCTGGCTGGCTGGTTGGCTGGCTGGATGGCTGGCTGGCTGGCTGGCTGGCTGGCTGGCTGGCTGGCTGGCTGGCTGGCTGGCTGGCTGGCTGGCTGGCTGGCTGGCTGGCTGGCTGGCTGGCTGGCTGGCTGGCTGGCTGGCTGGCTGGCTGGCTGGCTGGCTGGCTGGCTGGCTGGCTGGCTGGCTGGCTGGCTGGCTGGCTGGCAACGAACCAACCAGTAATCTATCATCCAACAAATATGTAGAAGAAAGTGGAGATGGATTGAATTGGGTATAGACTGAAAAGACAGTTTGGGGACATCATGTGGTAGGCCAGTTCAAGCCCTTTAGTGGATTCGAATGGAAAGCGATGAGTTGGGCGCCTGAGGTGAGGGTGACATGGAGGAGGTGATGTGAGGATGAAATAAAGCTTGTGAATAGTCATGGAGTCAGTTCGAAAAGACTGGAGATAAGTGAGTGAAATGGTGACATGCTACTCAAGGCCTATGTTCCACTGGGAACTTAAAGGGCAGACAATAGAATCATAAAAGTGTCAGCATCCAGTCTATGCTTTTGTCTTTCTTGGAAAATGCAGACGTAATGAAAAACCTCGAAGAACTCGCAAGTAATATGGGACAATCATGTGAAAAATAATTCCATTTGATTCTTTCTAAATTATATATATATAGAGTAAAACGGAATAATAATTAAGGTGTACAAATCGATACTGATACGTAAAAACATCATGTTAATCAGCAACACAAAATGTTTTACCTTCATAGACACAGACTGATAACTGTTTCCTTCTCAATACATAAGGTTCACTTGTAATCAATTAATAGCCATTGACTACTTCAACCAGATACAACAAATTCCAGTTCACCTGTTTGTTAATTATCTCTCACGATATCTGGATATCAACCTTATGTTCACCATCAAAAAGGTGATGAGAAATGGTGTGACTGAGGATCTTCACATATCTCAGTCACAAACTCCTCTTAATGTGACTAGACATGCAGTTGAAAAATCTTCTCTCTGCTTTGGTTGTATTGTGTTCTCTGAGGTGGAATTAAACAAACTATCTCAGAGAACACAATACGACCAAGATTATTTACCTGAGCAACAAATATTATGCATTACTTCTCTCCGTTTATGCGATGTATGTAGTTTGGTGCGTGTACATGAAATGGGTTTATGCATTTGGAGATAAGATGAGAAGAGATATGTTATCTGTTTATTGTGTCAATGAACAACTCTCATCGTGAAGTGGAATCGACTGGACAAGTGGACTGATTCTCTATTTTTTCACTTCTAGGAATCTACTGTTCATCAGTGTTCTTTTATTTGTAGATATCTGTCATCAGGTAAGTAATTCATGCACAAGTTTTGATGTTATCATGTGCATAACATTTGGGTAAACGTAAGTTGTTTTTGATCCCAATGAATATAAAATGTTCAGTTGTAACATCTAATCTAAGCTAACATATTGTGTCCACCCTAATGGTTGAGCATATACCGAAATGGTTGAAGCATGCCGAAAAGAAGACCCCGAGGAGCTCGATTACGAAGCACCTAATGGACTATGGACATGATATTGATACCTATAAGTCATTTAAAGTTATCAGTAGACAGCAAAATAAGAAGTTGCTTGGATATGTAGAAGCCTGCACGATTCGAGTTGTCAAACCATACCTTTGCATTCAGAAGGAAATGGTAGTCAGCCTGAATCTGCCCTGGTAATAATTACAACATTGTCTAATCATATTTAATCTTTGTTATTTTTCTCTTCACTATTACTTATCACTCATCTCATATTTGTTTTCCTTCCCTGATTTACTCCATCTAATTAACCTCATTCCTATTGCCAATGTTATCATTATTATTCATCTCAATATACACCTTGTTTTTTTATTGTCTGCATAAGTACTATTAACTATCTTGTTTTCAATGACGTGATCGATGCTCAATCGATTTCAGTTCTCATCCCTATGTCAACAATCTTGAATACCCACTTCTATCCTCTGGATTACCATTTGACCTGTAAAAACTATTCACTTCTATTTCAAGTTGTTATTCATCGTAGACTGACATCAGTTGGAGGAACAAAGGAAACCTGGGAGCACTGGACAGCTGTTTCGTCCCAGTATGGGACTCCTCAGCAGTGCGCACCCACGACCCCACACCAGCAGGGATCGCACCCGCTACCTTCAGGTTCCGCGGCCAGCGTCCCATACTAGGATGTAACAGCTGTCCAGTGCTCCCAGGTTTCTTTTGTTCCTCCAACTGATGTCAGTCTACGATGAATAACAACTTGAAATATTTCCAAATCTCCACAACTCCCTCAAAATTTAATATTCACTTCTATGTTGTTATATCTAAATTTGTCTCAGTCTACATTATATATGTATGTATGTATGTATGCTCTTTTCCATTGCTTAATCAAGTACGTAGAGTATCATCCAGCTGACGAGTACTACTGAAATATATATATATATATATATATATATATATATATATATATATATATAATTACCTTTAGTCGAAACGGTTCATAAGATTAAAACGCTTCTTCTTTTATATTGCACTGATAACTTTTCATATTTTCAACAAATTTATGTCTGTTATCTGCATAGAGGAAAAGAGAAAAGAAGTAATCATTTAATTTTCAGGTTAATTTGTGCGCATATAATATTTAGACAAAATTGTTTGCAGTCTTCCTTAACTTTTTTTTCTGTTGAATTTGTGTTATCAACCTTTCTGTCCCTCGAAAGTTATGCAATCACATGCTCACCATCAACAGATCTTTCATACATGCCGCACAGATGTATCTGTAAGCAAGGATATGCAGGTTTACGCTGTGAACAATGTGCTCCTGGTTATTATGGTGATCCAACAAGTATGGTTGCCTGTCAACTGTGTGATTGTGATATGGGTGGTGCAAAATCTGAGACATGTAGTCAAGATACTGGACAATGTGATTGTTGGCCTGGTATAAAAGGACGTCGATGTGACCAATGTGAAGAAGATCATGTTGTAGATGGTGGAACATGTCGTGGTAAGTGATGAAGTTTGTTTCATCTATGTCGATATTTATATATTTCTCGGATATATGAATAACTGTGTCTTAAGGCTTAATAAACTTTTATAGGTGTAATGCAAAGAAAAACAGAAAAGAGCTCCACCCTAATAATTTTCTGTGTAGTAACTAATTTCCGATTCCATTTTATATTATTTTCACTTGATAGTAATAAACCTCGTTATCCCTATCCCCTCATGACAAGTGGATCATATCACTTAAGTTTTCAAATTTATCTTCAGGCCAAAAAGCTCATCTTCACAAATTACCTTGATTAATCAGAAGTCATTGAAAGCGGCTGACAAACGGTCTTGCGCATATGCTTTGGCACGACACTTGTAACCGGCTATCTTAGCAATGACTAAAAATCAACTGCTTATAAACCTCCTTATTTACATTAGGTTAAGATTATACAACCCTAGTAATAACACCTTAGGGAAAAACATGGAATATATTACATGATATATAACAATATTATTTATACAGTTCATTAAGTTCTACGATACTCTGAATTCTACAGACATTTTGATTTACTCAAAGTATCACAGAAACAGTGACTGATATATTATCAGGCCTTAAAAGTTTCGCCTTAACTAACTTTTGTGTAGCTGATTTTATCGACATTTTGTGACATATAGTTTCCTTAATACTCTCATGGCTTCCATTAAGGTGCTTTTTGTATGCTGTTAGCCAACAATAGAGTATAAACTGGTCGTTTCTTTCTGTTTTCTCCTCCTCATCAGCTGGGTACTCCCTGTAAATGGTAGTATCCCACTATCTCCCTCCAAAATGATCATCCTAAACGCTGATGCCTTATTCAACAGTATACAAAGTCTCAAGAACCATTTTCCATGAAGATGATATTAGTTGTCACTGGGCCTGTTAGATACCACTGAACGAATGGTAAATAATATGTCTCACATAAGATAGGGGAAGTTTTCAAGACATATCATGTAGATGTATAGTGAAAAGTCAAATTGCTTGATTAGTCTATCACGATAAATGTTTACGAGACGGATGATCATCTAAATAAGACATTCTAATTCATATTAAATTTCCTGCTAGTAAAGTTCTCAATAAGGGTTTTATAGCAAGAGTGATTCAACTGATAAGAGATGAAACTGTTGATAATTCATTATGGTAGCCAAGAGTATTCACAGGTAACAAGTATGAAACTAGATTGTAACATCTGTTTACGACGTCTTTCCTCTAACTCATCTGCCACTTGATTTCAATATTCAATGAAAACTATTCATAAACTGTTCACTAAACAACACAAGACCATTAGATGAATAGTAATTCAGAGCTTACTAGTAGACATTAGCGAACGTGATTTCTTGAAATTTTGGAAAGGGATTGGGATCCGAGGTGAATAAAGAGCAATTATGTTTGGAATAAAGATGGATGTCTACAAGTTATTCCCATGACACTACTACAAAGTGGTGGGGTATAGATTGATGAGGTGTTCCAAGCCAATGTGGAACAGATATTTTTAAAAACCTGTGCTGCAAATTACCTTCAGACTATTAAGTTTCTCAAAGAATCATCCATGACACAAAACCAGTTGACGCCATACTTTTGTTGACAGGAAACCGATAAGCTATAAAGAAATATCGCCATGTACTGTATTTATCACAAGAAATTGACTCAGGCGAAGTAAAATATACGATTTTCTTTCTAATCTCAGTCGGTTAGCAAAGTCAATACAATCAATGAAACATACCACTCAGCATACGAATTTCAGCTGAATCTTAGCCATCATCACCAGTTTCAATATGTTTCCATTGATTGCATCTTTTGTAACAAGCACAGTGGAACAAAGTAGGCAACGGTTGAGTGTGAAGATTATTATTATTATTATTATTTGTCCCTTGAGTTCCTAATGGAAAGTGGAGCTTCAGTAGCACGTCTCCATTCCACTCTCTTCTCTTCAATCTTTTCAACCTGGATTCACAACTGCCCACAGGATCTCATTTCTTTCTCACACGATCTCCTACATATCACCCTCGTCTCAGATGCCCAACTCGTCGTTTCCCACCGGGGTTCCACTCGAGTGCCTGACCTGGCCTGGCCTGACGCATGTTGTCCCCAGTTGACCTTCTCAGTGTATGCCCAATCCAATCCATCTCCACTTCCTTCCACTGCATATTTGTTGAGTGATAGATTGTTGGTTGGTTCGTTGACAGCCAGCCAGCCAGAGTTCCTTGTTACTCATTCTTATTATTCTGACAATCCGTCTGATCTTCAGTAACGAGCCAGCTAGATGGCAGGTATTGATGAATGTGTGTAGTTTGTTGGAAATGCGTTTCGTGATGCGCCAAGTCTCTCAACCATCACATAGAAGCACAGACTGACTTGAGTGAATTAGTGTTGAGAATGCGTATGTTGTTCAGGCTTTATGCTGAGTGCAGGTCAGTAGATGTCCACACTGGTTTCAGGTTAATGAACACCTGTGTTGCTGTGTTTGGTATCCTGGCTGACTTTGACGTCCTCGTGTGTGCCTGTGTTGCGTGTATTTGAAAGGGTGCTGCCTGCGTAGGAGGGTGGGTGAAAGGAGCTTCTTCCTTTAAGTTTCTCGTGTTGATGTTGATTGGATTTTGTTGTTGTTGCTGGTGGTGGTGGTGGTGGTGGTGGTGGTGGTGGTGGTGGTGGTTTGGTATCTTGATAACCTGTTTCTTCTCAACGTTCACTTGAAATCTTGTGTTCGTTTTCCTGCCTCTTCTGTCAACTTGTTGGATTTTGCCTGTGGATCTTCAAGTTTGTGCGACATCAAACACAAGTCATCGGCGAAATCCAACTCTTCTAGGTTCTTTTCCACGGTCCACCCAGCATATCCCTATATTCTCGCTCCTCACAGTTTGTTGCATGCTGCAGTCCACTACAATCAGTAATATCATGGGTGATAGTAGGCAACCTTGTTTCACTCCTGTCTTCACTTCAAAAGCATCACTGAGCTTCCCATTGTGAATTACTTGGCTGGCATGTGGCGTCTTCATATACTTGTTGAATGAGATTGATAAAAGTTTGTGGTATTCCATAGTGTTGAAACAGTTTCCAAATTACCTCTCGGTCGACGCTGTCGAGGGCCTTTTTCAAAGTGGATGAAATTGAGGTAGAGGGTTGATTGCCATTCTATACTCTGTTCTATGATGATGCGAAGCGTAGCGTTGCAATTTGGTCCACACATGATTTGTACTTCTAGAATTCAGCCTGTTCTAGTCGTAATTTTGAATCGAGTGCATACTCTAGTCACTCCGTTGAATGTGAAGATGCATACCGTAATTATTAGAATTGATGAGTGTTTGTTTAGGTTACAAATATGTTTCACTCTGGACATCATTTAGATTGAACTCTTGCTATAAATTCCTCATAATTTTATATGAATATAGTGACTAAAATATTAATTAGGTATCCATCATAAAACTCTGATCCTCAGATAATGTTTCTCTTAGGAGTAATTTTAATTACCCCCTTGCCTTCGCATAAGAGATATAGTTTACAGATGACAAAAAAAAGGGATTAAAAACATATTTTCCAAAGTTATTTTCTCCTCTATTTTACATTGTTAATCTTTTTTTATATTTTAGACTGTCGTGGACCTTGTACTGGAGAATTACTTATTAAATCTGATAATGTAAAAGCACAAATTGATGGATTGAATATTACTACATTAGCACATCGTGGTATTGCTCGTCTTAGACAACAAGCTGAAACAACTAAAAATCGTTTTACAAAACAACGTGAAGAATTAGAATTAGAAATTATTTCACGTACACGTCAATTGATACGACAAACTGATGATTTATATAAAAGTTATAATAGAATAAAAATGAATCATGATATTATTGATAAATCAAATTGTAATATTACTCAACAAACAAAAGAATTATACAATCAAGCTGAAACAATAGAAACTACTATTAGAAATTGGATGAATCGATTAAGTAAACAAGAATTTGGTCAAGCAATTAGTAATTCAGAGTTATTAAGTTGGCAAGAACATACACGTCAAATAATAAATAACTTAAAAAATATTGATCTTAATTCAACTGAAATTTGGTTAAAAGAAATTCAATCAGTAATTGAATCAAGAATTCAAGATATAGAAGAATTGAATCGTACAATAAAACATGAAAAAATTAAAAATGATATTGAACAATTGAATGTATATCATGAATTACAAACATTTTTAACTGATTATCAAACAGATCAATTATATCGAATTGGAAATGGAACAAAATTAGCAACAAGTGAATTAGACATGGCGCTAGTGAGTAAATTAACTATACTGACCTAGTATTTAAAAATACAAAGATCATTATTATTATTATTATTATTATTATTACTATTTATTTTTTCTCTTGGGTCCAGACTGCCATTCCATTCTCTTCTCTGGAGTCTTTTCAACCTGGCTGAAACACCGCCCAAAAGCTTTCATTTCTTTCTCATATGATTTCCTCCATGTCACCCTCGGCTCAGATGCCCAACTTGTCCTTTCCAATTTCGCTTCCACTTGATGGCTTGGCCTGGGGCATGATGTTCTCAATCAGCCTTGTCAGTGTATTTCCAATCCAATCCATTTCAACTTCCTTCTAAAAATTTGTTGGTTACTAGGTTCTTGGTTGATTCGTCGCCAGGCAGATATCCTTGTTGCTTATTCTTATTATCTTGACCACCTGCTCTTCAGTGTCGAGTGTAGGTGGCAGCTGTTGCTGATATATGTCTGTAGTTTGTTGGAAATGCTTTTCGTAACACACCAAGCTTCTGAAACATAAAGAAGCACTGACTTGACATTGGTGTTGAAAATCCGGATTTTGTTCATGTTGAGTGCAGTAGATCTCCACACTTATTTCAGATTAGTAAAAGCCTGTATTCCTTTTCCGATCCTCGTTTTGACATCCCCGTGTATGCCGCCTGTAGTTGAAACAATCCTGCCTAGATAGCTAGGTGAAAGAGACTATTTCCTTTAGGTTTCTCCCGTTAATGGTGATTCGTGCCTGTTGTTGATGTTGTTGTTGGCTAGGTACCTTCATCACCTCCGTCTTCCTTACATTCACTTGAAGTCCCGACGTTGTTGCTTCTTCTGTCAACTTTTCGGTTTTCGCTTGTAGATCTTCTAGTTTGTGCAACACTAGACATAAATCGTAATCGGCGGCGATATCCAAATCTTCTTCTAGGGTCTCTTCATCTCTGCAGCGTATGCTCGTCTTCTCCCTCCTCATGGTTCGCTGCATGATCCAGTCCAGTCGATCACAATCGAGAAGATCATAGGTGATAGATAGTAGGCAGTCTCGTCCTACTCCTGTCTTCACTTCAAAGGCATTACTGAAATTTCCATTGTGAATCACTTCGCATGTAGCATCACATAGCAAACAGCTGTGGAGTGAGGTTGATAAAGGTTTCTGGCACTAAAGACGTGGTGTTGGAGCGGCTGCCTGACAAATTAATTCTCGGTCAACACTGTCGAAGGCCTTTTCAAAGTGGATAAAGTAGAGGTAGAGAGTTGACTGTCATTCTATACTCTGTTATATGATGATGCGTAGTGTAGTGTTGCAGTTTGGTCCGCATATGATTTGTTCTTCCTGAAGCCAGTCAGTCAGCATGTTCTGGTAGTAATTTTTAATCGAGTGCATTCTTTTGTCTCTCTAGGATGATGTGGCATAATATTTTGCTCACTTGGACTGGACAGTAGCATGATTCCGAGTCAGTTCCTGTTCATGCACACTTAGGTCTCCATTCTTTGGGAGTTTGACAAGGTAGCCCTTCTTCCAATCAACCTTTCCCTCCTTCCAAACCTTGTGCAGTAGTGGTGTGAGCATGTCTGCTGCTTTTGTCGCTGCGGGTGTTTCCAGTGCCTCTGGGGAGCTTGTATCTGGTGCTGCTGCTTTGCCGGATTTTAGCAGTTTTATGGCCCTCAGAACTTCTGCTTTTGTCGGAGGGCTTGTGTCCACTGTTAGTTCTTCCTGGTAGTATATCTGGACGAGTTGCAGGTGATGGTGGTCGACTCAAGAGTTTGTGAAGTGGTTAGTCCATTGTTTCCTTTGAAAGACAAGTGTCTTATTTTGATTAAAGAGTTCTGACATGAGGGAAAGCTGAATTCCAACAGATATGACACATTGTCACTTGTAACCAAATCAACAGTTTATCAAAGTGTAATGCAGTACTGCTGTTATAATAATACAAAAAGGTTGATACACTGAGTGGTAAACGAAAACTCAGTAAATACAGACAGTGGCTCACTAATCTAAGCAGTTTACCTTAAATCAGTGGATTGACGGTTTAAACTTCATCCCCTATTACGTAAGTTTAGGCACCGTAGTAGTATCATTAGCATGAACTCATTTGGTGTTCGTCTTCGCCTAGTGTATGAATACAGAAACGATTGCTAAGAGTTTTGGCGCATAGATAGAGGTACATTCTGTTCAAACAAACACACTGTTGGACAGCAGCATTGCGTTATCGTAGGTATTCCCATGAAAAACTTGCTATACTACATGTAATACAACTCTTCAATGTTGTTCTATCCGCTGACTGTTCAATTCGCATGCTTATATATAGACTAGATTAAAATTCAACGCAGTCTTTAACAGTACTCCTTATACGATTGACTTATTTAGTGACAGATCCAATTAAATTAATTCCTGCATTATGCTCAGATTGAAAGGAAGTAAGCTGAGTCATGAATATTGTCAGTGGAAAAGTGACCAGCAAATCAGCACTGAGAAAGGCATTAAATTGGTTACACATTGAAATGTAGCTAGTTTCATCAACTTTTAGGAAGGAAAGTTCTTCAAACAAATAACTTCTTCTATGAGTTATTTAGGTTCAAAGACTTGGCGCGTTACGAAAAGCATTACCGGCAAACTATAGATGTTCATTAACAACTGCCTGCGCTAGCTCGTTACTGAAGATCAGATGGATTGTCAGAATAATAAGAATAAGTAACAAGGAACTCTGGCTGGCTGGCTGGCTGGCTGTCAACGAACCAACCAACAACCTATCACTCAACAAATATGCAGTGGAAGGAAGTGGAGATGGATTGGATTGGGCATACACTGAGAAGGCCGACTGGGGACAACATGCGTGAGGCCAGGCCAGGTCAGGCACTCGAGTGGAACCCCGGTGGGAAACGACGAGTTGGGCATCTGAGACGAGGGTGATATGTAGGAGATCGTGTGAGAAAGAAATGAGAGCCTGTGGGCAGTTGTGGATCCAGGTTGAAAAGATTGAAGAGAAGAGAGTGGGATGGAGACGTGCTACTGAAGGTCCATGTTCCATTAGGAACTCAAGGGACAAATGATAATAATAATAAATGAGTTGTTGAAATAATTGTTGGAATTCAGTTACAAAATAAATTAGCTAAATTTTTGATATAGAAGTCATCAACAATATTGGTCGTAATCCAGTGATTTCCAATGTGTTTAAATATATTTTCAACACAGATCTTTTCGTGATTCATCTGGTCGGGAATGTAGAAGGTTATATTTTTGGTGGAATCAATGTATCAGAGTAAACTAGTGATAGATTCCATAGATGAACTCAGGTTCAACTGAGACGAATACCATTTTATGAAGTCGTACGTGAAGATAAGTACTAGTTGTCACTGGACGTTAGTTTCGCTATATAACGAATTTACAGAAGTTGGAAAACGTGGGCAATTGGATTTCTAGGGGATGAGTAGTAACGTTCTTAGTAACATTGTTGGTTTTGATCCTTCTGAGGAGTCCCAAACTAGGACAGAACAGCTATTCATTCCTCAGTGTGTGAGGAAGATCACTTTGTAGTTATTTTGCGCTGGTCCAACTCATCAGGCTTACTGACTTGAATATTTTTCAGTGATCTATATACTTTTCCTGTAAATAATACTCTTTCATCATACATCAATTGAACAAAATGAACTTATTTAATGTGGAATTAAAACCTACTACAGCGACTAAATTTCACTTTTACACTTAAGTAATAAGTTAAATTATTTTATTACTGTGTTGCAAGAAACACTGTTGGTTACCGACAAACTAAAATCAGTTACTATGTTCATAACATAACACTTTTCACCCTTGATATTGTTTCTGATTAATTGTTATTATATTATATTTATTTGTCCCTTTTGTTCCTAGTGGAACAGTAGCCTGTCTCCATTCCACTCTCTTCTCTTCAATCTTTTCAACCTGGATCCACAACTGCCCACAGGATCTCATTTCTTCTTCACATGATCTCCTACATGTCACCCTCGTCTCAGATGCCCAACTCGTCGCTTCCCACCGGGGTTCCACTCGAGTGCCTGACCTGGCCTGGCCTCACGCATGTTGTCCCCAGTCGGCCTTCTCAGTGTATGCCCAATCCAATCCATCTCCACTTCCTTCCACTGCATATTTGTTGAGTGATAGGTTGTTGGTTGGTTCGTTGACAGCCAGCCAGCCAGCCAGCCAGCCAGAGTTCCTTGTTGCTTATTCTTATTATTCTGACAATCCATCTGATCTTCAGTAACGAGCCAGCTAGATGGTAGGCATTGATGAATGTGTGTAGTTTGTTGGAAATGCGTTTCGTGATGCGCCAAGTCTCTCAACCATCACATAGAAGCACAGACCGACTTGAGTGAATTAGTGTTGAGAATGCGTATGTTGTTCAGGCTTTGTGCTGAGTGCAGTTCAGTAGATGTCCACACTGGTTTCAGTTTAATGAACGCATGTGATGCTGTGTTTGGTATCCTGGCTGATTCTGACGTCCTTGTGTGTGCCTGTGTTGCGTGTATTTGAAAGGGTGCTGCCTGCGTAGGAGGGTGGGTGAAAGGAGCTTCTTCCTTTAAGTTTCTCGTGTTGATGTTGATTGGAGTTTGTTGTTGTTGCTGGTGGTGGTGGTGGTGTTGGTGGTGTTGGTTTGGTATCTTGATAACCTGTTTCTTCTCAACGTTCACTTGAAGTGCTGTGTTCGTTGTCCTGCCTCTTCTGTCAACTTGTTGGATTTTGCCTGTGGATCTTCGAGTTTGTGGGACATTGGTAAATATTCTTTCGAATAGAATAACCACATGAAGACAAAGATGATAGATTGTTTTGGGTCTCTGGTGAAAATCTCTCCAGCAATATAAGTTTTAAGTAGTGTCGAGGTAGTGAGAATCGTGACCTTTGACCTAGACTTCATATAAATTCTAAATCATCCCTCTGAAAACCAACGGATGACAATTTTTCCTGTGAATTCTTCTTGCTTTTATAACTCAATGGTTCATAAAATTCTCAGCTAGAGATCAAAATAACACTTCTAAGCGAAGCACAATTGTTAAATTTCACCCGAATGTCCTTTGGCGAACAAGATTTTCAGATTATCATCAGTGGTGGTCTTTTTAGCACTGAGAAATTATATCTAGAATCCAAACTCATCAGGATATTTATACAACTTCCTTTTAAATGATAACAATAATATAACCTACTTTTAAAGCCGTCCAGCTCACTGGTTCCTTAACAGGTCAAATCAGAAACACGGTCCATTTGAGCTGATTACAACACTCCTACTAACAAACAGTATCATATGTAAGCCAAACTAGAAGATGCAGATAACTTCGTTATATGATATGCCCATTCTACCCAAAAACTCTACATATAGCTTTAAAAATACTTGCTCAACAGTTGTGGAAGAACTCAAACGACGCTTCTTATGCCTAACATATGAATTATTTGTAATTGTTTAATTTCATTATATAAAAACTAGTCATTCTATTATCCTAGACACTTGATGTCTGATTATTAAGTCAATATCCGTTTGATGTCAAAAGTGGTATACTTGATGAATTACAATCTAGACTAAAGTTAGATTCACTGCAGAAATTCGTTTTCTTTTATCTAAATGAACAGAAAATAGTGCCAACGCTGACAGTTCAACTCATCCTTCGATTGTCATTGCTTCTAATCGAATAAATCCCGATGAAATAAGAAGGTACAAGATTGAATAAATGTAGAATTTCCAGATTAATTCTATATATTAGGCCGGGACTCTGAAATGATCATAAATATATACCCAAACCAGAGCATAGAATGGCAATCAGCTCTCTTCCTCAACTTCATCGACTTTGAGAAGGCATTTGACAGCGTCGACCGAGAAGTAATTCGGAAACTGCTTCACTACTACGGAGTACCACAAACCTTTATCCACCTCATTCAACAACTATATGAAGATGCCACATGCCAGCCAAGTAATTCACAATGGGAAGCTCAGTGATGCCTTCGAAGTGAAGTGAAGACAGGAGTAGGAGTGAAACAAGGTTGCCTACTATCCCCCATGATATTCCTGATTGTGGTTGACTGGACTGGATCATGCAGCAGACAACAGTGGGGAGCTGTGAGAAGAGGGGGATACGTTGGCTGGACTGCGGAAAAGAACCTGGAAGATCTGGATTTCGCCGCAGATGACTTGTGCCTGATGTCTTGTCACACAAACTTGAAGATCTACAGGCGAAAACTAACAAGTTGGTAGAAGAGGCGAGGCAGCGAAGGAAGACGGGACTTCAGGTGAATATAGAGAAGACAGAAGTGATGAAGATACCGCACCAACAACTCCAACTCCAACAACAACAACAACAAACTCCAATCACCATGAACGGGAGAAACTTAAAGGAAGTAACCTCCTTCACCTATCTAAGCAGGCAGCACTGTTTCAACTACAGGCGGCACAGACGAGGATGTCAATGCAACCAGGATCGGAAACGTGGCAAGACAGGTGTTCATTAGCCTGAAACCAGTGTGGGGATCTTCTGCACTGCACTCAGCATGTGGAACAAGATCCGGATTTACAACACCAACGTCAAGTCAGTGCTTCTGTATGGTTCAGAGACTTGGCGCGTCACGAAAGGTATTTCCAATAAACTACAGACATTCATCAATAACTGCTTACGCTCGCTACTGAAGATCAGATGGCCAGAAAGAATAAGCAACAAGGAACTCTGGGAACGAACCAACCAAGAACCTATCACGCAACAAATATGCAGTGGAAGGAAGTGGAGATGGATTGGGCATACACTGAGAAGGCCGACTGGGGACATCACGCGTCAGGCCAGTTGCTCGAGTGGAATCCCCATGGGAAGCGACGAGTTGGACGTCCGAGGTGAAGGTGACATGGAGGAGGTCGTGCGAGGAGGAAATGAGAGTTTGTGGGCTGTCGTGGAACCAGGTTCAAAAGATCTCAGAGAAGAGAGTGTACTGGAGATATGCTACTGAAGCCCTATGTTCCACTAGGAACCCAAGGGACTAATAATAATAATAATATACCCAAACAGGGAATAACTTATGTTATATCACTAATAAACTGCATATTAGTATCAGCACACAGTTGGAAAATGTTGTAGACTGACTTTCTAATTGACTATAAATGTTTAGGTGTTATTTAGTCTCTTTCAGTTTATAATAAAGTAACATTTTGAGTTCACAACTGTACCAATTATTCTCTTTTTTGTTCACTTTTTAAACCTAGAAAAAAGCAAACGCTTTGACAGATACTGTCAAGACTACAACAAGTTTGAATACCCTTCAATCATTTGATAGAGAATCGAAGAATTTAGAACAACAATTAGACAACTTTGAACGAATACGTATTGATGAAGAACAAGCTGATTTATTTGAAAAAGCTAAAAGTATCACTAGACTATTAAGTCAAATTCAACTGCCTGATTCTACACAAATATTTATACCGCCAGAATTGATACGTGATTCCGTCGAACCTATTGAATATGAATCAAAGCGTATCCTATCCATTTTAACACCTTCTGATCGATTGAATCGTACATATTTAGCCTATAATGCTTATCAAAAGATTATCGACAATATGCAATTGGCTGAGAATGCAACCAATGAAGCTGAAGAAGCTTTAATACAAAGTACTACAACCCTGGATGGTACACAGATATCATGGCAAGATCGACTTAAAGATGTAATTAAGAAACGTGATCATATAACAGATGCATTGAATAACCACTCCGTAATCTTTGGTTCACATAATGAAACATTAAATATGCTTGATAAGGAGTTACAGCAAACTGAGAATGATTTGAATACATTGAAACAAATTGCAACAAACAGTTTGGACACAACCAAGATTATTGCAAATAAAGGTAAGAAGTGTATTCCCTTAACAATCTGTCATTCAGTTACAATTATGTATACACATAGAATAGCTGTTAATTACTTATACAAATGTATCAGTATTTCTTAAAGAATACTGTCATAACAGATAAAATCTTCACTCTGTTAAGATATAGGCCACCAACTATGATTCATCTCTGTCAGCTGAATTGTCGAAATGACCTTAATTCTAGCCGGTTACTTAGCTGAAGTAGTCAAGGTAGGCACTTTGTAACTTTATGGTCTAAAAGATCCAGTTATGTTATTCCTCATTCAAAATCTGAATTTTTAGAAAATTTGTCTTTATACAATTCAAGACATCGATAGTGTAAAGGGTTGAATGTTTCAAGTGCTCAGTCAGTATCATAAACTACTAGAAACAATTGAATTTTTCTAATACATGTTTTCGAAATCATTACCATGGTAAACAGATAAGTCACTTTTTGATATGATGAAAAGTTTTATCAAAAAGTGTTTATCGACCGAACAAAAAAGCAAAACAATTGTCTCAAGTTAGTAGAGGCCTTACCCAACCCAACATCAAAGATATCTCAGAAACAGTCAAATGATTGCTTTATCTGTTCGGAATGACAGTAGCCCATAAACCAACGAAATCACTACACAGCATGTTGTGCAAACCGAAGAATCCGTCATCAAAAGGAAGACATTATAAATATATTCTACAAAATCAACCTCAAAGGATATTCACAACACTATCTTGACTAGTCTTTTCGTTGGATTGTTCGAAAAATTCACAAACATCAACTAGCAATTAGGTGACATGATGCAACCTTCTTGGTTTCCCCGCACGCAGACAATCTTAATCACAAATTCGAACAGAAGGATGTGAAAATCCTACAAACAACAGGTTCAAAAGCTGCTAGAGAATATCTAGAAGCTTGGGATTCAAATGAAAAGTCAGATATAAGTGAAAAACTTGGGCACTGTGGTAGAATGTAGTTCCATATTAGATTTGTTTATCACTGTGCGCTTTATATCAAATAAACAAATCTAATATGAAAAGTCAGATATTTGTGAATGTCGACTTAATCTATAATCTACTTAAGAAAAACAGGAAAACAGTTATTCATCAATTGAGAGCAAATTGACCAAACAAATTAATGATGATGCATAGTGTGATAGCAACAAGCAGCACAATTTCACTTCAACAAAGATTATCTACCATTGTTGTCGAAGTAGAGGTCAGGATGTGATAAAAATTCCCTCTCCAACTTGAAATTGGAGGACAATACCAAAGGTCAATAAAATCGCTATTCAAATATTTGTGTAAGAATCCAAAATGCTCCACTTCTGTATGAATTTAATGCTGAAAATGTCACTAAAGCCTAATGATGAAACGTTCACGACAAAATAATAAGGTTCAAAGAACACTTAACTACCATTGAGTCACTTTTTACATCTCATGAAATAATACGAATTATTAGCAGATAAATGTAACATCCCACACTGTACAAGGAATAGTATTCATATTTTCCAGATTGACTAACTTGAAACAATGATTTTTAAATTTGAAGGCTTGTAAAAATTTGGTTTATTTCTAAGGTGTTTATTCATCAAAGATTGGCACCAGCCAGAAAGAGGATTGAAAGCCTAAGAAGCACTAATTACTCTATGAAGCATCAAAGTTATGACAATCAGATTGAATGATAAACACATAAAATTAGATGGGGAATCCAATAGAAACTAGCAACTAGATAGACAATCGTCCACAAATAATGCAATCAAGAAAAAACGAAATTGCTCACTTCACACTAATGAATGAATTAACTAGTTGATCGGATCACTAGTCCTTACATATATCAAATCTCACAGATAGCGGTAACCAATCAGAAAAAGACAGTAGATATAAAAGAGTAAAACAAGACTAAATATAGATGACTTATAAACAAGTAAAAGTGAAAATTTCAGTCAAATAGAAGTAATTAACAGAGTAATCGTGTTACTCTGATGGCTCAGTGGCCGGTGAAATCTCTGCACGGATCGAAAAGGCTCTATTGGCTTTCACCAATTGACGCCACCTATGGCGCTGCCGTGATAACCGATTATCTATTAAGGGTCGTGTATACTGCACAGCGGTTCAGTCTGTTCTACTGTATGGCTGTAAAACATGGCCACTGAAGGTGGAAGACATGAGAAGGCTTCAGGTGTTTGACCACTGTCACCTTCATAGTATAGGCCGTATTCCGTGGTGTCACCACGTGAGTAACCCAGAAGTCAGGCTCAGGTGCAGTTTCAGGGAGGAGAGGTAAGTCAGTTGACATGGTTTTGAACCTTCATCGACTAAGATGGTTCGGACACGTGTTACACACGCCTAGTCACCGATTGCCTCGTCACGCAATGTTGGTTGAAGTAGGTTCAGGTTGGAAAAAGGCCCGATGTGGCCAGACTAAAACATGGCATCAATGCATTAAATCTTTGACTATTGGTTTGAGCCGTGTGTGGCGGTGTAGACTAGCCGGTTGTGGTCGGTGGGACAAGAGAAACCAGTGAGTGGTTGGAGACTGTAGGTGATGGCATGGCTGAGAACTGATGTGAGTGACGCAGATGTATACATACATTATCCTCATCTTAACGACACTATACCGAATCTCACCACTTTCTCATTCTTCCTTTCTCCCTTTTCGTACTTTGTATTTCTTTTGACTGAATTTTTTTATCTTCATCTTGCACTCCACTGCCTTTTTACTTGATGTACTGATATGAGGTGTGGCAACTCGGACCGTAACGCAGTAATGCCTGGTCCTAGGTTGATCTAGATGGATGGATAGATATAAGAAGGGATTGACACAATAGAGATGGACAGGCAAAATGAATCCAACAGGTGGGTAGTCAGGCGATGATAATGCTGAATCATAGCTACACAGATGTACTTATCATGTTATGTGTGATTTCAGCAGATTGGCACAAAAGCCACTTAAACTAAACGATTATACAGAAAGTAGTGATGACAAAGATTCCATTTTATAAAGGGAATACATATCCATGCTTCATTTAGAAAATAAAAGAGAGATTGTCTTCCGGGATAATATGCTATCTACCCATCTATCGTAGTCACCCATAAGGCTAAGATAAATACCAACTTGAAACCAATAAATCCTCTATACTGGCCTATTGTGTAGTGCTTACTATGGACATGCTTTGAGATGAGCTTTTTCGAATTTCTTAGACAAAACTGTGACTAGTGGAAAAAATCAAGTCGGACGTGAGAACAAATACCTGACGATGGCATTGGATGATGGTTGCTCCATAAAGTGGACTGACAGAAATAAGGAAATGTGGATCACTAGGTCCTGACCCAATGACTCAGTGGTATTTTGTTCGCCATGGAACCTCAAGGTCAAGAGTTCAACCCCTGGTAGGGCCACGGGTGCTTACTACTGACGTGTCCCACGCTAAGAAGAAGCAGCTATCCAGTTCTTTAATGTTCTCAGTGGTTCTCCGGCTTATTACCTTTGCCATCTTCATTTATTTATGCAGCAGCGACCTAGGGTACTGTACCACGTTTAGTATTCCTAGTAACTTATGATACAGCTGTGAGATACAACTGTTAAACATGGGAGACATGAAGAGACTGCAGATTCTTGTTCGTAGGTGTAACTATTTCATTCCTTTTTTCAGAAGGCACTTTAGAATAAATAATACTTAAATGGGAAGCAAGTTAAGCCAATCGATGAAGTTGCAAGCCTTCATATACCAAGGTGGCTTGTTTATATACTATACTATACTATACTATACTATACTATACTATACTATACTATACTATATATATATATATATATATATATATATATATATATCGACCGACCGTCCTTCTCTCTCAGTGTTATCTAGACTAGAATTAATATGAAACAGAGCTAGTAAGAAACAGAGTTAGGTATGGAATCAGTCCAGGAATTTTCTGAATGTTTATCTGGGCCATATGGCTAAATAAAATTGTCTTACTTTAATTTTCAATGTTTTAAGCATCATGGGTATACATGGGTATACTTTCAGTCTTCCAAGATAGAGAAAATACTCTTATCCGATTTATATTTGCTGAAATAAATCTTATTTATTCATTTTTCATAACAGTTTGAAAACATTGTAATTTTAGATGAAACACTTTTTTAATCTTTTCTTCAGTTGACTCAATAAAACAATTTTTACAAGATACAAAACCATTAGTTGAAAATGCCACAAAAAAATTAGATATACAAAGAGAACGTTATGACAAGTTACATGATCGTTTACAGGAAATGGAGAATCGATATTCACAAATACAAGGAACTGCTAAGACTTTGGGTAAGTATTTCAGATGAAAATAAAAACTTGAATTATTTAAACTACTTTTAATCTTGATAATTTGTTTGGTTGTGGCTAGCAGAAGAATCTAAGGTGCGCGTTTCGTCTTATTTGGGACTCATCAGCTGGATGTACCTGCACCCTAGTGATGTTGTTCCCACTGAGACGAGGTTGAACAATTCGATTCAACAAAACAACAGATAATAACAAGTATGTCAATAAGTAGTAATGAGTATTACCCGTTGTACGAGAAATGGCCATCGTTCCTCTGTGGCATAGTGGCGTTTGAATCAATGGGTACGAGGTTCGAGTCTCAGTATGAACAACATCACTGGGGTGCAGGTACATCCAGCTGACGAATCCCAAATAGGATGAGACGCTCGTCCTGGATTCTTCTGCTAGCTACAATCAACCAAATCATCATAATTAACATTCAAGCAATATCGAGGCGTCCGCATAGGAGCCCATATATGCCAATAGAGGTCGAACAATTCAGAACTCATTACTGCACAAACTATTGACACCTAAAATTTTAGACGCTTAATTTGTGAATATACTATTCATTATTTTATATTATTATTTCTTTGGTTAGTATAAAGCCACTTTCAGAGTAGATATCCTCAAAATAATAATTCTTATCAGTTAAATCACTACTAATTAGTCAGTATTGTATGATACATCATGAAATAAAGCTTGATTTAAAGTTGATCTTAAAAATATCCCTTCACTTGGATTCATTTTGAAAATAGTTATTAATTGTTTTCATACAGGACTCTAAACATTTATTGAAATGTTGTATTTAAGATGATATCTAAAAAAAATTTCACGTTTTAATTTCAAACTTAGAAAGTCATTCTAACTAATTTATTCTTCTTTAATATTTAGGCACAGAAAATGAACTTCTTGCGAAAGAGATGTGTACACTAATTATTGACATTTCTGAACTGTTTTACTTTTGAATAAAGTGACTGAGCTTGAAAATTATATTTACTACTAGATTCTAACTCGATAATGATGAAACCATTATAGTTGATGAGTCTACTAAACAGACAAGACTTTCAGTTATTCACGAATTGACTTTTGTTTAGAATGGGAACTTTTTCTAAAAATGTCCTAAGTATGCATAGCATTCACCCTCTAAATATTCGATTAAATATACACTAATTTTAGTCTCCTCTATACTATTGTATGTTGGATAATACTTAGCAGTGGAATCCAAGATGTTCTCTTAACCCTGTTATCGTTCTTGATGAGAATCAAACCGAAAAACCTGTAGTTTGAAATCCCAGAAAGTTATCAGTTAGTCTACAACCAGCTATTACTCAAAATATGACTAAGATCCGGCTGTCGGTAAAACCTTTACATCTACAAGCTGATTCAATACGGGAACAGAAAAAGACCCATTCAAAAAGTGAGAAAGCAATGGGATGACGACAAATATGAGTTTATATTTTGTCACACGTTAAAATTTCCTACTTTGACAGTACATATCAAAAGGGAAAACCTTTATCTGGCTTCCATACAAAGAAGGACGTGATCTCATATACCGAGATTTTCTTTTGAAGTATGTGTTATGAAAGATGATGAACAATGACTTCGCCATACTGGAGGCTGTCTAACCAGATATGTGCATTCATCTGATAGTCTAGTGAAAGTGATTATCTGAGCTTCTTATCTTAGTAAATAAAGTTTGTCAGGGAGCTTAGCCATTTCTGAGGTTGTGAAATAACTTCTTCCGGATGCTACAATAGATATTGACACATTAAAGTACCTTTAAGAAACTGTAGTTCTTGTAGTACACCATAGTGTTCATATAAATGGTCTTGAAGTTATCTAATTGATAGACAAGACATGCTGTTGTATCCAGGACAAAATATTGTGGTCACATCTGAATACGTAGTACTATTATCATCACTAACGTCGTCTGGAGAATAAAAAATCAGAGTAAAATCTGAAAATATTCGCCGTATATAATTACTTTATTATTTATTTGTCCCTTGTGTTCCTAGTGGAACATACGAATTCAGTAGCCTGTCTCCATTCCACTCTCTTCTCTTTAACCTTTTCAACCTAGCTCCACAACTGCTCACAGGCTCTCATTTCTTCTTCACATGATCTCCTACATGTCACCCTCGTCTCAGATGCCCAACTCGTCGTTTCCCACCGGGGTTCCACTCGAGTGCCTGACCTGGCCTGGCCTGACGCATGTTGTCCCCAGTTGGCCTTCTCAGTGTATGCCCAATCCAATCCATCTCCACTTCCTTCCACTGCATATTTGTTGAGTGATAGATTGTTGGTTGGTTCGTTGACAGCCAGCCAGCGAGAGTTCCTTGTTGCTTATTCTTATTATTCTGACAATCCATCTGATCTTCAGTAACGAGCCAGCTAGATGGTAGGCATTGATGAATGTGTGTAGTTTGTTGGAAATGCGTTTCGTGATGCGCCAAGTCTCTCAACCATCACATAGAAGCAGAGACTGACTTGAGTGAATTAGTGTTGAAAATGCGTATCTTGTTCAGGCTTTATGCTGAGTGCAGTTCAGTAGATGTCCACACTTGTTTCAGGTTAATGAACGCGTGTGTTGCTGTGTTTGGTATCCTGGCTGATTCTGACGTCCTTGTGTGTGCCTGTGTTGCGTGTATTTGAAAGGGTGCTGCCTGCGTAGGAGGGTGGGTGAAAGGAGCTTCTTCCTTTAAGTTTCTCGTGTTGATGTTGATTGGAGTTTGTTGTTGTTGTTGGTGGTGGTGGTGGTGTTGGTGGTGTTGGTTTGGTATCTTGATAACCTGTTTCTTCTCAACGTTCACTTGAAATGCTGTCTTCGTTGCCCTGCCTCTTCTGTCAACTTGTTGGATTTTGCCTGTGGATCTTCAAGTTTGTGCGACATCAGACACAAGTCATCGGCGAAATTTAAATCTACCACAATCAGGAAGATAATCGATGATAGTAGGTTTCACTCCTGTCTTACTCCTGTCATCACTTCAAAGGAGTCACTGAGCTTTCCATTGTGAATCACTTCGCATGTCACCTGTGTTGTGCATATTTGTGCAGTAGCCAATGAACCACGCCAACTGTATGTGACCAAGTGATACCTGTTGTCATCAGAAGCCTCGGTAAATGGAGCTGGGCTTGAACCCGTGGGCCATCGGTTGAATGACTCACAACTCTCTACATCGGTGTCTATCACCCTTCATCAATACAACTTGTAAGTAATGAATGTACCATTTCAATTCAGAGTGGATCAATGTTATAGGGTACTTGTTTTAATTGAGTTAGACTAATTTGAACTAGTTACAAATAATCACTATTCCTTCAAAAAGCCTAAAGATTTATTGCTGTGCAGCTGAAGTAAATTATTTCATGCATGAATGGTACTTTATGAATTTGAAAACAACAATTAGAGCTGGGTAAAAATGGATACGTTTTTATCTGTCTATTCAGAAGTATAGATTAAACTATGAAACAAAAAAAGATCTGCTTCACTGATTGATAAGGAAACTGAAACCTTTATTTTCGAATAATAAATGAGAAATATATAAGCCACTTTAGATTTCCTCACTGAGATCATCATATCAGCAATGGCTTAACAATGTTTAAGCGATGAATTACACGACCATCTAGTACAAGAAAATTATATCCTACTAATTATTGTAATTCGGGTCTATACATAGTTATTTTATTTCATTCATTCCCTTTTATGTCTTTGTTCCCAGTTGATCGAGCTAACATCAGTCAATCACACTTATCTAAATCAATTGATGAAGCTGAAATGCTAGCCAGACAATTAGATGAAAAAATGTTAAATCTCCGTCGATTAGCTGATGAAGCACGTTCAATACTTGACGTCAATTATGGATCACTATCACATGATCCTGTTCCTTTACAATTAGGTCAAGATTGTGTATATACATTAGTACCGTATAGTTTAACAAAATCTCGAGTATTCGATATTGAATTTTGGTTCAATTTGCATAATCTACCATCTTTGCCAACCATGAGCAGTGTGTTAATGGTGGGACGTAGAGCTTTTGAAGGACATACACAAATGTTTGCATTTACTGTTGAAGCACCAGAGGCTAAATTACGCTTTTCATGGAATACACCTAATGGTGTATTAGAATTAGGCCCTATTGTAATCAATACATGGTATCATACACGTGTTACATCAGTCGGTGGAGAAACATATATGATTCTTATGGAAAGACCGTTCCAAGATCAAGGTGATGTTATTCCAGAAATGAAAAAGACTGTAACTACAAACGGTACACTAGATCAAGAAGCAAATCTTATTATGGATAGGCAAATGGAATTACGTATTGGTGGAGTTATACAGTCAAGTAGTCGTCTAAGCAATCCTGAAGCATGGGGTGATAATGGTGCAGAATTATTCTGGTCACGTCTTATGTCAATGGAATCAGTTAAATTTTGTATGTTCAACTTGAGATTAAGTGGTCTACCAATAAGTGTTGTCAATTTTGCTGATGCCAATCCTGAATGCTCTAAACCAAAAGAATATCAATGCCAATTGTAAGTTGAATATTTTTATTTAAAAAAAAACTTAGTGTAGTAGTCACAACAGGACTCGAACCCTAATATTCCTAACTCGAGTCACTGCAATACATTTAAGTCACTCCGCTAAGCTAACGTTATATCAAAACGTCTCACCAACAAAATATTCAATTTTCAAAATGATAGTATAGGATAGTTGATTTGTTGGATAAGATTATGAGTTTCTTAGTTTAATCATGTATGAATTCCAAAGTGTCTAATGCTATAGTATACCGAATTACGACGAGATAATGAGCCCAATACTCGTATGATTTTAAAATGATGGAGAATATTTTTAACTCAGATAGATGATCGTAGTTGTATTGTGTTCTCTGGGTTGAGTTGTTTAGTTGTGGAGCTTTCAAATCTGATGGAACATATCGAGCTTTACTTAATTAACATATGCTTCCAATTCAATGACAAGATATACAAAACAGATGAAATGAACTCCAATGAGATCACCAATATACGGGCTAATCGCAGAAGCAGTGATACAGAGACTGGAAGCCATCATCCTACCTATGATTAAACAATATATTTAGATTCGCCATGTAGACGATACTTTTGTTATCATTAAAAAAAATTGATGTAGGAAACATTCATAGTTTGATCAATAACGTTTTCAATGACATCAAATTCACAATAGAGAAGGAGTCAAATAACGAACTACCATTCCTGTATGTTTCAGTCAGCAGAACAAATGCCGGAAAGCTGGAAAGCCAAGTGTACAGGAAGCCAACACACACTGATTGATCAACTCACCAACTACAGTAGCAGCAACCCAACAACGCACAAGATCAGTTGCCTGCAGACTCCAGTCAGAAGAGCGAGAACACACTACAGTGTAGTACAACAACTTCACGGAGAAACGAAGAAAATTACTTGATATCCATTCTAAACAAGAACGACTACCCACTAAACATCATCAGAAGATGTTTATCCCGTACAACATCAATTACAAAGTCATTGACAGAAATCAATAAATGCATCATCCTACCATACATAAAGAATATATCAGAAATCACGAGAAGATTACTGAGACCACTTGGTGGAATCGGTGTGGCTCATAAATCAACAAATTCCCTGCAAGCACTACTATGCAGACCGGAGGATGCATCAACCAGAGAAGACAAACCGAACGTCATTTACAAAATCAACTGCAATAACTGTAGTCAACACTACAATGGACAAAGTGGTCGCCTCTTCACCTTCGTCTACATGAACACCAGTTAGCTATTAAGCGTCATGAAATTTCAACACTCATTTCAATGCACATGGATCACAACTATGGACATGAATTTAATTTTGATAATGTAGAAATGTGTGGTAGAGGAAACACAAAGAGCATAAGAGAGTTTCTAGAAGCTTGACATTCAGATCAGTCAGTCAGCAATCAATATATGTATAGACATAGATCCAATCTATCACCCGATGCGACAAGTGATAAACGACAGAAAGGTCAGAGGTGAAGCAGAGTAACAGCCAACAGGAAAATCTATACAGTCGATGATACAACAATCAAAGGAAACAACCAGTCACAAGCCAGTTCGTCAGGGTAAGCTACTAAATCACACACGGAGAAATATTTACAGCTCACTTCCTACTGAAGTTATTGTTGAAGATGTCGTCTAGAAAGATGATGAAAGCTCCACGACTAAACAACCCATCTGAGAGAACACAACACAACCAAGCATGATCCAATGCTCCATGGTTATACTATAACCTACAATTTCTTAGGAAAGTATGACAACAATGAACTTAATAATACCTGTTAACCTCTATTAATAACAGCGTAAAGTCTTCGCGACTATTGAAAGGCATGAATTTAATTTTCTTTGGACATCAGATATGTTGGTCACTCTCTGGGATTTGTACAATAAGTGCTCTGACTATCTAAATACTCGCTGAACTTAAAACTCAATAGACAAACATTAGTGGTGATTTTGTCATCCTCTTAGTGAATGTTTTTGAAGGGAAATTCCACTCACCTGCATTTAATTGGATAACAGATGATTTGATCTAATTAGATTCATGAATGATTATACAAAGATACCAACTTTTGTTTGTTAATCCTTATTAGAAATAAAGGTTAGATTGATGTCGAAGCATATAAAATACGATGATAAATCGGCTAATGATTTAAAAACAGCATGGTGCACATTGACATTTCTCACAGTTGAGTAGTTTTTCAACTGACAGACAACTATGCCACTAGTTAACAGGATTTCTGCTGGAAACTACCCAACCAAGGTTATTCTAACTTGGTTAGAGAATTCTACAGATCATCCTGAGTGATTTCTAACTACTCAAATTGTTTAGTAGCATATTTTTTGAAATACTTACTTGTGAAGATTCATTCTGTCACTATAAATGTACCCAGAATTTCCAAGGATCCCCTGTTGTTCTTCAAAGTTCTTTAGCCCAGCTCTTAATATTCTTTAGCATTAATCTCAATGGGCTGATTAAACATTATCATTTGACTATGTGAGATAGCCGTGTTTTGCAGACTAGTATTTATACTTATACTACTTATACTTATACTTACTGATGATTGAAGGTGAAATGAAAATTTGGTCCGCGGCATGATTCGAACCAGAGACCACTGTGTTTCCGACCTGATTAAACATTGTTCCCTGGAAGATGATTGTTATGGCTGAAGTTATGGTTCATATTCTGTGTAAAATATGATTTCTCATCCTTCATAACAGAAGTTGTGGCTAGAACCAGTGGCCACTGACTTGACGGCCCAGTTCTCTACCAACTAAGTTACAAGAACAAACTCCCGACAAGATTTTTATTTCACTTCAATCACTAAGAGTTTTGCCTGACTGTCAAGTGAATTCATGATGCGTTACTATCAGTTGATGGTACTCAGACTGACTGCCTAGCCTGGACGTCTCGTCCGAATCTAGTTGAATTAGAGCGTGGGGGGAGCATTATATTGATTATCATTCTGACTACCTGAGATAGCTTTGATTTGGCAGACTAGTACTGATACTAGATGATGATTAGAGGTAAGGTGAAAATGTGAACCGAATCACCCAGCATGAGTATAATCAAGCCATAGTAGCACGTCACGAATTCATATAGGAGATGGGCAAATTACTTGGTGATTGAAGTGAAATAAAAATCTGGTCTGGAGTCTGCTTTCATAGCTCAGGAAATTTTCATTTGATCTCCAGTCATCACCCAATATCATTACTAATGTGTCAAACCAAGACTATCTCAGATATTTAAAATAAGAATAAATATAATACTGACCAACATGAGTAGTTGTAAACCATTCATGTTAAATTATCCCCATTGATATCAATACTAAGTAAGTGAGTAATAAACGCGTACCTTTGTCTGTAGTTTTATAGGCTATTATCAAGCTGAATTGACCAATAGAATGTGACTGACACTAAGCGTAAGACAATATAAGGCTTGTTCGTATCCAGTACCTGATGAGTTCACTGAATCCACTGTTACAGGAAACTGGTTATGGTTTAGTGAGTTCAGTAGTAATATTTATGATGGCAATGCTGAGTAATTTGGGCTTGGATTGTTAAAAGAAATAGAAGTATGAGTGCAAAGGCCATCCTAGCATCTACTCAAATAGGCAATTAGGTTTTATTCCTTTCTTCCAGAATGGTAGTCTTTTATAAAATAGTGAAAGCTAATTGGTTTTTTTCGATACCCAACCAACAATAAAGCAACAACAAGCTGCAATCACCATCAACGTGAGAAAGTGAAAGGAAGTAGTCTCTTTGACCTATCTAGGCAGGCAGCACTGTTTCAACCACAGGTGGCGGCACAGACGAGGACGTCAAAGCCAGGATCGGAAAAGCAAGACAGGCGTTCATTAACCTGAAACCAGTGTGGAGATGTTCTACACTCAGCATGTGGAACAAGATCCGTATTTTCAACACCTACCCAGTCAAGTCAGTGCTTTTATATGTTTCAGAGACTTAGCGTGTTACGAAAGGCATTTCCAACAAACTACAGACATTCATCAATAGCTGCCATCTACGCTGGCTCGTTACTGAATAACAGATGGCTAGAGTAATCAGAATAGGCAACAAGGAACTCTGGCTGGCTGTCAACGAACCAACCAACAACCTATCACTCAACAAATATGCAGTGGAAGGAAGTGGAGATGGATTGGATTGGGCATACACTGAGAAGACTGACTGGGGACAACACGCATCAGGCCAGGCTGTCGAGTGGAACTCCGGTGGAAAGCGACGAGTTAGGCGTCTGAGACGAGGGTGACATGGAGGAGATCGTGTGAGAAAGAAATGAGAGCCTGTGAGCAGTTGTGGATCCAGGTTGAAAAGATTGAAGAGAAGAGAGTGGGATGGAGACGTGCTACTGAAGCTCCATGTTCCATTAGAAATCCAAGGGACAAATAATGATAAAACAATAATTGGTTTTTTCGTTAGTTATTAGCGTAGCTTTTAGAGTCATAGCTTCTAACTACCTAAAAGGGATTATTGCTAACCGTCAGTTGAATCTTTTGGCTGAGTTTTCAAAAGGACAGTTTACATTGATTGGCTAGTGAAGAATAATCAATTTTCATGTTGTCCAGTCCTCAGTGCTGACCGGATTCTATTGGTCATTTCAGAATGTATCCAGTAACAAAGGCCATTTTAATTGGTGTTAGTTGGTTGGAAACAATCAGCTGAGAACCCTTAATCTAAGTTTCATCCTTATTCGCACTCATCAACAAGGTATGTTTGTAACCTCATGGAAATTGATGCCACCTCTGGAATTGAAACTATCATCACCCAATGATACAGTTAGACATGTTATCATTGAGAGATGTTCAAGCCAAAATTTATGCTTAAACAGTTAATTATCATAAAGATTCAGCAATTTCAATTATGTTGAAAAACCAGATGACTAGCTTTAGTTTGATGCTTCAAATGGATTTTCTTCAGAAATTCTTCTGATGAGTCTTACTAGTATGTGAAACATAAATCTAGAAATTTATATGAATCATCATCAAGTTTCTATCAGAAGAATTTTCATAGAGTGAAGTTCGATGTGTTTTTTTTTTGGATCCGAACAGTTAGTTCTTACAAAAATTCATTTTAATAATCACATTTTCTTAAAAACTTTTTTTTCCTTATTTCTATGACTTCAAATGAACTGTGTTGAATGAAAATAGACCGTAAGTTTCTTATTTCTGTTTGATTCAACTAATCTACTGTTTAATGTTTTATTCTTTAGTTAAATAAGTCGACTGTTTTGTTTACAGTCACTTTACATTGTTTATCATTCATTTCTTCAACTATCAGTTTTAGACTTAATATCTATAAGAAACTCAGAATTAATGAGTAAATCCAATAACTTGTAATAATAATTATACAGGAAATTGTTTGATTTCGATTGCTTAATTACGGTCAGAATTTCAATAGATAATGATAGCTGATTTCTAAAGAAGATGGGTATATAATTTTTAAAATGAAAATATAACAATGATGTGAAATAGCCAGTCAATAAGAAAGTTTGATTCATCTCAACAAATCACTGTCATCATTAATCTTATAGCTTAAGTTATTTCTAACCCGAAAGTAGTGAATAAATTGAATATTAATTCCTGTTACTTCAAGAAAAGGAAATTATTTGATGCTTACTATTCACTTCCACTACACATTGAAAGTCAAATATGAATGAAATATATTCTTCTCATTTGTAAGGATGGTTAGTGGCTAGCAGTGGATTCCAGGATGCGTATTTCGTTCTATTTGGGATATGTCAGCTGGAGGTATCTGCCTCCCAGTGAGTGATATTGTTCCCATCGGGATTCGAACTCAAGTGGGATCGCTTTAAACGCAAGAACGCTATTCATTACACCAACGAGCCATGATAGCCACTTCAGGGCTACACGACGGTATAATACAAGTAATTACACTAAAACATCTCGTTTGGTTCTACAATTAATTATAAAATCAATCCATTTCGTTAACATACTAATAACCAAAATTTGTGACAAATATATTCTACAATGGATATAAAATTATGACTAAAATTCACTTATGGATGATAGTTTAACTTATATATGTATGACGGCGGTCTGCTTGAACATTATCTGTTGAACATTTTTCATCCAATTCTTTCCTTTCAATTTGTTTTAATCATTTAAATAGGTTATTTCAATATATCATGTACTCTTGCACATTTCTAAACTGTTTTCAACTCTCTGTTTGAAACAGTTAGTCACTTTTATGAATTTTGATAACGTAATTAGAAGACGAAGTTTATCTGAACAATGTGATGTATTTGCGTAATACATTTCGAAAAATCTGATCACACATTTACTTGTCGAGTCAATATATCAGGTTGTTATTCATCGTAGACTGACATCAATTGGAGAAACAAAGGAAACCGTGGAGTACTGGACAGCTGTTTCTTCCTGGTATGGGACTCCTCAGCAGTGCGCACCCTCCAACTGATGTCAATCTACGATGAATAATAACTTGAAATATTTCCAAATCCCCATAACTCCCTCAAAACTCAAGTCATTACATATATAAATCGAGGATTGGAGGGATAAATACAACAATTAACACAATAGGCGATTAAAATTAAGAAAGATGAGAACAAACAGGAAGTGAAATAGTTGATCCTAATCTTGGTAAGGAAACAAAGTTTGCCAAGCAAGGTAGGTGTAGTGTACACGAACACATAAAGGTTGTTTCAATTTGTGTATGGCTATGGCTTCCACAAATCTCAGTGTACGCACCTGATTGTTACTATATAGACTTTGAAAGCTGTTTAATTTTGTGACCTGTTTCTATCATATGTTTAGCTATAGATGAAGAGGATCGTCTCCCACCAGCGTTTATCATGGTCTCACACTCCATTTGTCTTTGAAGCCATTTAGGTGCATGTTCTCTCAACTCCATGACTCGATTGCTTCTCCTTATGTATGTGTGAACACATACACACACATGTAATTTGGTAAACACAATGGGATGCGACATAATCAATGAAGCAATGTTTAGGTTTTTGGTGAAGCATCTATTTTGTTTTTCTCAAAATGATAAGATTAGCTGATGTCAGCCTACGTCTCAAAATGATAGTATTGAACTCCCCCCTGTATGGTAGAGTGATATGGACGCTTTTCTTAGGAATTGTGTATAGAGTTGGCTTCGGTGCTACTTGACCTCTACAACGGTTTATAAACTTCAATGGATATCCATTTTCCATAAGTGTTTGGTCAGTAAGCTGTTACCTTCATCCATCGTATTTAATCTACTGATACGATAGATCCTGCTAAACAGACATTATGCTAGACTCCCCTAGAATTCGGATTGAACAAAACTGTGAAAATCCAGGTATTGTCCTGTCCATGTCCATAGTTATACACAAATCGAAACAACCTTTATGTGTTCGTGTACACTACATCTACCTTGCTTGACAAACTTTGTTTCCTTACCAAGATTAGGATCAACTATTTCACTTCCTGTTTGTTCTCATCTTTCTTAATTTTAATCGCCTATTGTGTTAACTGTTGTATTTGTCCCTCCAATCCTCGATTTACTATATATATTGATTTGATAAATAAATGTGTGATCAAATTGTTCGAAGTGTATTGCACAAATACATCATATTATTCAGATGAACTTCGTCTTCTAATTACGCTATCGAAACTTTCTGTTTCTTGAGTCAATAACAAAGTAGAGAAAAATAGTTACATTATATAGAAATGGACTATTTGGTGCAAAAAAGTATATCATATTTCTATTCGCCAGATGCTAAGCTGCTTGAGTTGAAGATTTTTGTACCGTCTGAATGAACCACCACCACCACCACCAGTAAAATTACGTTTGCATTTCTGTTGACTCTTTATTATAAACTGGATGTTCATCCAGAACCATCTGGCTATTTTATATCATTGCCTTGAATAATGTTATTATTGTTAACATCATGCAGATGTAATAACCATTTCATCTGAAAGTATTGTTGTCCTGAGAGTGAATTTGTTAAAAAATTACATAATGAGAATTTCATACTATCACATATATTGTTTGGAATAAAGTGATTATTATTATTATTATTTTTATTATATGGGCCCCTATGAAGATGCCTCGATATTGCCTGAATATTTATTACGATAACTTACTTGTTTGTGGTTAGCAGAAGTTGGAAATATGGACCACTGGATTCTGACCTAGTGGCTCAGTCATAACGTGCTAGCCACGGAACATGGAGGTCACGGGTCCGATCCCTGGCGGGGTCGTGGTTGCGCACTACTGAGGAGTCCCATACTAGGACGAGACAGCTGTCCAGTGTTCCCAGGTTTTCTTTGTTCCTCCAACTGATGTCAGTCTACGATGAATAACAACTTAGAAAGGATAATGATTTTGTTCTTTTTAAAAAGGAAGAAACGAAGAGAGCAAGAAAAAGGGCAGAAACGAAAAAAAACATCTAGAAAACAAACAAAACGTTAGGGGAATACCACTTAGTCAGTGGAAGGCTATGGGAGAAGAATGGCTTGAACGTGTTCTTTTTGAACAAAAAATATTCTAGGTTTAGTTGATCTTAGAGCTGCAGCTTCCGCTTTATTGACAATGAGTAAAGGAATAGCATATGATAGAGTCTTCGGAATGCGTTGTATCTCAATAAAAGCTGTGCTCGTATCTATTTAGTGTTCTGTATCTATTCGATGTGCTATGCCGGTCAAGAAAATGATGACTGCCTAAAGTAAAAGATATTCATACGGTAAGATCCAGCTGTAATAGTAGTAACAAAAGAATCAAATGTTAATGAACTTTACCCTTTGACTTTTTTCTTCTCACCTGCTCAGTCACTTTTCAAGCTCTATGCATTTCCTGTGATAGTGTTTTGTCAGCCTAATAAGAAATTCTTATGTATATGCGTATTTTCGCTTTACTGAGTCAGCTTAAATAATAAGCTGTCCTATTTCTAGAGTGGAATTTACAGAATTGACCCCCGTAGAATACATATTATTTAGAATGAATTATTCATTCTGGAAATGATACCATTTATTCATCTAGATAATGCCTTGAAAATGATATCCTGTAAGTTGTATAGTTTTTTCAGTTATTTAAACTAAATAAAATCATTCTGCTGTAGGAGAATTTTCAGTCATATTAGAACTTCAATTTTTTGAGTTAAGCAGTTTGTGAAAAAGTGATTGAAATGATACATTCACATTTCCAAATGATATCAAGAGAAATTCGATGGTTATTATTTTCCCACCGTAAACTGTTGAAGTGTCTTAAAAACACTGGTCAATATCACTCCCTCATCAATCTTTATTCAATTACTGAATAGAAATAAGTTGGTTTGCAAAAGAACACTTATTGTTTCCATAAAAATTGGCAAAATCTCATCATATTAACAACAATATATTTTGGATTCAAGTTGGTTCTATCAGTATTTCTTTCATTTAAACAACCATTGACTATCTGAGGGAATCTCCATTTACTTATGCATTCTTCGAAAGCATATCTCAAATATATATATTACTTACTGATGCTTGTAATTCCTCTGTTGACATGTAAGCTCCTGTGCGGATCCATCCCTATCGCCCAAACATTTATTGCTATGATTTTTGAGAAGTAGAATCTAGGACCCGGATTTCATTCTGGCTTAGCCTCTGTAGAGAGATCTACTTATATACCACTGAATGGTAGTGTTCCCATTGAGACCCATATCTGGAATCCAGATAGTTGTCCACTGGGCTGCCGAGTCAAAAGTACTATACTGGATTAGGCTGTTTGATGAGAGAAAGAATTTCTCTCAAAACAACTCATCTGAACTCTCAAGCTAACTTATGTATTACAAGACTACTGTGAAATATTAATTGAAATCTGGTTGAGTATTCGACCTGTGTGATATTTACTGTATTCTCAACGGGAACATGTTTACTGAAATACAGATCGATGCAAAACGGTGTGAAAAAAGTGAAACAGTTCATATCGTAGTATTATAAAAAACAAAAAGTCAAAATAAGCTGAGTTATAGTGAGATGAGTAAAAAACGTTGTCATACACTTAGCATATGGACCAGCCGCTGACTCTGGTATAGTTTCACAGGCTCACCAGTTGACTTACTTCCTTCGACTGTAACCTTTTCCCTTCGCTAAGCATTATGTAAAGAAGATTTGACAGGTATCTATGGCTGATGGCATATAAATATCACATATTGTCTGCCTTCACTGATCATATTAAACAGTTACACGACAGGTCAAAGCGAACTACTATATATTACAGTCGGAAAATTGTTAACTATCATACAGTCAGATCAGTCAGCCTAGTCTACTGCAACTTACACAACTGACGAATAAGTGTATAAAAATCTTGACCATAGTTATTACGAACGTCTTGGAAGTATAATAAAACATATTCTTATAACGATGAGTAAGTAACAAATTTTATCTTGTACGGAATTAAGAAGAAGAATCATACTATATTAACATTTACTGTCATTGAATATCTACAGACAGCGAATCCTCTTCCCTATCTGTCAAACATATAGTCTTTCAGTATATCAATGAGGTCCGGATTTTCAACACTAATTCAGTTAAGTCGGTGCTGTTATGTGATGGTTCAGAGATTTGGAGCGTTACGAAAAACATTCCCAACAAACTGAAGAAATACGTTATCAACAGCTGCCGCCTACGCTCACTCGATACTGAAGATGGAGATCAGATGGCCACAATAATAAGAATAAACAAGGAGGAACTCTAGTTGGCTCGCAACGAACCAACCAAGAACCTATCTCCCAACAAATATGCAGAAGAAAGTGGAGATGGATTGGATTGGGTTGGGCATACACTGAGAAGACCATTCGGGGACATCACGCGCCAGGCCAGGCCAGGCATTCGAGTGGAATTCAAAGGGGGAACGACGAGTTGGGCGTTCAAGGTGAGGATGACATGGAGAAGATCATATGAGGAAGAAATGAAAGCTTGTGGGCAGTCGTAAAGTCAGGTTGAAGAGACTGCGGAGAAGAGAGTGGAATGGTGATGTGCTACTGAAGTCATATGTTCCACTAGGAATCAAAAGGATAAATAATATCAGTGAGGTAAATTCACTATCTCAACACTGTAGGAGGCCTTTTTCACCATAATGATAACTTTATTCCACCCAAGTTTTTTTGGTATAGCATAGATTTCATATGAGCTCTGAGCAAAATAATCATTACACTTAAATAATGTTAGTAATAATAACAATGAAAATTCCAATTTAAAACAGACACCTTGAATCATATTAACTTCTGGTGTGGATTGATGAATTCTGTAATCCAATATTGTTATCTAAAGAATATTAGTGTATTGTATTTTTGTGTACATTTCATATGCCTATCTATCTCTTACTGGTAGATCATTTATTCTTTGTTTTATTGTTCACTTAAAAATATAAAAAAAATTGGCAATCTGAAACCATTTTAAAAGTGTACAACGTTACTTGACGCATTGAACAAGTATATTTTGAAAAGATTTAAACAAATCAAATAAGAAGAATTTGATGGAAAAAATTTTCAATAACCTTCAAAGTTTTAAAAAGGCCGCCTAATTTATGATTGTTTAAATCAGAAATCTCTTCTTCAATTTTTTTCTTTTCTTCTTTTCTTTCTATTCCAAAATATCATATTTATATAGTGGAAAAAATCGTCGATATGTAAGAAATGGTTATATATGGGAGAAACAAGGTGAATTAAACCAGTTGACTAATCAAACTCGATCATCACAATCAACTGATCCATCTTTATCATTAACACGAATGTTCTTCTATGATTTCAATGGTGCTGGTGGTTATTCACGATTAAAATCATTTGAATATTTAGATTTTTGTAAAGATCAATTCGATTTTCAATTGACTCCATTAACTGAATATCAACGGTCAAATATGACAGTAATGACATTCTATAATTATGATAGAGTAAGTTTGTTTTCAAATTTTAATAATTTACGAAACAGTTTTCCTTCATGAAATGAACTTAACTGAATAGACTTGACTGGCTTCTAACCTACTTCGAAAGGTATCAGTAATGATCACCTCTGTCTATAAGCAGATTGAATCTAAGTCTCTCAATAAAAAAAATGTTTTTTTTTCCTAGTAAAACTACGGAATGATCCACTGAACAAAACTATTAACCGTTTAGAATTATATTGTCGTTACATGGATGATACCTTTAATGGTTCTCAAAAGTGATATTCATAAGAATGCTGTTCTGAACAGTATTCATCTGGCAATCAACTTTACAATTGAAGAGAAGAAAAATGACAGTATCCCATTTCTTGATGTTCTGTTGGTAAGAAGGTTAGATGGAACTCTGAAGTGAAGTGTATGTGGAAAACCAACATTGACAGGTCAATACATACACTTTTTCAGTGCTCTACCCTTCCAATACAAAAGGAACCTGGTTAAATGCCTAGCATACTACGCTACAGCTATTTATTCAGATGATCTTATAAATGAAGAGTTCGCCATCATCCATGATCTACTTAGTTGGAATGGCTACTCAGACAAGTTTATGACTTAGCATATGAATGTTACAAGGGTTAGGACAAGAATGTCAACAGCTCCTAAGAAGCAAATCTTCTTGAAGCTGAAATCTAAGAGTGACCTTGCCAATGAGATTATCACACAGTGCATAAAAACAGTCTTGCATAAAGCCTTCCCAGTTACTAAATTATGTACCATCTTCTACAACGTCGTGATTCTAAGTGCAAGAGATAAAGGCAAACTGCCTGATTCTGACACTTCCATGTACATTTATCACTTCAGCTGCTCCTGTGGAGCTAGTTACGTTGGGTGTACAATGAAGTAGTTCCATTGTCGAATTTCTTTTCACCACCCATCATGTTTGAGCAAGGGATAAATTAGAACAATAAAGAGCTCAATTCTTGCACACCTAGTTGGCTCAGAATATCAAGTGGATACTAGAAAAGCTTTCAAAATCATCCAACATATTCCAATTCAATTACCACATGGTTTAAGCACTCACTTACTTCACATAACGGAGGCGATTGCAATCCACCTATACAAGCCTAATCTTTGTATTCAAAATAAGTTTGTTCGACCACTTTCATTACCCTGGCTGTAGTATTACTTTGTACCCCTTTTCCCCTTCTTGTTTCTATCATTATTCATTTATTTTCTTATTGTCAAGTAATCACTTATCCCTTACGACTCAAAATATCGAAAATCACTCCGTTTACCTAAGAATAACCTGCTTCATATTTCCAATCTTAATAGCTTTATTAACTATTCACATATCTTTGTTTCTAAAACATCATCTTCATGACTTACACTTAAAATCTATGATTATTGTTTACTAACCACCCACCACTTGATTGGTAATTTGATGATTAAACTGTAAAATTATATATTAGTGTAGAACCCAAGACGAAGATCTAATTGAAAAGGAACATATTTCTTCTCTCGCTCAATCAGTCTTTTTCTAAAAAAGGTTACCGTGAAACTAACGGGTTATCATACTAAGGTTCCATTCCTTCTTCATTTTCTTTGAATTTGGCACAGCCTGAAGTACTGTACTGTTCCCGACTTGAAATACCTTAAGTACATACATCAATCAGTTACCAACATTTCCTTATCTGCTAATGACATGAATGGTGATTCCATTGACATTCATAAGAAATCACATTGAAACGTTCACACAGTACTTATGTTATAAGTAAGATGACATGTTCTGATTTCATGGTTGTCTGATCTACCTATAACGCTGGTTGAGTTAGTCAGTCAGCATAAAATTGGAACCTGGCATTACTGAGCGGTGATTCATGATGTATGTCTGTAGTTTGTTGGAAATGCTTTTCGTGACACGCCAAGTCTCTGAATTGTCACATAGAAGCATTGACTTGACGTTGGTGTTGAAAATCCGAATCTTGTTCTTTGTGCTGAGTGCAGAAAATCTCCACACTGATTTCAGATTACTGAAGGCCTGTCTTGCTGTCTTTCTGATCCTGGTTTTGATATCCTCGTCTGTGCCGCCGCCGACTGTAGTTGAAACGATGCTGCCTGCTAGATAAGTGAAAGAGACAACTTCCTTTAGATTTCTTCCTTTGATAGTGATTGGAACTTGCTGTTGGTGGTGGTGGTGTTGGTTGGGCATCCTCATTACCTCTGTCTTCTCTAAGTTCACTTGAAGTTCCGTCTTCTCTGCCTCGTCTCTTTTGTCAACTTGTTGGGTTTTGCCTGTAGATCTTCAACTGACATCTATTTGTGATCTTTTTAAACTATCTCCAGATTATCATTATGAAGTTTATAATTAGATATGCTGTTTAAAAATGAGTTTCCAAATGGGTTTAAGACACGGAGAAACTTTACGAGCAGATCTAGATTAAAATTATCTTAACTAATCCTTGTTTACCGATGCAGATCTATAGTTGAACTTTCACTGTGTTAATATTATACAAGTATCTGAGAAATTATCCTAGGCTACATATCATTATGTAACTATTTACCTTCATATATGATAAAAGCTAGACAGAGTTGGGCAGATAAGAACCAAGTTGTTTCAAACTAAAGTGTAGGATAATGAATAATTCGATGTTAATTTGTTTGCTAAATACTTAACTCCATGAAACGAACTTGTTTGTTAGATGGTATTTCAATCACAATTCGTTGTTAACTTTGATGTTTAAGGTAACTTCATCGCGTAGAATTCCTTACTGTTGATGTGAACTACGCATAAAAATGTGAGCATCTTTGTTGGTAGATAGACAGAATTCTAGGCCATGCATTAATTAACATTAGGTTTTATCTATTAACAACGCAATTTCACCTTTCAGGCTTCAATATACTCTAAGAAATTTTCTGGAAATCTGTATAGAAATTACATAGTAGAACTCTGTACAAAATGTATGCATGAACCTCTTTACTATAAAACAAATAGAGATACAGAGAACCAGTTGAAATAAAAATATACTAAAATGAACAAGAAGAGTAATGTAGATTGTTAGTGAAGAAGATGTGGAAAAGAGATGACTTTCGAATCACGCCATTTGTGACACATAACTAGTGATTCGCAGGACTTATAACCTACACCTCATTCGAACATTAATTTCCTATTCAACTCAAATGAACAAAGAATGATTGATGTCCTAGTTTGGCTACCGTTGAAATTTTACAACCTACTTTTACTCCGTCCTTCGTCGTACATCAACGTAGGAGTATGTTCTAATGTGTTTATACTTCACATTTTCTCCTCCCATCTTGAGGCTACTATCGTACCACTTAGACTTAATACTTAATAATAATAAAGTAGTATAATGATATGTATTCCATTTTCTTGCTTTCTGTGCACTATTATCTAAGAATTTTAGCTACAGGATATCCGAATTTCGCGAGTTAACTTTTCAGTATATTAGCATTCTTTCCGACTCCTGACTTTAATTTGCTTTCATTAGTCTGTTTCACGCATCTTTACGGCCACTGAAGATTATATTGATTTCAAGTTGGTATCCATTATGGAGTGACATCACTTGGAGGAATACTGGAAACCTGACAGCACTGGACAGCTGTTTCATCCTAGCACAGGGCTCCTCAGCGCTGTGCACCCATGATCCTTCAAGGGGCCGAATCCAGGGCCCTCAGGTTCTGTAGCCAGCACGTCATCATTGAGCCACTGGGTCGGAACTCACTGTCCTATATTTCCTACTTCTGACAGTTCACGACCGTGCGCGACTATCGCTCAGTGTCATCGTTGCGTATTTCTCCTCACGGCCACCAGGTTTGCCCCATCGGTCAGGACTTTTCATTGGAACTTCAGGAATCGTCTCTAGGAGCCAGTCACGAATGAGAACTGGATCAACTTAACCTGGGGGTTTGTGAGGATTTATTCATCTCATGTTGGTGAGTACCGCTGAAGAGTCCAATACCGGGACGAAACAGGTGTCCAATTCTCTTAGGCTTCCAATCTACCTCCAACTGATGTCAGTTTATGATACATACCAACTTAATCTTTTCTGCTTGTCCAGGATATACGTACGCGTTTCACTCGCAACAATGAATTGTGTTGCACATCCTTTCGCTGTTTAGTCTGCCTACGGATGCACTTTTCAACACTGCCTTTGACTGTGTAGCAAACAGAGAGACACCTAAAGATTTGCTGTTCGTACTCTTACTGATCATTACTGCTACTTGCTACTTGTCCTAGACAAGTCTCGTGTTCTCATTCTCAGATTTTACGCATAACTAGAGCGTGTGTTTTTGGATTACTCAAGCACGATTTAAGCATTTATTCTTGAAATCCCTAGGTGAATTCTGTAGAATTTAATCAACAATCAATAATTAGAAGCAAGATGCTTACAAATACTCAACGAATTCTTGGCCACAACCTAAAGAAAGCTAACTGATACCCGTTGCACCAGTGGCCCGGTGGATAACGCTTTGGCGTTTGAAGTGATGGGCACGAAGTTCATGTCCCAATAGAAGCATTGGGGTCCACTGGAAAAGTCTCAAGTGGGACAAATCTGTGTCCTGGGTTCCCCCCTTCCCTTAGTCACCAACCAGCATGAATACAATGTCGTGAATACCCTGCATTATTGAGGTGTCTGCATAGGAGCCCATCTGTCAACAGAGGTTGAACAGTTCGTTCCTGTATAGCACTGGAAAATTACAAGTATCAAACAAATAAAGAAAGCCAGTTTCGATGACACTACCATTAGAAAACATAACTTACAACTTACTCAACCCCTTTAATCTTTTGTCTTATAATTTTACAGGATTATGGGATTACAATTGAACTGGTCAACGGTCGTCCAGAGGCCACCTATTGGTATGGTCGTGAGTTATACCGATTAGAGGAGAGTATTCAACGAGAAAGTGTTGAGATAACAAGACGACGTAGATTTAAAACATTCAACTTTAAACCACGTTGGAGGCGTCAATCATCCCACAATTATGATGAAGATAGAAGAAGACTGAACTTGAATCTTATAGATCCATCAGTGAGGATACTACGATTGGATAGTTTTATGACAACTGATTGTAATGATGATATGGTATTATTCTTAGGTGGTATACCACCAGGTCACTATCAGATGCGCAAACGAATGCAACAGTAAGTTTTAACATGCATATTTTGAAACAAATCAATTATTCACAAGTAAGATATCGTGATCGTTGATTGGTTGAAGTAATAGTCATGCGACTGAGCATTCCAGTCTTTGACGACCATTTTACATATCTTTCCTAGACACTCATTAATCTTTATTTGGCTATTCTCTCTCCTCTCATTTCTTTTTTGGTTGATTTTCAATGAAATTCTATTTAGAGGTAATATTCATCATAGACTGACATGAGTTGGGGGACCATTGAAAGTCTGGGAGCACTGGACAGCTATTTCGTCCTGGTGCAGGACTCCTCAGCAATATGCACTCGCGACCCGGCTGGGGATCGAACTCAGGGCCTTCAGGTTTACACGGCGAACGCGTTAACCATTCAGCCACCATTCATCTCAAAAACACATTACTGTATAGTGTTCATTAGTGACTTGCTTTCAGATGGATATCAGGAAGCTCTAGTGAAAAGCCGTGACCTGTGGGGTCAACCAGTCGTAAGGGAAAACTGGAAACTTATCCAGTGGCTGGATGGTTAACGCGTTCGCCGTGAACCCCGAAGATCCTGAGTTCAGTCCATAACTGGGTTGTGGGTGCGTACTGTTAAGGAGTCCCATACTAGGACGAAACAACTGTACGGTGCTCCCAGACTTTCGATGGTTCCCCAACTGATGTCAGTCCATGATGAATATTATCTCCAAAGTAAAAATTCTATTTATTTCGAATCGCTTAGTATTCTTTCAAAATTTGGTAGTGTGAAATGATGAACTTATATACAAAGTTCAACAGTCTGTCTGACTGGAAACATCTACCAAAACTTAACTTCTTATGAAATAATTAATCAGTTGAATAGAACAACATAAAACCAGTCACAACAATAGAATGTAACAACTCATCACAGTTTGTACTTTAGTGAGAAGGACTATCATTAAATTGTGAATAGTGTAACGATCCGTTGCTGGTAGGTTTTAGTCTAGTCTAGCCTATAGGCAAGCTGTTGCATGAGAAAGCACGTTGTAGAATGTGAATTTTGTTGTGACGTGATTTGAAAACTCAGCGAACATGAATAATGTACTCAGATCTAATCATAAAATGCAATAGACAAACGGAAGTAATTCATGAGATGAAGTGGTTTGGAAAGTGAGACTAGAAAGTGGATGAGTAAGGTTTCAAACTCATTATATAATAATCAGATAATCTGTTTTTTATTTACAATGTATATCATGTAATGACTATTTCAGTAAAATTATTCAGCGAACTGAATTGACGGCAATGGTAATACAAGACTGAATGGTGACTATGAGGATAAAGTTAAGGAAAATTTAGATGTGATAATTGGTTAATTAATAATGCTTGTCTGGCATGTGACTCTGTTAACTTTGAAGTGTTGTGGCAGTGTCTGACCATCAAAAGAGCATCAAGCAAAGCTTTCTGTCCGAACCTATGCAGCCATGCAAGGGCACGTGGAGAGTAGTCGTGTGAACTGACGATGACTAATGGTGTCCGTCAAAGATGCCCACTGTCACGGTTCCTACTTAACCTTCTTATAGGTGTACTAATGGACACAAACTTAGGTATCTCTGACTTCACATGGATTGACCTGCTCACTGGCGGCCATCTGGTTAACTTCTAGTATGCAGGCGATATTGTTCGGCTAAGTGAAGACGCTGACAAAATGCAGAGTCTTATGAACGCGTTGAGTAGAAATCTGAATATGTTTGGTTGGCAGTCGTTTCGCTTCTGTCAAATGTAAGATGATGCTGTGTGACCCCCAGCTTAATGATAGGAAGTGAAGTAAGTGGTGGAATACGTCGACCACTTCACTTACGTGGGAGTTGTATCAGCCTGAACGGGCTGGTTATTAACGATATCCCAGCTCGGATAAAGAGGTTCCGTTTGGTGCCTGACAACTTGCGTCATTTGCAACGCCTACTGGCGAGATGTCCGGTCGCAAATCTAAAAACTGATACTACTGTGAGACATGGTCATTGAAAGAAGAAGAGACTACAGGGTTATGATCATAGATATCTTCGTAACATTACTGGCATTTGGTGGAATCACCGTGTGAGCAATGTCGAGATCAGGCGAAGGGTAGTAGGCGAGACATGCAAGTCGATGGATGAGGTTGTGAACTTGAGTCGACTGATACGGTTTGGACACATACTACGCATACCAAGTCACCACTTACCTCGACGTGCCATCATAGGGAAAGTTGGATTAAATTAGAAGAGGGTCCAGGATGACGTGACCAACACGGGTCACCAGTCGATGAAGTCTCTCACTGTGGGGCTGGGTCGTGTGAGAAGATGTAGACTACCTTGTTTAGTTAGGTCCTCAAAATGAAAAGGATGATTGGTTGAGGACTATAAGTGAAATGGCATGAGATCAGTTACAAAAATGCAGACGTATTCACTCATAAACATCTTCGAAAGCTTGTAAATTCGCACAAACCATTATCTTCAGATTGCTTAGTCTCTCTCACAACTTTGTCTACTTTGATATCATTCATTTTCTATCCATGTTTTGTTTGTGTACTACTGTGAAGTGTGGCAGATTGAGTCGATGCACTACTGTGAGTGGTTCTACATTGATTTTTTCAGACAGTGCGACTGATTTCATCCCAAACCACATGAACTCTGGGATCCCTTACAGAAATCCTCGATTAGTCATGCTTGTACCAGATCAGTTGACAAACCTACTCATTATAGCTAGATTTATCTTAACTGAATGGAAAGAGAGATTTGATTGTTCAAGTCACCATCAATTCTACATCAATCCATATCCTGTTTGCAATTTAAAAGGGAGTTTTTGCCATGACAGTATGGAAGCAAGTCTACTGTTTTAGCATAATTCTACAGATGGGTATAAGATACCCTTGAAAAGTAGTGAAGTTCATAATGTACTGGAAAAGATCAACGGGAATACGTAGACCGATGGCGAACTAAAGACAAAAGTTGATTAGTTCAACTTATTGTACTTTGAAAGACCACAGAAATTAAATAAATACACTTATAAAATATGGAAATATAACTTAAAGAATATAAAGGAAAACAGATCGAATTAGTAAAGCTTTCAAAGATATTCAGAATTTTTTAAGATCATGCAAAGTAAGATGAAAACATCAAGTGCATGTACATGTAGGAGATAAAAAAGCATTTATCCGATTGCGACATCAGTCTCCATCCCAATGAAACCTGGCGTGATACTCAATCTGCTGTAGAAACAGCGACCAAGGCAATTATTAACCTGTATCTAAAAGTTAGCAAAGCTAGTAGTCTTTTGAAACCTCAACCGAATTGATTGAGGCGAGAAGACAAGTTTTAGCTGGCTCTGACCACAATGAGGAACAAAAGTAGCTGAAATGTGCACTGACTAAGATTCTTTGTAATGATGGCGAACAGTGTTGAGTGATAAAAGCTAAAGGTAATACTTGACAGCTGAATAGGCGTATTAAGGATACTGGCGAGAAGAACGTAATAGTGAGAGTGGGTGATGAATTCCCAAAACAGACAGCTGGAACGTTTAGTGAGACACTTGGAACACAATTCAACTAGCTTACAGTAACGCTTCAGCTGTTCAGAAGTCAACCTGGACGAAAGTAGCATGTGAAAATCAGTCCTCAGACTCTTCTTGAAGTTGTAAAGGTTGTTTCAAGCCTTAAACGATGGAAAGCACTAGGTCCTAATGGTTTATCGTAGAAATTTACGAGAAAGCAGATAGAAAATTACTGAATAGAGTAACGGAGATTCTAGGCAATGTATAAAAACCAGGAACAGTCAAATTAGACTGATTTAGCTCGCTGATCACTTCATCTCTATAAAATAAGAGAGAAATCTTGTAACAGCTATAGAGGGATCAGTTTTACTAGCATTATGTTTAAGATCCTAGCATCCATAGTTATACAAAGCCTTACTGGAGCTAAAGGAGAGCTAACTGGAGAGAATGAGGCAGGATTCAGACCTGGGTGACGGCGCACCGATCACACTTTTATCCTTCGACAGGTTATAAGACATAGGTATGCTTACCGACAGCTGACACCTGCTGTATTTCTTGACTTGAAGACGGAATCCAAGTACAGCAAACAAAAGGTGTTGAGTCAGTGTCTGACTGTGAATGGTATCCCGGTATCCTGATATTCACCAGGGATGCCTGCTGTCATTGTTTCTAGTTAACTCCGTTATGGATGTATTAATGAATATAACTCTAAGTACCTCCAACTTTTCAGACATTGATTTACTCCTTAGAGGGCACCTAGTTGACTTGGAGTATACAAATGATACTGCCCTGTTAGGCAAAGATACTGAAAGAATGCTGTCTCCTGAACTCCCTAAGCAGAAATCTGAGGGTATTTGACATGCATTTCTCGCCCTTGAAATGTAAGACGATGCTTCAGGACTGGTCTGCAGCTACTCCTAATTTGAGGATAGTGAGTGAAGTGGCTGAATGTATTGACCACTTAACTTACTTGGGAGGTTGTATAATCCTAAATGGACTAGTTATCGACAAAATGTCAGTTGGAGTACAAAATGCCAGTTAGGCATCTCTCAACTAATGTCATCTCTGGCATTAAACAGATATCGGGATAAATATTTAAGGACGAGCATACTGCACTGCAGTCTACCCTGTAACTAAGACATAATCGTTGCTAGTATAAGATATAAAGAAATTATGGTTTTTCACCACTAGTGTCGTCCCAGCATTCCTCACGTATTGCGGAACCACTGTATGAGTGTTGTTGAGGTTACACGAAGGGTACTAAGCAAAGAAGGTGAGTCAGTTGATGAATCTGTGAAACTTTATTGACTGAGGTGACCCGAATATATGTTGCACATACTGAGGTGCTGCCCACTCCGATGCTGTACGTTAGCTGAAGTAAAATTGAATTGACAGAAGGCCCAGGGTGACCTGATTACACCATCACACTAGCGCATGAATTCTCCGCCTGTAGGCATTAGCTGTGTAAGGTGTGATTGGAGACTCTTGGTGACATGATTGAAAATCAGTCACGTTAGAGATTTATCAGTTGTTTGAACATTTTCACTTACTCTTATCTACTTTAATTATCTGTCTTACCATACACTTTTATTTACTTTAATGTCACTCTTTTTCTTCCTAAGTTTTCCCTGCCTGCTACTGTTTAATGGGGTGACTTGAATTGATACACTTCTGTGATTGGTTCCCCCTTGATTTTTCTGTTTGTTTATTTGTTTCAGACAGGTAGGTGATTTTAATTTCACAATAACTTGTTGAAACAAACCGACTGTTGCATGAAGAGATTGAGTCGTTGTTTGGCGCAAAAATAAATTAGTATTTGTAAACATTAAGTGAATAGATATTTTGATGAGAATGGTCCGATGCTAGATATTTAAAGTTAGTGGTGAGTAAGTAGCTGCTAATGTTGGTTTCAAGCTGACAGAAGAGGCAGCGAAGGAAGACGCGACTTCAAGTGAATATAGAGAAGACAAAGGTGATGAAGATACCCAACCAACAACAAACTCCAGTCACCATCAACGGGAGAAACTTAAAGGAAGTAACCTCCTTCACCTATCCAGGAAGCACTGTTTAAACTACAGGCGGGACAGACGAGGATGTCAAAGTCAGAATCGGGAAAGCAAGACAGGCGTTCATTAGCCTGAAACCAGTGTGGAGATCTTCTGCACTCAGCATGTGGAACAAGATCCGCATTTTCAACACCAACCCAGTCAAGTCAGTGCTTCTGTATGGTTGAGAGACTTGGCTGTGCGTTACGAAAGGGATTTCCAATAAACTACAGACATTCGTCAACAACTGCTTACACTCGCTACTGAAGATCAGATGGCCAGATAGAATAAGCAACAAGGAACTCTGGGAACGAACCAACCAACAACCTATCACCCAACAAATATGCAGTGGAAGGAAGTGGAGATGGATTGGGCATACACTGAGAAGGCCGACTGGGGACACCACGCGTCAGGCCAGTTGCTCGAGTGGAATCCCCATGGGATGCGACGAGTTGGGTGTCCGAGGTGAGGGTGACATGGATGAGATGGTGCGAGGAGGAAATGAGAGTTTGTGGGCTGTCGTGGAACCAGGTTGAAAAGATTTGAGAGAAGAGAGTGTACTGGAGACGTGCTACTGAAGCCCTATTTTCCATTAGGAACCCAAGGGGCTAATAATAATATAATAATAATAATGTTGGTTTCATACTCGCTGTCAGACATCAACAAGATTTACTTTAAATCTGGAAGAAATTAACGTTTACTTGGGGATTCGAATTTGCATAATTTAGTTCTGAGATGAAAAACTATGCCATTAAGCTTAGTGTGACTTAGAGTTCCCTGAAATTCGATTTCACTCATCTTGCTGCTCATACTTCACATAGATTTCCATTAGCATTTATTTAGAACAAGGTCATTATATCAGTTTTCATCTGGTTAGAATCTATTTCAGATTTTTGGAAGAAAAAATAATAGCCTGAATTTATATTCCATTTACCTTCCTTTAAGACTTGGTTTCTCATTAACTCCATTTGCTGGTCGAATTGGCTTTACAAATGGTAAACCGAGTCAATCAGGTGAGCTTTATCTAGCTGAATATGCAATCAGTTCAGTGAATCAGTTTGGTGATACCCAATTCACTGACTCTAGGCAACTTGGAGAAATTCGAGCTATAGTAAGTGTGTTTTTTGTTGTTACGAATATAGAAACATTATTTCTTAAAATTTTTTTATTAAACTGAAACATAATAATCCATAGAAAAGCAAGACAGGCGTTCATTAGCCTAAAACCAGTGTGGAGATCTTCTGCACTTACCATGTGGAATAAGATCCGGATTTTCAACACCAACGTCAAGTCAGTGGTTCTGTATGGTTCAGAGACTTGGCGCGTCACGAAAGGCATTTCCAATAAACTACAGACATTCGTCAACAACTGCTGACGCTCGCTACTGAAGATCAGATGGCCAGAATAACCAGAATAAGCAACAAGGAACTCTGGGAACGAACCAACCAAGAACCTATCACGCAACAAATATGCAGGAGGAAGTGGATGGATTGGGCATACACTGAGAAGACTGACTGGGGACATCATGCTTCAGGCCAGTTGCTGGAGTGGAATCCCCATGGGAAGCGACGAGTTGGACGTCCGAGGTGAGGGTGACATGGAGGAGATCGTGAGAGGAGGAAATGATAACTTGTGGGCTGTCGTGCAGCCAGGTTGAAAAGATTTGAGAGAAGAGAGTGTACTGGAGACGTGCTACTGAAGCCCTATGTTCCATTAGGAACCTAAGGGACTAATAATAATAATATAATAATCCATGATATCTGAGAATGTTAATATATTAATGGTATTCAGCTTAAATGTTTCATCTACTATCCAGTGCATCGGTTGGACATACATACGTGTGAGTTGTGACGATGTGCACAGAGAGACAATCAAAAAGAAAATGAAATTACTCGGAACAGAAAATTAGCCATTTTAGATCCATTTAACAAGTTTTCAGAACTTTCTTCTATTATTGTCGAATATTGAAGTAAAGTAAGACATGCTGGAAAATGATTAACATTGTGAACCTTAGTCAACTGATATGGTTTGGACATATACTACGCATACCAAGTCACCACTTACCTCGACGTGCCATCATAGGGAAAGTTGGATTAAATTAGAAGAGAGTCCAGGATGACCTGACCAACATGGGTCACCAGTCGATGAAGTCTCTCACTGTGAGGCTGAGTCGTGTGAGAAGATGTAGACTACCTTGTTTAGTTAGGTCCTCAAAATGAAAAGGATGATTGGTTGAGGACTATAAGTGAAATGGCATGAGATCAGTTACAAAAATGCAGACGTATTCACTCATAAACATCTTCGAAAGCTTGTAAATTCGCACAAACCATTATCTTCAGATTGCTTAGTCTCTCTCACAACTTTGTCTACTTTGATATCATTCATTTTCTATCCATGTTTTGTTTGTGTACTACTGTGAAGTGTGGCAGATTGAGTCGATGCACTACTGTGAGTGGTTCTACATTGATTTTTTCAGACAGTGCGACTGATTTCATCCCAAACCACATGAACTCTGGGATCCCTTACAGAAATCCTCGATTGACTAAGAGACACAACACAACTGTCATTCTTTCAGATGTATCATGTTATATGTGGGACCAACTGTTTCAGGCAATCCAAGCATCACTGAGATAGTATGCATGAAATTTCTTCAAACTACAGAAATCGATGTTTTAAGGCGTAATCACTGCAGAATTCCTTATATATTTATTGGATGTGAAGAATATTGAGATAACAGTGAAGGACTAACTTTTTTAAAAGTCATTAAATATCCTGAGTGTTGGTGTTTATAGTGATTCGGAAATCCTTGTTATTAACCAAACTAAGCTTTAAACAATACAGTGGATTAGTCTTATTGCTAATAGTATACCGTTGTTGATTGGACCGAGTTGATCGGTCTTTATTGGTATATGGGATCCCGTGCGGATGCCTCGATACACCTATATTGTAGTTATAGTAAAGATGGATAGTGGCTAGCAGTGGAATCCAGTATGCTCATTTTGTCCTATTTGGGACCCGTCAGCTGGATGTACCTGCCTCCCAGTGAGTGATGTTCTTCCCACCGGGACTCGGGAGTCATTGCTCCAAACGCCAGAACGGTATCCACTAGATCACTGAGCCACGATAGCCACTTCTTGTGCAACTGGTACCGTTTTAGTCTTTTTCCTTTTCCGAGTCCGAGTCCCGGTGGGAACAATATCACTCACTGGGAGGCAGGTACATTCAGCTGACAGGTCCTAAATGGAATGAAATGCGAATCCTGGATTCCACTACTAGAAACTATCCATCTTTACAATATAGTGGATTGTTTACGTTTAGTTACAATCCAGAGTCTGGAATTGTACAATTTGTTATCAGTGAGCGTTTACAGTTACTTCAGAATAAAAATGCTATTAAGACTGTTGTGTGAGTGACTATAAACGGTTCATTTTTAATGTAACTTTTAGTCCAGCTGCATAGAAACTTGAATCGTAAAAAAAGTTTATCATGCTAGTGAATGGATAATCATTTTAAGAGTACCAGTATTTGAAAAATAAAAACGGATATAAAAAAATATATAAAGTGAGAATTTCTTCAGTAAATCCGAATCAACTTTTCATGTGTTAATGAAACTGGCGACCAGTGGCATTTAATAGAAAATGAACATAATTATAAGGGAGGTCAAAGGTCAAGGTTGTAACCAGTGTGAGAAGGATGTCACTCACTTTGAAGTAATTATCAAACTTTTAATAACAGTCTGTTACCTCTGAGAGTAATCAGAATGATGGTATTGACGTTCAGTAACACCAATGGGTAACTCATGTAACTGTCCATTTCTCAGTGCTTGGCACTACGAATCAAGTGTATAACTGGCACACATAATCCACTGATTATATAACTGATCAGTTATGGACCAAATAACTTCGTTATTAAGTCTACGAATTCAACAATGAGTACTCTAGGTTAAAATTATCGATTAAAGACTAATCTCCTCATGGTTACAGTTATGTCTTGTTGTGATGTTTTTCAACAAGCATGGTTCTAAGTTCATGACTTTCTGTTGCTGACTAACTCGTTAAATCTAGCGCTTCAAATTTTTCCTAAGTATGCTATGAATTGATCAGAGACCAACTATTGGATAGGACAAATCCTTTGAATGACAGGTAATATGCTAGTTATGATAAATAACTTTTCTAATCCAATCTTGAGAGTAATCTGTAGTCTGCACTTTGTGCGAACGAAACCTTAGTTAATAATAACTTACTGATTAGTTTGATATCATAAACACATAATGCTATCACGGTGTATAAATTGGGTAACACGAGCAGGTTTTCTGTCTGTGTGGTGTTACTACTCATAAGAACACTTATAAATAATACATGTAATGTAGCTGGGAATAGTAATTAGAATTGTCATCTAACCATTAGAGGTTACAAAAGTTAAAAAACGAAGAACATAGGAAGTAAATACAGAGGGCAAGTGAAAGAACACCAGAAACTGATGAATACTTCACTATTCGAATGAACTAAATTGTATATAAGGCTGTAGTATTTTACCAGTATTCAGTGTGATCTCCCAATAAACAATTCACCAATCCTCACCTGTGATGTTTATGTTGTCTATAATGATACAATGACGTATTAAGTAAAATATACTTGATATAAAGGGGAATGGGACTTTGACTACTTCACTATGATTCCTTTTTCATTCACCACCTTTTTGCAAGACGTTGTGATGTTCAGCGACTTGAACCGATTTGTCCCCGTACAAGGTGCTACCTTCATTTGTCTCAATGTGAAATGACAAAAAAATGTATGGAAACTTAGTCAAGTTTATCTCAGCCTAGTAACAGTCTTCAGAACTATGTGATTTTTCCGTTTCAACGCCAACACTGACTTTGCATATGGTTAACATAGTACGTATTTCCCACGTCTTGTATTCACAACTCACTTATACAATTATTCATACAGTTCGATCCTACTAATCTCCTATAACAGAAAAGAAAGTCTATCACATACTGATTATTTATTTTGGCAACCTGATGCATACACCTATGGATATATAGGATCGTTTATAAGCAAACAAAATAAATTAAGTTGTTCAGTCATTCAATTTATTGATGCCTAAAAGACCATTTAATCTGAAGATAATTCCCACTATGAACTAACAGCAGCTAGGAAACTAGGTGAAACTAGGAAACACTGGAAAAACCCTTCATACTGGTGTCATATTCTTCGGAAGTGAGAATGGGCTTCAGTGTTGACTGTGGGCATGTAATAAGTCCTTGAAAACAGCTGATTCAACACAAACCAACCAACCGAATAATAAGTCACTGCTTATTATCATGCGAATTCGTGATAAATTTCCCAAAATTCCGATACGATATTTTGAGATTTAAATTCATCCGGAAGTGAAAGCTTCTACTGACCGATAACTTTGGATGAAAATTTCATTGCATCATGGATTGAAAAAAGTTGGAAATATTTAGAGTATATGATAACTTAGTGACTGAATGCCTCTGTATGAAACTGAATGTCCGCAGATTCGTTATAATATAGCATTAGTGATGCATACTCCTGAAGAGTCCCAATCTAAATGGAAACAGTTGTATGATGCTCGCTAGTTTCAAGTAATTCTCAAGGTGACATCATTTCGTAATAAGGATTATCTTCAGATTGTATAATTCTATGGTGTTTGATTCAGTGGACATCTTGACACTGTTTGAACAGTATCTTGGTAAAGAAAGACCGTAACAAAATTTACAGGAAAACGTTTACATGAATATATTTGGAATTTAATAACAGATAAATTACCGTATAAGAAAATTTACCGCTTAGATTCGTCTTCATTATCAGTAATAACTTCCGAATAATAGATATATTATTAGGTCTTTAGCTAATGGTGATGACTGACTCAGTTATGGAGTTTCTATCCCTTCAGTATTCAGGATATTGTATACCTATGGTTAACTAAAACCAAAATGCAGTGACACACACAAACCTCAAAATTGAGTCACGCTATAGACTACGCTTGCAACTTCTGTAATAACTGACTGGTTTTATCTTTTTATGAAAAAAATTGCCTTTATAGCCTGAATCCATCCTGGAACGTGACTGGTTATTTGAGCAGTTG